AACCGTCAGACATAGGGGTTACAGATTTTGGCCTTTAAGTCGGCTTAGAAGTTAGTGAAACCCCTCTTTAGGTAGAGCTACTGATCATAATTCTAGTCTGGGTGAGTAAAAAGCTCGTTTAACCAAATAGAATACTTGATTATATACATACTGAGTATTAACCGGGTCACTACTGGGATCAGAGACTAAAGGTATATAGTGTATTTCAGATATAAGTTATTCAGTTACAACGTAAGAGAGTAACAATCAATTGAATATTTGTATCTCAGTATAATCCAAAGATAAAGACGCGTCGATCTAAACCTCTGGAGGTTATATAAGATACATAGGAAACGAAGTCTGCGATACCTAGATTCTTGTACACTATGTCAATAACGAAATTATACTCTAAGTTATTCGTGTTGGCGCGGATATCGTATTCCTGCTTGCAACACCACATAGTAGCTGACGATTGATTCTGTTCAACTATCAAAAGTTTCATGGGATTCTAATGGAAAATTCTGATAAGAAAGTAGTATACTTTTAACATCCAGAAAGTTTCAATTTGTTAACTTCACGTGAGTGCAAAAACCACTAGACCGGAATGTATGTCCATGATTTTGTTCAAGTAGATGAAAAACGGCAGCCAAAACTACATAACCGGAAAGTTTACGAAGCAGCTTACTTCTGTTCTTCGTCCTCTTAGTGGTCGAAGCCGGGAGACGTTTAAAAACCCTGTCTTAAGGTTAGGATTGCTTCTAGAAGGAGGAGAGACAACCTGGCCACCCATTCATCGACAGTCATCTAGAATCCAACAATGTGTATAATGTGACTCTACCGCTACTCCAGAGAACACCAGTAAGTGGATACAAATTAAATATTAAAACGATTTACCGTCGTTAAATAAAAGCCAGTTTCCCAAACTACACGAGTCAAGAGTTTTTATTTATTAGAACTAGCTACTCGTAGGTTTTATAAATGAAGAAACCTGAAAAAGAACTAAAAACCAAGATTAGATTATTAGGACTGTAAATTTTTGGACGGTGAAGATTCGACACGATGCTGGAGCCGCTTTGGGCACATCACGAAGTCATGTAAATGGCGCTAATATCTGCTGACTAAGCGATTGGAGCTAGGTATGCAGATAGACTTCACCAAGCCGGACGTAGTCGCTGTCACAGAAACTCAGTCGCCTCAGTCCCAATATCATATATGAGAGAGACAACAAAACACGGTCCGAATCATCTTTACAAGACCTCATATTGGTCCCTTATGAGGATGACGTTAAAACCTCGATTATAAGACACCTTTGGTAAGAGCGACTATGCAGTTATTGCCTTTAAAATTCGTGACACTGTCAAAAACGATGTGTCAGCCCAAGTTGGGCCAACCTTTTGGAGATAAAATATACAAGAACATATGCACTCAACCTCCTCATGTCACTGTACAACAGAACTAGAAACCTTCACTGAACCAGTTTGATAGGTATTCTAAAGTTTGTAAACAAAGTTTGCTGTACAGTAAATTCCTTTGGATATGGAAAGGAGTCTGGGAAACTCCCTAACGTAGTTCAGCTGTAGATCACCAACGTAGATGATCTTTGTCGAATGATCGCAAGCATATTCGAGTTAAACAGGAATGGCGTGACGAACCAACTAACGTTGAAGTCACACCTCGTGGTCAGCACTTTACATGGACTGCCCCATTGATGTATCAATGTACCATAGATGCTTTGAAGACTGTACAACGCAGAGGATGTTATTACAAAAATATATTAGTTAAAGTAGATACAAGCGGAAGTGAGACCATTGCCGCATGGACCAGTCCATGGCTGTAACGGTATTAAAAACCATTATATATGACGTTACTAGTGTGAGTTCGTTTTCCTTATTGCAGGGCAACAAAGAGTGAACTCACTGGGAGAAGAGGAACAAGCCTTAAGCAAGCTGACCCTGCAGAACAATGAATAAACCCATTTTGTAATAAGCTTCCCTCTTTGTACTCGAACCGCGTCTTTCAATTTTTAAATATATCTCTGTTATGCCAGTACGCCGTGTTCTTACTTCAGTGGCATTTACCGTTCCTGACTGTTGTGTTGTGTTTCAGATTGCTCCTACTTGCAAGTAAACGCTAATAGTACGTGCTACATGGCATACGATTAACTGATGCGCGTTGGATTGTCCTTGATCTTGACGAGGATCGATTATTTGTTCGATGATCAATGACACAACTGCAGGATGATTTGGCTAGGGCTCAGTTGAATTTCAGTGGTCCTACGCAGTAAAGAGGTTCTCACTATTCTGAGTATGAATAGAATCTCGTGGTCCTAAATCTGACTTCAGGTAGATTGCATGAGTGATTGTTTTCGAAGTAGACATATTGCCAAACCTCGTTTGTATTTATCGACTTAACTCGCGTTGGTGAATAACAGAACCAAATGAGTCAAATATGAGAATTAATTTTTGAATATGTCTATTTTGTACAATTGTTGGTCGAAACAAACACTCAAAGAAACGAAGCAAAGACAGCGAAGAAGATAGAGTGAAGCAAAATGACGCACAGCAGAGATGGCGTGTGAGCCAGCTCCATTTAGTCGAGCGTTAATCAATATTTATAGTCACACAAGAATATGTTACAGACATGTGATGGATAGGACAAGAAGTGCACACACATACGTTTACATAAAAACAGTCAAGCTTAATAAGCGAATAACTGACAAGGTCAAAGTGTGACTCAAGAAGGTTGAGTAAATTGGTTTGTCATGAAGCTAGAATAAGGGCTTAACTTAGCAACCGATACTAAACCGTACAGATGTTTTCCTATTTTATGCATATATACCTCCTCAACACCATGGTAATCCCTATCTGCAAAACAAGTACGAAACAAACCTGAGAACTATCAACCTGCAAACCTGACCAGTGTGGTTGTTGGAATTTTAGAAAAGATAATTCAAAAGGGGTTGTTTAAGTGTCTAAGCAAAAACCGGATCATCTCTGAAAATCAAAATGCTTTTAAAACAGGTTGTTCATGTTTCATAAGCTTAACAGTAGGTTGTGATAGTTGATGAGCTTCTAAAGATCGAAAGTTATCTATAGATTTAGCCTGTGTTGATATCAGTTTGACTTTTCACAAAGTTCCTCACAACCGGCTGTTATCTAGGTTAAGTAATATCGGGATTTGAGGCTTCGTACATAAATGAATACAGAGATTCCTAGTTTGGTATCAACAATGAGTATGGACGAACTCAAAGTTGTCTAGCTGGGAAACTGTACTTAGCGGAGTACCTCAAAGTACAGTTTTGGGGCCAGTGCTGTTCCTATTGTATCTAAATGACCTTCCTGATCTTCTGTCACCATCGGTTTTGTTATATATTGATGATGAATGAATGTTCCGAGGACCTCATTCACCTCGGAAACTCACCTCATTACGTAATTCGGGAAGTGAATGACGTTAAAACCATTAGACAGATCTTGATTTGGACCAATATAGGATTCTGAAATGTACTACTAATAATAATGAATAATCTTTGAGAACTAATAATACTAAAACAAAATATTTCTGCTGGTTTAATCGCATTTCACAAATATTTGGATAAATTTCTTGGTGTTTTTTTACAATAGGACTGTATGTTTGATTATAAGAAAACCACGCGAGAAGTAAAAATCCAGGTTTATAGAGTGTAAACTCGTAGTATTATTAGTTTAACTTTAAACGGAGCATTTGAGTCTAGACACTGTTTACCAAAGCTCATTTACAGTGAAGAAGTTTTATCTTGTATATATCAAATCAATATTTATTCATAAACCTCAAAAGGTTTACTGGATTCGTTTATTTATTAATACAGATTCTCTAAGAAATCTACGAACGGACAAATTTAAATGAGAATGCGTTTTGTGGAGATTGTAGTAATTTTAACTGTTAAATTTACGGGTCGATTTAAGCTAGACCACCAGTGAAAGCCTTCCAGCACCGTACGGTCGTTTCGTCCTAGCATGGGACATCTCAAATTTCAAATGGTGGTCTAGCTTACATTGACTCATGAATTCACTTATTAAAATTACTACAGTCTCCACAAAACCCATTCTGATCATAATAATCATGTTCTTACTGGGGACCGGCTTCAAGATGATTTCCGGGAGTTCTAACGAGAAGCGGTGACCAGTGTAGTCCAGGTATCCACCTCAAACAATGGATGAATGCTTGCACGACCATTCGTGGATCTATTGAAGTTGGACATTAACACTGTTGGATGCCGGTTCAGTGGTCTAAATATTAAGCGTTCGCCCATCAGACCGAAGTTCCTGGGTTCAAGTACTTTTGGCGCGGGATCGTGGATGCACGTTGCTGAGGTGTCCCATACTATAACGAGACGACCATCCAGTGCTTGCAGGTTTTCAATAACAGTCTAACTTAGATCGACTCATGAATTCAATAGTTAGAATTACCACAATCTCCACAATTCCTCATTATGATATACGCATGTATAAAGTATCCAATTTAGAAGTCAATTACACTTACCTTCACAGTACCAAACTTATCTGCTGAAACTATCAAGTCAAAGGAATCTATGCCACGAATATACTTATTGGTAAAAGAGATGGGCTAGGTTTTGAGTTTGCACAGATTGAAATTAAATGTAGTCTGTAAAACAATCGATTGGATGCAACAATCACAGATAATCATAAAAAACAAAACGAGTAACTAAAAGTCATTTGGGCTAACAATAGAATTCTAGTAAACTAGTCAATATTTAATGTCTTCAATCCTCTTGATTTTAGGTTGTGATTAACCCTAGCTCAAAACCTCAATAATTTTAAATTGTTATATCTCTACGATCAGTCGCAAATTAGGGCATATGGCTTTTGTCACTTGGTTATTGGACATATCCACTTGGTTGAATATGATTGGTCGTGTTCGTATGTTTGTACAGTTGGATATTTGACCTTTATATTGGTAAAGTATCACATTAAAAAAATCTCTCAATTTGTTCAATATTACAAGCCAATGGTTATATGTGAGTAGTCACGAACCATAAATTAAACTCTTATATTCTCAGTTTATTACAGATGTTCATTTGACCTAAATTTTTCTCCTCATACACATCATCTTTGATAATTTAGGGTAAGTCAATCGTTACGTTACGACTTAAGAAACTATGATTAAACTATAAGGAAAATTCGATATCGTTTCTAATATGAGAACAGATTATGTCGCAATTTACTATGAATGCTTTTTTAAACCTAAAATATATCAAAGCTTGTTACCATTTGCTTAACCAATTTACTGCAATGATAATCAGTTTGAAATGGATAATTTTTGGTGTAGCTGGATTTACACTAAATACCGAGTGGTAACTAACTGCATATTTATCTAGTCATAGTACTGATCAGATTCTATCAATCAAATTCTAATTTATCCACTAGTCTAAATGACTATGGTTTTGATGTCGTTAACGGGTATGCTAACATGATATTATTTACTATCAAGTGAATAACCACTTTAAGTATTTTAATCTAACTGGGGGTGATTTACAGCCTTTATACCTTGTTTGTAATGTCCCTTAGTGTTAAACATATAATTTCATTGATTACATAAGAATTCGTAACCTTTTGAAAATCAGTCAATGGTTGATGTTTGTTTTATATCGCCTTGAAAATTACCAGAAATAGACAAGATTAATTCCTTTTAATTAACTGATTTGAAAACGCCTTGACAACTACATCACTAAGAAACCATCAAATTAGGTTCATTACCATGTGCTTGTTACTTTATTAATCTACCCATATAAATCGTAGTTTTATTTCAACAAAATTTTACGATCTATAACCTATATGAAGTAAACAATTCATAAAACAGTTTCAAAATCTTAATTTAATCAAACAACATTTATCGCTAATCCACTGAAATTAATAAAGAATTAGAGTCGTATTTGTTTACAATTCAAAGACAATCATTTATGAAAGAATCTATTTACTATATTCTATAGTTAATTATCTTTTTCTTCTCATAATTCTAAACAATTATAAACCTAATAATTGTATACAGACTTATTTTAAACAATTCTTAAGAGTTGTGTTTAGAACAGAAGTTCACCGGATTTTAAAATAAAATGAATTCTGAGAAAAAGATTTTCTTTTAATAGAATTACCATGATTTTATCTATATCTTTCTACAGCTGTATGTTATTTACACTTTCTTTTCTTAATCATATTCATTAGAAGTCGACCATATTAGAATAGGTTTTTGTTTTGTAGGTTTTCAGTTTGTAGTATATTGTAAAATCTGACTTTATCAAGAAAATCACCGAAGACTAAAAAAAACACTTAACATACCTTTTGTTCTAAAAACTGAACAGTATGCCAAAATCATCTATAGTCAGGTAAATCATGTATTCACTCATGTCTGACTATGAGAAGAGATTTCTTAAGTTCTAGTGAGAAGTAATGATCAATAGAGTCCAACTATGTCCGGCGTAAAATAGGTGTCTTTGACTAAAATAGATGATAATCACATGATATAGTGAACTGACTGAAGTTAGAAGTATTTGTGTATCGGACAGTAAAATCTATCTCTTCTATATTCACATAGACAGAAACTTTTTTTATTTGAACACTCGAAGTAATTAGATTATGATAGGAAATTTGTATTTGGCATATTTTTTGTTACATAATTTTGTCTGAACTAAAGTTATTAACTAAATTTGAATTGTGATGAGCCTCTTTTGATCTGATTGTAAGTTTTAAACATTTAGAAATAACACATGATTAGTTTTAAGGAAAACGATATGTTAAAATATACTTAAATATCTAATGTTAAATCGATATTGTCGATAAATCCCAATAGTTACCAAGATTAAGAGCTCTGACTTAGCTATATAGTATATCCAAAATAACACTAACCACTCTTCAATATAGATAACACTTGTTTAACAGCTTTTCGAGTATAGAACATTAATTTAATCAATTTGACTATACGTTACATTGTGTTTAATTATAATTAATTAGAAGAAATACAAACCGGGAATTCCTGAACTTAAACTTTAATAATGATAACTACTTTCCTGAATATAATACATATGATTACAGTAACAAATCCTTTTAGCAAAAATTAACCTCGACTGTTTTTATATGAGCGTATGTGTGTGCATTTCTTATCTTACTCGTCAAATGTATGTAACTTCTTTTCGTGCGACTATAAATATCAATTAAAGCTTGATTAAATTGAGTTGGCTGATTCACCTAGTTCGTGTCATTTTGTTTCTCTTCACTTTCCGACCAACAATTGTACAAAATATACGTATTCAAACATTCATTCCCTTATTTGACTTATTCCGTTATTCACTAACGCGATTTACATTAATGATTATATACGAGGATTGACGATATGTATATTTTAATAACAATCTATCATACGATATTACTAGAGTCAGATATCGGGTCACTACTCTTAATATTTATTTACTAACGTGTTGTGTTATGGTATTTTCATATTCTCCTAACTATAGGCCTCCATTTGACTGAGTAACTATTGTCGTGTCTTTTCATTCTAATAAATTACTGTCAATTAATCATGAACAATTTGTTCACAGTAGTCTTGTATTTCATATGTATACGTACATAAGTTTTAAATTTTGAATACTACAGAGTAGCCTGAGCTATTCATCCGATCTATATAGTTTTCTGATTATCAGTTCGGGAAAAGGATCAATATATCATGCGGTTTAGCGATTGGTTTCAAATAAACAGTAAGTACTTGAGTTGTCGGGTTTGTAGTTAATGAAGCATAAGTAGGGAAAGAAAATTTCTCACTATAAATCACTGAAAACTAAGACGATCATAAATGTTTAATACGTTTTATTTCTTTTCTTTGTTAATTACAGACTATTTTTAATTCATTTTTGTGAATAAATCATATCCATGTGGACAATTCTGTTCTCGACTATAGCTTTAATCCTTAGCTTTATTATCATCTATCTGTTGTACATCAAAAGCTCAGCAAAATTACCACCTGGACCAATCAGTTGGCCTTTAATTGGATATATATCTTGTTTAGGTAAGTGAATATCGTCAATAAATTTTATCTTCTGAAAACTGATCACCTGAATTACAATTTATCAGATTAGCTCTAGTTTGTAATATTTATGCATACAACTTTAATATTCCCTTAGGACATTTCCAAATGCATGAAATAACATAAAATGTGTGGACAAAATTTTATTTATTTATTTAGTTATTTATCTTGATATCACGGATTTCATTCAACCAGGTCTGTTGTGAGATATCACTGAAGACAATGGTGTACGGTGGCGCGATTTCGTGGGTTGGTTGAAGTTAAACATTAACACTGTTGGATGCCGGCCCAGTGGTCTAATGGTTAAGCGCTCGCGTGCGAGACTGACAGGTCCTGGGTTCGGATCTCGCGGGGCTGGGGTCGTGGATGCGCACTGCTGAGGAGTCCCACAATAGGACGAAACGGCCGTCCAGTGCATCCAAGTTTTCCATGGTGGTCTAGCTTCAATTGACTCATGATTTTAACTATTGAAAGTTCACATAAAGGCTAATTTTAAGCAGAGAAAATCCAAACAACCAATGTAAAAATGGATTAAATACTCATATTGTTCTAGGAACTATATTCATTGTTCATTTATATTTTTGCATAGACAAGTATTCACAACAACTTGCACCTAATAAATGTTCTGGCTCTAATTTTTATCGTCAAATCTTTCAATCTCGAGCTAATAATCTAAATTGTTTTCAATATGTAAAGAAATCGCTGAATATTTTCAAAAGGAATTCATTTAAATTATCTTCTGAAAACTGATCACCTGAATTACAATTTATCAGATTAGCTCTAGTTTGTAATATTTATGCATACAACTCTAATATTCCCTTAGGACTTTTCCAAATGCATGAAATAACATAAAATGTGTGGACAAAATTCATTTAAATTATTTGGAAAGTCACACAGTGTGTACAGATTAAACCAATAACTAGGATACTTATAATAGGATGAAAACTATAAGTTACAATTGTGTTAGATTTAAATTCTTCGATCAATACTGTTGGTTTACCTTCGCTAAGATTATCTGAACAATATGTACATGTACATTCTTGTAACGACTTCATAGATCAACGAAAACTGGTTAACTAAATTCAATAATTGTTTAGTTTGAAACCGAAGTTTTCCATTTACATTCTATGGAAGTCATTCACTACACCATATTTGAATGATACAATCATGTGAATTAGTAAGTACTAAATTATATTGAAATCATACATTGACTTTTAAAGTCCTATATACAATTATTTTCAAGGCAAATAAACAAGTGTTGATTAATTGGGCTAGATTACGTACAACATATATTGTTTCTAAGTGATCACTTTGTTATCTACATTTTACACCTAACACCATATGATGATAATCAAACTGTATCAAAGGATTAAGTCACATGAATTTAACTTATAAAGTATGCAAATAAACAAAATTTATTGAATAGAGATAGTGAAATTAACCAAAAAACAATTAAGAAATTACTGTCCAATTAAGCTATTTTACACAGAAATGTTTTTTTGCATGATTGATAATTTATACTTTGTAGGAAGGGCTACGAATGAAAGTCCGTATGTTTAAGTTCATGGGAAAAAGGAAACAGAAGTGAAGATGTAACCCGATGACTCAATAAACACATAATAGAAAAAATGTACAATAATTTATAGTAGATAGAGTAGGGTTCAAAATACATTGATCATTGTTATTATTAGCATTGTTGCATAGCTAGTTATCGTCTCAGCTGTTATATATTTATTGAGACAGTATTTTTAATTCTGGTTGATGTATTTCCTGTCCATGAAATGTTTGAGATATATTGTTATGTCCTTGATCTGTCTACTTACTAACATACAGTTGATAACTTGTCCCAATCTAGATTAAGTCTTGACACGATAAGCTGACTGATTCAACCTTTAGGCTAGAATCGCATTCGTTTAAAGTGAGACCAACTATTTTGAGTAGAGACGAAAACTACTACATCACCTGATTGGTTGACGAGAGAGAGAAGACGAGTCAACCGGATCACCATCCCATTTATTTCCAAACCCGATTCATACTCCGATTCGGTTACGATTCAGATTAGTGCAAAAAGATACATGAATAAATAGATGACTAATTTGACCACAACTCACAAACAATTAGAAAACACAATTATGTCCAAAACTAGGCTTCAGGGTAGAAAAATATAGTACTAAAGGTTATGTTTAAATTACAATAGCTTTGGAATGGAAAAGGGTATGACAGTGAATCATTTATCGAACGAAAACTTATGGCTTGTAGAATAAACTAGGAGTAAAAATAAATGTTAGTGTTTTACAAACTTTGAACTAAGTGAAATAACCTGCATCTCAGAGTTGATGTTCACTCTGAGACTCGAACTCAGTACCGTTCGCTTCAAACGCCATTGCGTTATCCACTTAGCTACTGAGTCCTGATAGCCACTTGCTTGTGCAATGGGTCAGTCCAAAAACATCAATGGGAAGATTCAAGTAAAACAATATAAAGTGAATTAATTGAAATAACGTTTTTAAAAATAGCTTCAGTTGTTTATCACGGATTCTTTGTTTCTCTGTTCACGCCATGAATGTTTGCTAATTCAAATGTAATTAAAATTTAATGTTGTTTAAGGTTGTTTTTTTGTTTTCCTAATGCACTTTTATTATTATCCATATTTTTAAATTACTATTTTGCACTTTAAACTTTAATCACTTTATTATTATTACCTTTTACAAGTTTTCTTGATTATCATTCAGTTTATTATTATGACCTTTGTTGTTTTGTCGTTTTTCTTCATATCTGTCAATCTGTCAATTGGACTATTATCTGACCCTTAAATTTTGTTCTTCCTTACCCCTTGATTAGTACGTTAACCTCATTTGTTATTTATTGTCGAATCCATTTTTTTGTGATACAACCCTTTCTATCCTTCTATAGACATACATTTTCCATATAACTATATATACGAATGTACAGCTTAAGTAAATGATTTCGTCGAAAAGAGAATTTTCTTCGCTGAATTCTCTTTTTCTTATTCAATGACACTATGGGTTATTTTAATTATCTAAAATTTAATTATCAGTTGACTCGTGTTTATCAGAATGTCGTCGAATGACTCTTATTACTTATGATTAGACTTCCTGCTTAGTGGAAAATTAGATTTATAAGTTAATAAATGAGTGTGGTTTTTGTATTATAAACTGAGTTAATAAACCACAGGATTTTTGGGTCATAACAGGGAAGCCATAGTTTCAAACTCGTCAATTGTAGATATTTATGTGATGACATGGGATTCGACCCAGGACATTCTAGTTTTTCTCGTGAATATGATGGCTCACACATCTAACTTCAGTTATTTAAAAATATAACTGAACTACTGTTTATGCTGTCACTCAGATTACAGCTATGATCGTAGCTATTGAAATCCTCAAGAAGCTCATATCATCTCTTCAATACAATATGATTAATGTTACTAAGTGACTGGGCTAATATAATAAGCTAAAATCTAAATGAAATAATGAAAAACGTGGTGACAAATGAACTTGAAAATGATTTTGCCAAGTTTTATAACGGATTATTTCCCATTTTATGAATCCACATTTTTATTCAGAGATGAGACTTAATTTAGATTGGAGAAATGTCCAATGATCAGTAAATTCATAGGCATTCCCTTGATGCTGTCAATACCTTTTATTAGTAAACATCAAGATATGATAAACTTAATATGAAGTCTTTATTATCACCAAGTTGAACTGTTGAATACCATCTAAACAATCAAATCTATTTTATGAAATTAATAAATAATTATGAAAACAGAATTATATTTAAAATACAGTTAACAAAATCATTCTTTTACCATTTTAAAAATTTTGTAAATGATAATTCTATTTGAAATTGATGTTCTTTACCTTCTGAGAATGTTTTAATCTCGGACAGATCAATCGTACCAATGCTCATTAATCCTCTAGTTGTACATTACTTCATCATAAAAAACTCACTTCTAATGTGAAATGATTATTTCTTTAAAACTAGACCAATTATTTTACATAAAAATACAATCCATTCTATTCTTATTTGATAGGTACTGATGCTTTTCGTAAAATTCAGCATTTAAATAAAGTTTATGGTGATATTGTGTCATTTCAAGTTTTGGGAAAAACAATAATCATATTGTATAACTATGATTTAATAAACGAAGCAGCAAATGAGAATCGTTCGAAAGTTGGACGATATACAATGACTGTAAATGATTTATTGGCAGAAAATTCAGGTGAACTACTCTGAATAAATATATTGCTTGTTTTACTATATTATACAGTATAACTGTAACAAAATGTGAATGAGAAAACATTTTTTGCTGATTAATGCTGACAAATTCATAACTTTTCAATAAAAACTCTGTCACGAATACATCATGATTAGTTAGAGTTTTAATGATCCTGTTGTTTATATTTAGGGTTGAATGCTAACTAGTCTTTATTGGCTTGTGTGTATCATTTGGGGATATATCAAGGTAAACCAAACAGGATTTACATACGCTAAAAAAGATTGATCAACTTCATTCCTGAATATCAATGACAGTATAATTCAAAGCTTTATTATCTATAATATTAACACCATACTCACCGAACATTTTGGTGGCTATCTTAGATGATCATCTAAGTGGATAACGTACATGTGTTTGAAGGGGAAAGTGTTAAGCTCGACTCCTACATCATAATCTGTAGCTAGAGATATTGAGTGATCCAAAATCAATCTCAGATGACTGAATACAGTCACTCTTCATCTTTCTTTTACTGCTAAGTCTTATTTTATATCTTTCATATTTTGATATAATTCGTTTTTTTAATTTTATTTCAAATTGTCTAGATATCCACTGCAATAGATATTCCCAAACTCCTTATTTAAAACTTGCTAATTTCATCACTCGTTATGTCACTGTCATATGTGGCTTGACTCGATAATTGCTATTGTTCAAATTTCTAGATAATTTACAATGATATTTTTTTTTAAATGTTATGATTGTTTATACACGATCATCAGACAAGTATAGTTGTTTACTATGTATAAGATTTATTTTTAATAGATCCAGTATACCTAATACAAACTACTGAAGTAATGAATTCATCTTATTCTGGAATTCTGCTCTGATAACTTTCGAATTGTGTTTTATTCCTTTATACAGGTATTTCAAATTACGACACACCAAAGGCACTGGAAATGAGAAGAGCTCTTTTACGTCTTATACATAATAATATAAAAACAGCCGAAGAACACGAAGGTACTAAATTGCACCCATTTATATCGCAGAATATAATCAACGCTCAAATAAATGAATTGATTCGACAGCTGAGAATAAGACAAGGAAAACCTGTCAATGTTTTGTAAGTAGTCAAATATCATTTTCACTAAAAAATAACGTTTAAACAATTACACTTAAATTAAGTTATTACGACTCAGCTTGAGATTATTCAGGGGTTTGCAATTCTCACTTCTGAAAAACTTGGATCTATATGTTTTAAACTTAGGTGTTAACACTACACAAGCTAGTTAAGTTGTACTAAAATGGAACCTTTTCTTACTTGAACATTGTAGGTTCAGTCACACAAATTTGTGCTAGCGTGTATTATTCTTCAACTCACACTATGAGTCACATTACTTAAATACTAAACAAATGTTACTGGAAGTATTTGAAACAAGTTCTAACAAGCTGAATTTGAATAGAATTCATTCTTAAGTGAAAAAATATTCGTTTACTTGTAAACAACGTTTCAGTTAAAAATCATTCACATTAAGAAGGTGATAGAACAGTACATTCAATGAAGGGATATGGATAAATTTGGAATTAAATAATGGTTCAGACCAATATCAAAGCCAAAATCTTCAATATGGATGTTGATACAATTATACTATAAGAGGCTGAAACTTGGAGAACTACAACAACCATCATCAAAAATGTACAGGTATTTATAAACATTTATCTACGCAACATACTCAATGTCCGTTGACCGGATAACATTAGCAACAGAAAACTTTGGGAGAGAACAATCCAGCTTCCAGATCAAGAGGAAATTGGGGAAAGACGATGGAAGTGGATAGGACATACATTACGAAAATCACCAAACTGCATCAGAAGTTAAGTGCTAACTAGGAATTTTGAAGGTAAATGGAGGACAAAGGAACACATTGCGCCGAGAATTGAAAGTAGACATCAAGAGAATGAAGAGCAACTGAAAACAACTTGAAAGGATTGGTCAGGACAGAGTTAGATGGAGAACGCTGGTGGGCGGCTTGTGCTCCTCCACGAGGGATAACAAGAGTAAGTAAATAGTGGTTCAAGTGAAAGTCACTGTAAGTAATAATCCCATGCTATTTCGTATGGAATTGGTACTAATAATATATCTCATTAGAATTCAGGACTAATGTAGTTCAAAACTTTCAGTTATTTTTTATTAACTTTAAATTGATTGATGAAAGTGATTTTGATTTCATAGATTAACAGAATCAAAACATGAAACTGGGAATTGGTTAATATACCACTGAATCGATTGCAAAAGCAGCTAAATATTTTTGGCTCAAATAAGGAAGATGTGAACAATTCTCAAAAAATACTCAATTATCAACGAGAAGGAGTTTACGTAGTAGCATAATACAAAATACACAAATTTAATATCGGACTTATTATATGAAATAGGGACGCCTAACAAGATTTAAATGTTCTTTATTTATACGAATATTCGTCAGTATTGGAACAAATAGTGTGACAGAAATTGGATGCTGAGTACAGAGAAAACATTATTTGTAAAAATTAAATTTGAAATAATCTCAGCAATTAAAATTTATTTAATAGACAGATAGGAAAGAAAATGATCGAACCAATAAAAGAACAGTTAATTTCTAATTAACCAATCAAACACTAGAGAGATCATACAATTGAAAGACTAAGTACTCATTAGTAGTATCGTTATAATATACAAATCTTGCAGAATAACCAGTATAAGGCTTCACAAGGGAAATTAGGTAATCTAACAGTTTTGTAGATAATTCAGGGATTCTGTCTAGCTGGCTGATGAAAACTTGCTTCGGCAGAGTTCTCTTGCAATAAAGTAATTCGAAACCTTAAACGCAAACTAACATGTTATTCAACACAACCGATAGGTTTAGAGATTTTAAAAACACTAAGACTAACATAATGTTTCAGTTATGACTAAAAACAGAGAACACAATGCAAATTATTCACCTTTAAAAAACACTTATTCCTTCCTAACTCCTCATTTAAAAATTATTGGATAATGATTAGTAATGTTTCCCTTTCTTCTAGACAATTGGTGAGATGCACAGTTTGGAGAATTATTTGGAACTTAGTTTTTGGAAAAGAGTGTCAGTTAACCGACAAACAAATTTCAAATACTTTAGATGATATCTCATCGAATAATTTACAAAATCAACTTTTTCAAACAAGACAACTATTGCCTAGATTTTGGTAAGTTCCAAGTTCATTCTACCACATGTTTTAAATTTTAAACTTAATGCATATGAAAAATTGTCTAAAAATGAAAATGAACCTTAAATTGTAACAATAGACTATTTAACACTTTCTAATCAACATGATAATAATGCAGGATCTATTAAGAATATAGTTCTTTCCAAAAAACTAAACTTCATATCACCAGAGACCCCAAATGCCCTAGTACGGCCGAGGGTGGGGAGATTCCACTCTCCCTCTCGAAATGCTCTCACATGGCCACGTGCATACAACCACTGACAGGGAAGTCCTGTTCACTGCCTTCTCGCGGCGTTACTGTTGTTTAAGAAATTAAGAGGACAGAAAGTGAATGTCTGACGCTTTAACCAGATTGGTGGATACTGAGAGTTCACCTAGGGGAGTCGGAAAACCCTGATTCCAAATCAGTGGTGCACATGGGTTCCTGTATCCTGAAGGAACAAATGGCGTGTGAATCAATTATCGGTCACCGGCTACCATGGGACCGCATCTCGTGACGTTGCTTCACTCCCTTGTGGATAAGACATTTATGCGTAAGGGTCCGGATGTGGGTCCCTAATAAAACCACCTACTTTAGTCTGGGCACTCGGGCAGTATCACAGCCCACTCACAAATCAAATGAGATTTGTGTGGCACAGATGTATTCGGTGCCCATTCGCACCAATATTTATGTGTTCAAATAATAATAGATCAATAAAAGAAATTAAGCGAATGATGAGCAAGAGAATGGAAATATCGACTTCATAAGAAAGACAAATATGAAAGACATAAGAAAAAAATTCGATTAAAATAATTAGTATGAAATATTAAAAAAATAACAGTCTTAAAGAAAATAAATGACCAAAATATCTACTCCACTGATATAGATTATTGGCCAAACCATTTAATATATGTAATTAGTGTACAGATGGTCGAAATAAATAAGCCTGTACATTTAAAGATTTACTTAATCGAATGGTCAATAACTTTAATCACTAAGGATCTATGTAGTAAAAATTGATTTTCTCCTTTAAATTTAATGAAAAAATAACAAGAAATAGTTCGTGGATTGCTTGAATTTAGACATTAACACCGTTGGATGCAGGCCCAGTGATCTAGAGGTTAAACGTTCGCGCAGGAGACCGAAGGTTCTGGGTTCGAGTCCAGAGTATGGGATCGTGGATGCGCGTTGCTGAGGTGTCCCATACTAGGATGAGACGGCCGTTCAGTGCTTCCAGGTTTCCAGTGGTAGTCTAACATTCATCGATAACGTCTAGATATTATAGTGAGCTAGGAATTAAACGTATACTAGACATTCTGCAAGTGGCGACTGAATGCCGTTTAACTACATTACATTACTATTTACGTTAAAATATTTGAAAGTAATCATTTTTGCTTTGCATACCAATTCTTTACTTCAGTGTGAACATTTTTAGACATTCTCAATTCGCTAGAAAATTATTCGACATTGAAGAGATATTACAGAAACACAAGACTGTACGTCAGTTAATTGATAGCAATGTCGGTGACATATATAATTCGGACTCATTATTGGGTCAGTTAATCAATGATTCAAAATTGAATTTAACTAGTAAGTTTGTTTGCATCATATTTACTGAATTCAAATGAGGTGTAATTGTTAACTTAATACTTGAACATCCTAATTATGTAGGATTTATGAAGATATTTTAATAGTAGTGTCATGAACAAAGAAGTGGAGTGGGAAGGTCCAATTCATTTTTATATGCAAAATTACAGAGTACTTTCATAAAATATAAAAAAACCATACATTAAATACATAATTGGTATATCTTCCACTAATTGTTCTTTACGTGCTTCATGATTCCCTCAATCCCATTGCTATTATAACTCCTTTCTGTTTTCTTCAAATGAATCTTCTCAATCATCTACTGGTATGCATTCCACAGTCGGTTGGTGCTACATACTACTTACATCTGTCAACATAAGCAGCATACACCACCGTATTATTATTATTATTATTATTATTATTATTAGTAGTAGTAGTAGTAGTAGTAGCAGTAGTAGTAGCAGTAGTAGTAACCATTCACGTCTTATGGTATCATACAATTTACCGATTTACAGTTCAGTTTTACCTAGTAAATTCTGAATACCTTATTTTTCTGACAAACAGAACATTTTTAACTGTTAACATCTAGATGATAGGATTCGATCCATAGAATATTGGTTCCGTGTGAGTTTCATTTGTTTTTTTCTTGTGTTCTTTTTTAATTAAGTTACATGTTAAATATAACTCTATCAACTTTCTTGTTTGACATTTATTAAGATCTAGTTGAGAGTTTCTGCATAGAATGTGACTTTCATTGGGTATACTTTAAAATTAATTTATTTTAATCTATCTCGAATAAATTCTAACTGTTTATTCACCTCTAAAAGAAATCACAGATTGTATAATGAAGTAATTGTTCATTATATGATATAATTTATGATTTCCTTGTTTACAGGAAACTAAATGTTTGTACTATGTTTCAGTAATTTTGTTTATAATAACACCGATGCATTAATGAAATGGATGCAGTGTATAATAATCAATCGTTGAATATCAACTCCTTTTGAAGTTCAAGAAATACTGAACAATCAGATTCACTTAAGAAACTAGTTTTTATCATGTCAATATTTTAAAATGGCTAATGGTACTGTTATGAACAAGAATACAAGTGGGATCAACCGACTGTAGTGTAACACTACGTGACAGAGTTTTTTTAGTAAAATGTGAAAACCATACGTTCAATCCCCTATTTGCAAAATGTCCATTAATTATCTCAGACTTTATTGTTCCTTCATTTTTATACCAATTACTCTCTGGTCCCATTCTTATCTGTTCGATCTTCTCAACGTTCTAACGTCAGACATTTCATTTCTGCTTGGTGTTATATACTACTTATGTCGACATAAGTAGCACATAACCCAATGTCATTAAATTTATGGGATATTACTTTTCTAGTTTCATACTATCTATAAAAATTAATTTGAAACAAATAATACGCAACGTTTGTTGTTTCTATTTTTTGTTTTCGTTAGAAAATGATATTTCACGTCTTTCATTTGAATTAATGGCTGCTGGTACTGATACTACGTCTTTAACATTAACATGGGCATGTGATTATCTAACAAGAGCTCCACCAAAAGAATCATTTAAACTAAGCTCAGATGTTATTGATATGATTCATCGTTGGGCTAGTGTAGTTCCTCTGTCATTACCTCATATAGCACGTGAATCTTTTAAGCTCAAAAATTATTATATACCGAAATCATCAATTTTAATATATAATCTTTATGCTGTACATAATAGTCAGTTAAAAAAATTGACTAATACTGGACAAAAATCGGATGAAATCCAAGAAAGTGATAAGCCAATACCATTTTCACTTGGTAAGTAATATGAGATACTTTTATCAATCCATATTTGAAATACTTGTTAAGAGGTTTTTAAATCTCCGGAAATATTTTCTGTTATAATTTAAACGATTATTAGAAAACTTTTGAGATTTATTTTAAAGCTATGAATTAGTGATCAATGTAAGCACTTCAAATATTGTATGCAGTACCTTCATAAACCTGGCTATCATTATCCTGGTGTCACTACTAAACACACAGTCAAAGAAAGGATTATTGCCTGTAATCTTTATTAATTTTTGTTTATATACACATAGAATGTTGTATCAAAGTTGGATTAAATTGAAAGGATTTGTGATATCCATTTTCTTTATCTACTCTCCAGTCAATCAAATGATACATGGAATCAAGATGTATCTCTAACAGGAAATTAATCATGATTTGAAATATTCGCGTTCTACAGATTTCGTGGGGATCGTTAAATACTTTGAATGTATGAGTGTGATTTCCAGGCGCAGTCTAAAGCCATTTAAGTGGTTAATAGGAAATTCGGTTGTAGGTTGGATCATTAAGAGTTTTTTCTGCACCACTGCATTAATCACAAACTAATGTTACACTTCCTAATATAGTAACTGTCATTTTGGATGGTTCTCATGAATTTCCCTACTTACAAATCCAAGTATAGACTCGAATCTACGATACAGGAAGCCATTAGCTATGGCTTGCTTTTTACATAATTCCCACGTATTTGGGGTGGTTAACTAGATCTTGATCATGGAGTGGTATGCGCTTAAATCATTTTGCATTTCAGTAGTTAACAAATCATTCATGCTTAGCATAATAATCTAAACACATTATTTGGATCGATAAGGGCAACCAAATACCGAATGAAAATACATTTAAATCTGGTTGTTGACCTACCAAAAAGCCCAATGAACGTTGGCCGCTCTGGCAGGATAACATGCAATTGCCAGGCAAATTAACGCCCTGTTTGCAGGTACGTGGCCTCAGTAAGCCATAAGGTTAATTTTTAAAATCTGTATAAAAATAACTAATCATGGCTACGGGAAAGAGGAACCAAGGTAAACTATACACAGCGATAATCGAGTGCCTCACATCACCGTAGATTCATATAACAATGAAAACTCTGCGGTCGTTTAGGGAAGTTTGTGATGCGAAAATCATATCAGTTATCAAACTTTGAAGACACGTGGGACGCCGGTCATACAACGTAGAAAGAGAACTTATTTGGTTCACTTCTGGGACAAATTTTCCTAAATTGTCCTGTCAATTCTCCTTTATAGCTCTTCACTGAAATAAAAGTTGTACAGTTAATTATGAAATTAATACCAAATAAATGGTGAATCAACTTAACGATACATCGCAACATTTTCTCTAAAGACATGTATCACTTAGTTCCTCAAGAAATTCCAGTTTAAAATTAAAATAAAGTTGCAAGATCGGCTGATTATTACAACTAGTTACGAAAGAATGAGATTATGAATCGAGTGTTTTTGAAGGTAAACTACGGAATTTATGTCTAATGTTATTTGTAAAATAATGATGAGCAATTATTAAGACGATTACAAAAGAAATGTGTTGGTTAAATCATTTAAAATGATAACGTTGGAATCAAATTTAAAAATGAAATCAAAAATAAATCCAAGATCCCTAAATAATTCAGTTACGTTACTAATTACTGTTTTTTTTTTTTAAAAAGATATTGGGACACAGGATAACCCTATCTCATTATTACATTTTGACTATAATATAGACTGTATTATAAACAAAGTGTGGTGACATAAACTTTTTGTCTGAAAAACTTTAAAATCGATCACATTGCTGACACCGTTTGACTGAAGGATATCATAGAGGCCATTGAAAGTGTACATAGTCTTCTGACAATCACATAAGTATGATACTTGTTTACACCAAAATGTAAAGTATTTCTAATTAGTTAAGAAAGAGATGTACGGAAAAAGAGCTTTACGATGAGCTGTCAGGAATTATTAACATGTTTGTGCATCTTGACGGTTGTGTGAGTGATGGTTGTAGCGCAACATGTGCGACTAGTTTTTGTATAGTGAAAATCAAAGCAACTCATAACAAACTGCGTTACCTTTAAGACTATTAAATGTTGTTCTGAATAAAAGAGGTACGTGATGGGTCAAAATATGGTTAAATTGAGTCTTTTTCTACAAAAACTAGTATTTGTACGAGTTGAATGGTCTACAGCTTTATGTTTCTGGCCTTCGTGGAAAGAATGCAAAGGTCTGGTGAAGTGTTTATTCATGACAGACATTCTGATTCCTTAACTGCTTGCATCATAAAACATCGACTTATGTGACATGGATGTGTTTTACACATATCATCCCAGTGGACTTCATACTGATAGTCATTTTCTTTCAGACTAAACATAAAAACTTCAGAAGTTGATCGATTTTTGACATAGAGTAACCGAAGAAGTGATAGTTGTATTTAGTATGCGGCTGTCGGTTCCCCTCAAGGAATTTTAGACATCCTAGAACGTAATCGCCAATGAAGTCATTCAACACGGCTTGACGGGAAAGATATTGATGATTCTTCCGTAGTTTTGTATTATGATGCACCAACAAACTTTCTGAAGTTAACTTTGGTTTTATTCTTATTTGAATAATACCCTTTGATAATGTAGATTTTTTTTACATTTTATTAACATAATTCTCTCATATCTATTTACTTTTAATATTTTCATTTCATTTTGAGAAACGCATTTGTTGATATCCTTTTGTATTGAGAGTTTTCTTATGTGTTATAAATGAAAAAAGAGTAATATTGTAGTGAACGAAAACTCAGGTGGAAAAGACTAATTTATTACTAAATGCTAAATTACACAGTGCTTTCATAAAATATGAAAATCATACATTAAATACATTATTTGTTCGTCGTCTTTCGCTTGTCCTGTACATACTTCTTCAATCTTCAAATTCGGTTGTCACTTCAATTCCTCTGTTTCTCTATCTATTCTCTTCAATTCAATCTTTTCAAACTTCTACTACAGGCATCCCACTTCTGATTAGTATTACATACTACTTATGTCTGTCAATATAAGTAGCATAAATCATAATATTATTATATTCATATAAATGTTAATAGTAAAACAAGTTTGTAACTTGGTTTAATTCAAATTGTTAATATCATTGATTTCTTTATTTATTTACTATTTGAATAAAGGTTCTAGATCATGTCCTGGTGCTCGTATAGCTACTATACTAATTGAACAAATTTTAACAGCTATTAATCAAGAATTTCTTATTCAAAATATTACTCAATCACCATTTCAAACAATTCGTCCAGGAAATCAAGAAAGTTTAACACCTTTTGGAATTACACGTACTCCACATAAATCTATGTATATATTTGTTACAAAATTAAATGGAAGCAGAAGAACAAGTATTTAATAAATAAGATTTTAACTAAATTATATCGAAAGATTATTTTAAATTAATTATAATAATGAACTGATAAAATTGTGAAGTAAATATGATTTTCTTAAGTTAACTCTATTGATATTAATAATTCGTTCTTTTATTAATACTACTTAATTATTTATTTATAGCAATGGAAAGATTCCATATGTAATACCAATATAATTATCATCTATTTCGGAATATAATTCAATGAAGAATTTATGTGATATTGAATTATTTTATCTTTTAATTACTAAAAATTTGATAATGAATACAGGAAAATGGTTAAACAGATCCATAGGTATAACATATTACCTTCTCTGAATGAAAATAGTTTGGTTGAGAAACTTGCGACAGTCGGTTTAGTATTTAAGGGTTTTATTCTATCAAGGATTGATATTGACAGAAGTATCATTAAAAACCATGGAGTTGTGGGTAGTTGTTTGCTTCTAACATGTTGATCTTAAGCTATGCATAACTTTGATGACAACGTTGAAAGTAAAAGATTCATCGCTGATTAAGCTGGATTATTATTGCTTCATGTCATGAAGTGTTGAAGTTAGAGTTGTAAACCACCAGACTGGAACTTAATGATCTGAATTTGATGACTGCATTTCAGGAATTAAACGGAGTATGTCTGATACCTGGTGTATGTACACATCTATAAAGTCATGTATCTAAACGAAAAAGTTTCCCTATGCCTAATTCTTAGCGAAATTCTCCTTCAAATGATTCCGGTGTCGTATTATATAAATTCATAATCGCTCTTAATGGATTGTGTCAAAGCTAAACACTGGCTACTCTCGATTTAATGCTTCTCGTCAGCTTCAACCGTTATAAAGCGATCAAAAAATAAAATGTCCTCATTATGAAAGATCAAGTTAAAAATTCAAATTTTAACAATAAATCAGCGAAACAAGATACGATGATAATAATAAGCATCATAATTTAATTATAATGGTATTTATACTTGGAAAATCTAACCATATAACGTAAGTAAGATCTGTTCATAAGTAATAATAACAAGTGATTGCATAAGAAGCACCGTAAACAGTGTCCAGATAACTCAGATGAGATTATGTAATAAGTGGAATTATTCCAAGACTGTTAGCTTTTATCAGCGTAAAGAGTTGTCATGCTTTTCTCCGGTATAAATAGACCTTTACAAAGTAAATAAAATGAGCTGTACATTGTCTGCGAAGTAATTTGACATAATCATTTATCAAAACTCTTATTAGTAAGATATTAACTGACATATGATTAAAACACTTTGAACTGATTCGTTTCATTTGTTTGTTTATAATTTTTACCTCAGTTATATAAAACCATTCGTTTGTATTGAACTATATCAAATATGAAGTTAAACATTCTACTACTAGAAAACTAACATGTGTAATGGATTTCAGAATAATAATTCCATTGAATAAATACCGAATAATAATCGGTGTTGCTTATTTAATCAATCCCTAAGGCCTGGACAAACATAACAGTGGTTACCACTAAATGATCAATCAATGTCAATATCTCAACCCTACAGAAGGTTATTCTCAGACCGAAAAACTCACTAGTGGGATTTCAGATTGTGAAGCTAGGTGATGTGGGTTTGAATCTCACAGTGAACATCAGTTCCATCAAGAGTGGAGATACATCTTACTGAAGAGTCCTAGACTACATTCAACCACATTAAATAAAAAATGTTAAATCAAAGTTATTCAACTCCTGAGAAGTGAACATATCACTGTTTTTCTAAAGTAAATAATAATACAAACCGACTATCCTGTGCAGTCACATTAGTATTTGTGGGCTATAAATATTTCTAAGCTATCTTTGGTTTATAAGTTGTGAACACGGGTTCCAAAGAAACTAATAGTTCAATCCTTACAGTATCTTTGAAATTTTCTAAGAATTTGTATGTAGCTAAGAAGACTATTCAAACTACCTGTTACAACAAACCTTACGTATGGAGATTCATTTTGTAGGGAAATAAGTTTCTTCTCAAGCATCCTATTCGAATCAGCCTTTGGAATAAAATAATTTTCAGTCCCAATTCTAAAATTTCAGAACACTAGAATATAATTTAATCAGGTGTTATAAAGACGGCATTCTTAATGGCCAATTCGTTAGGATACCTCAGAAAATTATTTAAATACTCCATCATTTTACTTCAGTAACATCGTTTTCTGGAGTCGTGACAAAACATTTACCTTTCTTTGTCAACAGTCGATGAAGAGCAGTATTTATCTTTGACTGTAATTTACATTATCTCATGCACTGTTGCTTTAAATAACATAGGTGAGACTAGTGATAACGCATATATATATAACTACAAGTATAATACATGGAGAATAAAAACCCATCTTGTTTATCTGGTTTAAGAATTTACGGATTCGCTTAGACTTATGATCGTCAAGATGGTCACTGTTATACACTTTTAAACACCTCTACTGGCTGGAACTTCTTACGAAGTAATCCCGAAACCAGTAAAACCAGAAGTCGACAATGAAAGGGTGTAAACGTGAATTTGAATGAGGTCGATGTATCGAAGTGTACGCAATCTCAGCTGGATAGTTGTCGTAGATATGTAGTACAGAGTACTCAAACGTGATCTGATACGTATTGTTGGTTGAGTCTCTTCAGCTAGGGATATGTCCAGTGAAACTAATAAGATCACCATCAATGTCGAAGACTTACGAAGTTAATTATTTCAAGGATTTACTTACTACTACACTTATCATCATCAAATAACCTTTATTCCAACTTCATGAATAGTATAAGTAATCAGTTTTCTCTGCAGTATGGTAACTATTGCGGCCAGAAGTATTCACGATTTGTAAACATTTCGGTGCTGAACTCGTAGTTAACTGCATCACCACAAATAAAATACAGTTAAATGTTTCCAGTGACGAGAGAATGGTCACATTATTAGTCCTTAGCAAAACTGGAGAGTTAAAAAAGCGCTAAAGAAATCATCAGATAGAATAAATTCTTCTTTATCTACATGTGTTGCACTCCAATGAACCTCTTCATTTCGAGGTTAATCTAATTTCTTACTCTTAGATATCTCTAAATGATGTCTGTTAATATGTCATTCCGCCTTTATATTGATGTGGAATCGCAAGGCATAATAATTGCTGGTTTTTATCAATTTAATCTACTTGATATGCTTTTGTTTCTTTGACGTCTAATTGATTAACACAAAAAAACTAAAACGAACAAGGTTCATTTGAACTGATGTGAAATATGATTCTCCCAAGTGGGTGTATCTATTCATAATTTAATATTAAACGACGGAACTGCTTGTTTTATTAATCAAACAAGGGATTCATAGGATTATGGGTGCGCACTGCTGAAGAGTCCCAGTCTAGGACGAAGCGACCGTCCAGTGCTTTCAGGTTTTCACTGGTGATCTAACATTGATCGGTTCATGATCTCGATAAAACTCAACAATCTCCACAACTTTATACTGATTCATTTTATGATTGTATATGTGGAATTCACTGAACCTGAAATGATAACTAATGATTATTTATTAATTCAAAACTCTGCAGGCCCATCTCCTAAATTCAATTCATTTACATACATCATTTTTTGGAATACTGATTGGATGATATATTTACCATAGAAAGTCAATATTCTTTGTTTGCTCTATCATGACAATTACTGGCAAATTTTAATTTGTCGTTTAAGTATGACAATCACTTCTTATTAGTTAAAACGTTTAAGACATTTTTTCAAATTAACAAAAACAGGATGGATTCTGTAAATCTACTAATCTGATACCAATTTTTAAAGGAAGACTCAATAATTATTGATCGGTGGATCATATGCTCACATATGTGAGTACAAGTCAAGGAGAATCAGAGTTAAGAGTGAATATAACTCATAACAAATTCCAATAGATTTATATAATCCACTTTATTAAATAATGAAATGACTACTTAGAGATACTTTTAAGTAGTTTAGCTTGTCAGTTTAATCTCGAGTGAAGTTATTTATTTTTTTCCTAGGACTTCAAAATATTGTCAATAAGTAAGTAATAAATAAGCAGTTGTTTTTGGCATCTATCACACAAATTCTAATTGTTAGTAGATGAGGTTGTGGAGATTATTGAGTCATGAATACGTTACATCGTAAACTGATCGTAGTTAGATAATCATCGAAAAGTATACAGCCCCGGGCAGCTATTTCGTTCTAGCATATAATACGTCAGCAATGTATCCCACATCATGCAATGATTAGTGACTAGTTTTCGGAGTTGATTTCCTGATTTAAAGTGAAAAACAATCGATGATGGTTGGACAGTATTACAAATTGACGGAAGTTTGAACGACTGTATGTCAAGTTAGTGGTCTAAAATTTAAAGTTTCGTCGTAAGGCCTAGAAGTCTTGGTTTCAATCCCTGGCGTGTCATGGATGTACACAACTGAGTAGTCCTGTACCTAAATGACATATTTATCCACTGATTGATCATTTTCAATAGTTATCACTGTAAAGTAAGAGCGTGACATAAAACTAAGATTATCTGATAAATAGTGAAATTAAATCAGTACGTGAACGCGTGTTTTGTGTAGCAAGCTTATCTGGTTAAAGTGTTTATCATGGAAACAATATTCACCTACTATCTAATGATCAACATCCATATGAATTCGAGAACCTCTAGCGACTGCTCAATTTGACCATGTCAGGAATGAAACAAGTTTTTTTCGGTAACACTGAATAATCTTCACGTTGAGTCGTAAAATGAGTGAATGCGAAAATTCGGACTATCGGAAATGAACTAAATGGTCTAAAGTTAACATAAGACCTGAAATCTCTTATTTAAATCCTCCCCGGCATTATAAATTTACCGTGTTGGTATTTCATAAGCTAGAACAACACAGGTGTCTAGTGATCCTTGAATTTCAAATGTTCTTCAGGCGATATCACTTAGTGGGGCAAAGTATTCAAATGAAAGTGGGGTAGATAATTTACTCTTAAAATCAGCTTGTCAAGCGTTTAGAGTATTATGTAAAGTCTCACGGAATAAAATGCTTTATCTTGTTAATGATACAAATTACGTCATCGGATTTATTTATATTGTGGTGTGTTATCATTCGTTTTATTTAGAGCTTTGTGCGGGTATGCTTCTAATGTAGACTTTATAGATTAAAAATTTCTTACTGTTTAATTTGATCATAAGATTCACTAATAAGAGTTGTTCGTTATTTCATATACTTTTATCGATTTGAGTTTTTGTTCTTGTCTGCAATATTGATGTACTCTACTACCTTGATTTAGTCAGAATCTCATAAAACGCCAGCTAGATAAACTGTTAGATAAATTACTGACACTCATAATCTTTAAAGGTTTGCTATATTGTGCTATCTATATTCATGTATCCACGTGCTTTCATTGTTTTCTCATGAAGGTATTATTTTGTTTTCATTTTAACACATTATTTGTAAATTGTTAAAATATCTGTAGGGAATTAATGTTTTTCGGCATTACATTGGATGTGATTTTGAAACAGTAGTTGTATCTCGATGACTAAATTATTTTCTGATATCTGGTTTTAACTTTTTTCAGAAATGTTCGAAACAATTTCAACATTTGCATTCATCAACACTAGGTCTGACCACATTTGCGAAACAATTACGTCAGTAATAACAATATATTCTTTGTAAACATACCATTTTGTAAATTATAAATGATCTCTAATGTAAACTGAGTTTGAACTGAAAAAAGACAAGTGGTGTGTATTTGGCTTATCATTCGTTGTATTCTACCTTATGTATTGAAATTAACAATATGTTTTCAGGTTAATTAGCTAAAATTTAAACGTTTTGACTTGGTTTGATTTGATAATTAAAGTTTGATAATGGAAACGTTAATTCTTGCTTAACCGTTTGTTGTGTTTGAAAATGCTTCACTGAAATATATGTAACTGATGGTCAATCATTCAGCCGTTCTTCATTGTTTAATAAATATATTTAGCATAGGCTTTTTTCACTGATATAAAAAATAAACCATTAACCAAGAGATATGTAGCAATTAGAGTTATGAAAGTAGAAATATGTATAGCAGAAATTGGTAACTTTTTAAATAAAGTCTAAGAATTAAAAATAATGATACTGATCGTAGTGAGAAAATTGATTATAATGGGAGTAAAAGTATGGCATCGAGGACTTTAAAGTATGGAATAATACTATGAACAAGAATTTGAAAAAAAAGGAAAAATGAATGTGTCACTACTACTGGGACAAATTCTGTACAATATGACGCCACTAACCACAGTCTAAAATGGTTTTGTGGATTCCGGACGGAAAGCATGTATTTTCTTACTCAATGGTCGTTAATATCATGAACAAATAATTGCCGTTCTCTAGAACTCATTATTCGTTTTCCAGTATAACGATCAATCCAATAGTCAATGTAGCACGTCAGTTTAATTTACAGTTGGCAACGGCGGACACATGATTACATATTTATGCAAATTGCTTGCTGTTAAATTATCATTAAACTTATTTTCCTTCCAATACATATAGCAAACTCAACAATCATAAATTAGTAGAATGAGATCAGTTACCTCAAAATGATAAAATATGGAGAATTACCTCATCTGCAAAATTCGTGGATTTATAAACCATAACTGATTATGGAGTTGTATTAAATAAAAACATGTGACAAACAAGTTCCAGGCTTATAGTTAGTACACTTTTAACAATTCATTACTCGTAACTCACTTAATGGTCCTTGTTCAAATTTGTGGAAAAAAACTTTTGCACTAAATAATCACGTGCGAGTTACGAATGTTATATTTTTTAGAAATTGGTGTTGACAAAATCCTCTTCATCAATGTGAAGTGCAGTCAACAGCCTTGATTACTTGACAAGAAGTTTAGATTGATCTTACTACTAAGTGTTTTGATGGTATGGATCTCTTTAGATGGACCCATATGTGTTATCATGGAGAACTGTTATTCCTTGATAGATTCCTATGTCTCATCACACTATTACAGTTAGAAAGTTAATCACTGAAATATTAAGGCTACCACCTATCTCGTACAGATGAGTCACACCAGTTACTTAAGAATTACAGACTCCTTGTTTATTTATACCCTAGTATAGTCTATTTTGATTAGACAAATAGAAACCATTTGATCTGAATTGCAGTTATTAATATTGACTTTCATAAATATATTACGTTAAGTTTTCGAGGTGTATTAACCGTGACTAAAATCTCTCAGCTCATCATTTTATTACGTAACTACTTTATTCATTAGCAAATGTTGATGTAATGAATGATGAGCATTCAAGATATGGTTATTAAACGCTTTGATATCTGATGTCAAATAAAATTAATAACAGATAAATCTACTAATTTTCTGCTTTTTTTTGTTGTTGTCAAGGCTAGTTATTATATATGACAAGTCATCACTAGTTCATTTAATTCAAAAAACGTAATCAATAAAACTGTTATGGTTTGTAAAGCTGAAAAAAGGTCATTTAATTAAAAATCCTCAAACTACATCTTTCTGTTCATACCGTAATAAGTTCTTCTTTACTTAGACACTGATTATGTGATTCGTTCATATTTTATACGAAAAAAACAATAAAATATTGATCTTATATATGTCACATGTATTATGAATAATCAACAAAAACATCAGGGGTATTAGGAACAATTAAATCAAAACAGCTCTGTCGTTTATGTGAATTGTCAATGATGGGTGCATTTGAACGGGCTGAATGAATTTTTCCCGATTGAGCGTACTGGTTCTAGTAATAAAAATGAAAAAGTAAATTCACTCGAAATAACTTTAATTCAGCCTTAACCTAGAGGATATCTTTTTGCAAAATGATCATCAATTGCGGAACAGTGAGACTCCTTTACTAGTCGTAAAATGATGACATAAAACAACGAAATAATATACAAACCCCATATATATATATATAGATTATACCGATGTCATAGTGTTGGAAGCAAACTGACATTTTAAATCTATGGTGGAAATATTATTAGAATCAGTTATCCTGATTTTTATTACATGTCGTTCTTGAATTTCCCACATAATCAAATTATTTTTTAATGGGCTTTTACAAACAATGACTACTTGTCTCCAGATTAATTTGGTTAAATTTTGCAGACTTCCGTTAGCTTTAATGATTAGATATTATTGGTGTAGGGGGTTTGTGGAGATCATGAATCTACAAAGATAACATAAGAAATTGGTCTTGGTCAGATAACTACTGAATGCCTGGATAGATGTCGCGTCCTAGTTTGGGACTCCTCAGCGGTGTACACCCAAGACCTTATCACGAGGGGTGTAAAATATCGGAACCTTGGTCTTGCTAGGGAAGGCTTAAACTTCAAACAACTAAACCAGCATCCAACGGTTTTGGTGTATAGCTTCAATCACTTTACGATATTGCACAACCCTCGTTCATGGTCAGAGATGGATAAATATCTCGTACCATACATGGATGAACCCCACCGGTCATAGCTTCTCAGTAAAACTCCAGGATTTGCACTATGAATCCAATCACTATTGAACGCATAATTATTATCATCATATTGAATTTGTAAACGAAAACTGCTGGAGCCAGCTCAGTGGTTTGTAAGTTAAATGTTCTCTCGCGAGAACGTAGATCCTGGGTTCAGTTCCCGGATCTGGGTTCGTGGAAAACTGACGAGTCCTACATACTAAGAACAGTCGACCGATTATCGCTTCCTGGTTTCCAGTTGTGGTTTAGCTAAGATCATTTCGTTATTTAAACTATGCTAATCCAATTTCTCTGTAGTTTATCTCTGCTAACAAAAACAGTCGTCAAAAATGTCTCATGAGAACAATGGAATTATCTTGATATCTGTTGAGATAAATTTTACAAATGCTGTGAAGTGTGGATAACTCATGTTAGCGTTTGTGATATAAAAGGCAAAGTACTGTGCAGAAAATTAAATCCTGTTTGGTGGAGTTACTTTTCCTGAGTTGCGTAGTTTAGTCACAAAGTTTTCACTGTCTTGCTAGCTAACATCATAAGCACAAACTTCGGAGAGTAGTACACTATTCATATATCTTTACATGACTGACAAACTTGATCTGTCGACTGACCATTATGAATTTTAATTCGAACAAGAAGGATAAAAGATTGATGATCACAAAAGAAGTTTTCGGAAGCATTCCAAAGACTAACGTATTTACCACAAGAGTACTTGAGTAGATAATAACTACTAAAAATATTTCCAAGTTTTGTTCAAATGAACAAATGGAGGTTACTTGTTTATAAATGACATGGACAGCCCAGTATCTAGTTAAAATTTTCAACAATTAATCAGCAAACAAAAAAGTGGTCGTAAGTGATTTAATAATCAAGTCACGTATCCACTGTACTTGCTACCACAGACTGCGAAACGGGAAAAATATAACCTAACAAGCGGATCCCTTCATATTTTATCTATTCAACAGATCTGAGTTAAATGCTCTCATATAAACTACGTTTGCGTAACCATGAAGTACACTTATACGCTGATCTAGTAAGGAACGTGACCTATTAAAATTACTATAATCTTAAGGTGATCATATTTTTCCTAGAATATAGCAAGAACGAAGCAGACTTCAATAAAAAAAACTGTATTAGTAAGAAAAAGAATCATCTGACAAACAAACAAAAGATTCCAAATAAGTAAAGTAAAAATAAACAAGAACAAAAAATGAACCTGAGATTCAAAAAAGTTAGCAGAAACTGACTATAAACAAGAATTAACGGTGTCTAAAAGTTATGAATAGTAAGGCTGAAAAATTCACGTTAAATATTCATCAATAATTTGTCCAATTCGTTCTTGTAAATCACAAGCTCGGAGTGATCCTTGTGTTAATGCTTCAATTTCAACGGCTAGTTGATAAATTTGATGATACAACTTTCTTCGATTCTTCTTCGGTTTGGTGTTTGCTGTTCGTGTTCGGCGATTGGCAAACCAAGAACTCACCTGCAATTGAAATGAGTTTTTAAAAAACTTGATACCATGAACAAAAACGTTGAACAATATTTTTAGAGTAATCCATAACTCAGCCACAAGCAAAATAAAATTGTTAACGTCTATCATTCAAGAAATTATGGTTCAAAACTCCAGAATGTACGTTTGATAAGTGCATGAACGAATAGTAATAGCAAACATTCGAATAACCTGACTATGTTTATTTTTTGCACATCCAGGAGCTTTTAAAGTAAAGTTTTCCAGTATACTTTAATTTATGACATAAACTCTAACGTACATGTGACCCACTCTCCAAAGTCATGAAAAAACAACTTCAGAAAAAGAACATTTAAATGCATTTCTCACCATAAATTACTATTTATTTCAATAACTAATGCACACAAATTTGTAACAAAATTTGCCTAACATTTAACAAATATATAAAAAGGTTGATTGTTGTTCTGATTACTCAAATTCCTAGAGTCGATTCCTGAATAATCTTGTGAAAAATTATATGAAAAAGCAGAACTGTCGATTTTTAAGAAGCTTACTGACAAGCTTAGAGCCATCATACAACGAATAAATTAGATGTCATCACGAAACATAAAAAGTCACCAATAAGACGTTTCATAACTGATTATCAATTTATAGAATTAACCTACTTGAATGACTGTTATTCCACCAAGTGCTGCTAATTCTTCTTTCTCCGCTGTTGTAGGATACGGGTTATCTACATGATTTGTATACCAACTTTCCATCACACTCAAGGCAGTTTGATTTAATGGTCTATTTCGTGTTAAATTGATCGCGTCAGAATATCTTTTTGATCTTAAGCGGGAATTAAATTTCAGTTTATCACTTTTTGACGTCCATGAATAGCTATTTCCAGAGATTGATTGGTCTAAACAAATTTCATTTTCTCGGTGAAGGCTCGAAATATCAAATGATGTGGAGGAATTTTGGGTAATTTCATCTTGAGGAGTATGTGAATCTTCCGTTTGATTTTCGTTGAGAATCGAAACACATATAGTCTTTCTCTGTTTATCTGACAATCTTTTGCGTGATGAACATTGAACAGAATTCAGTTCTGGTTGCCATGACGTTTCACTATGATCAAAGCTGTTCTCATCTTCTTGAGATTCTTTACGATTATCGGCAGACTGAGCCGAAAAATCACTACTGCTTTGTGCGTTCATTAAAATGAGATTTGGTATATTACCGGCAACCACAGATGTCCCGGAGTAATCACTGGATATTTGAGCAATAGAATGAAAAGCAGACATATTTTCCCTGTACATAAATTTACTGCTGAAAGTTTCGAAGACTGAGACTGTTCATTTGGCTTTCCACTGATGTACGGGAGGTTAGCACCGCTGATGAATAAAGAGTGTGAATTGTAGGAATGACCAAAGCTTGGATTACAAGAGAATGAATTTGTGTAGTTCATTAGTCCCTTAGTAGCAACATCCGAATTACAAACTGAGCCTAATTTCGAAGCGCAGTTTTCAGCGTAAAATCTGTCGACCCAAGGCCAATAAACGTTATGAGTTTGCGAATAGAACGATGGTCCTTTAACACAAGCACTGACGCTCTCAGAATTCTGAGAACTATCTTGATATGATGAGATACAGTCTATCACGGAATTTTGAGAACTGGAATTAATAAAATCGCTTGTTGTGTAATGTTGAGAATGTGTATTCATTAAGTTGTACGCAAATTCAGGAAAATTTGAATTATACGACTCTTTGGATTCGTCATCTTTAACGCGATAATTGTTTAAACACGCCTGTGGCTGTAAAAGCTGTTGGTCTGTAGAAGTAGGAATGTTTCCACTGTCTACGTAACCATCCAATGCATTTTGTTTATCACTTGATAGATGACCTGTTCTTATGCTAACTGACTTTTGAATGTCATCACGCTGACTAACCCAAAATGTATCAGGATCACTTTTGAAATTTCTTTGATTATCATTCTTCCTTGATATATCTGGGGTTGATATTGTGTCACACTGGTAGTTAAAGATTTTGGTGAATTCATTTGTAACTGTTGGTGTACAATTGTGATTGATAACAGTAGTAATCATATTAGAAACAGGGATGTAACTGCAAGAATTCACACCATGACTAACTATGGATGCTACTGCATTGACTGTCTCGTTGTTGTCACTTGTAAATTCTACATAACGACAAGTGTTGTTTGTTAAGTTCTCTGGCACATAAGGAATCGTATAAATCGAATGGCATGCATTAACGCAAAACTGAGGTTCACTTTCTTCAGGTTTAGTAATTGCATCTTCAGTTGATATGTAACTATAGTTACTTCAAAGTTTAAAAGAAAGGAATTAGGAAATAAAGATAAAATCTACAAATATACTCACATAGTATAAAAGGTGCATAATAGTATGTAGTGATCTACAGAGATTACTAAATCGTATTGATCCGCATAAAAAAATTTAAAATATTTGATCAATATATATTGTAAGGAAAGTTAATAATTATTCATACTGACGACATAGTATCACTTGTGGCAAACGATAAAAGGACTCCATTTACGTAAGTTATCGGGATTAATTAAATAATTTTTTTCTTTACTCAGCTTCACAGCATGATAGTTAAAAAGTATATATATATATATATATATATATATATATATATATATATATATATATATATATTAGCAATAGGGAACATGATGTCCAACGACAGTTTTCTTGTCACAACATTGAATATTATACTTATCACTAATATAAAAAGTCGAAACATTTAAGACGCTATGCACCTCTATAATTCATCTGCACAGTAAACTCAATTTTTATCATTGTCACTATCGATATTTAACATGATATAGTGTGTGAATGTTAAATTCTACCAACCGAGTAACAATCACGTTAACTATGTGCTTAATTGTGGAGAATAATTTGCTTCATTTAAGATCTATGAATTTATGAAGCAAACATTTTGAAAATTTTATTCACTGTCCGGGATTCTTAACGAATTTTCTTTGAAAAGTTGTAGCAAATTTTATATTAAAATTATTTCCATAACATTTAAACTGATATATTTTGGGCTTACGACGTCATATTACCTACATTAGAGTTATGTGGATAGAATTTCGTCATACGCTTCAAAGAATCTAATGATGAATTAGTAAACCTAGTCAATCAATCATCGAAATAGACGTCGGCGAATACATGTGATAGTCGTATATCAATAATACATCAGTCTTCAAATGTCCTGATTAATTAAGGTTATTGTATATGAGATTCAGACTAGGCAGTAATTTGTCCAAACATTTTATGTTCCAAGTACATTTTACTACGTATCTTAAAATAATGACCTTGACTAACTTACCAATAGGAACTGTAGCCACTTTCATTGACTGACGACTCCAAATTATTTCTAGGGTCTTCTGCCACAATTTTATTTGATCGGTTATCATATAGATCGGAGTAATGTTCCACTCCTGTCGGTGTTCCTATAGTATTTTCATAGCCTAATTCTGTTGGACTAGATCCGACAGTGTGTTCATTTGATTGAGAGTCCGAAACTGAGGAGTTGGCTGTACAATCTAGGTCCATTAATAAAAGCAATTTAGCTAAATCTGAAGACCATAAAGTGACTTTTAAATAATAAACATGACAATTTTATTGGTCAGACATATTATTTATTGGTCGATCATTTTATCGGATGGGAGGGGAGACAACAAAATCTAGAGGCACACTTTGAATGAATTCTTATCGATTGAATGACCTATCCAAATAATCCCCGAAAAACGCACCAATCAACGTTTAGTATAATAAACACGCAAATGTGATCCTGGACTCAGTTTAAGTGGCTAAATTATTTGGTTGCCTGATGTTTGAAAGTAATAGGTTAAAAATACTCTGGGATAAACAAAATTAATAGCTAATAATCAGTCATATCTTTAACTTCGGGAGAGACTTATCGATTTTCTATAGTTTAATTAAAATTGGGTTCACCAATCAAAAAGTCAGCTCTGCATATTTGTTCTTAAACATAAGCATCGAACATAAGATGGATACTTTTTGTTATTTGAAAAGCAGAAAAATCTGATGATCGATATCAGCTGTTTTGAGACTCCTCAGTAGTATCCACACATGGGATGGAAATCTTAGTTTAAGGTCTTTTTTCATATTTAGTAGCTTATATTGAACCAAATTAGCATGAATAATAATAATTTTTAAGCAAAAGCATGGAAATTTTCGGCATCTCATAGCTATTATATCAACCGTTAAAACGATATATCTAAGAACATTTTGTTTCTTTGTCAATAAAAAAACTAGTTGACATAATACTTTCTTAGTCAGTATCCATCAGTTAGGTAAGTATATGAAGAAGAATTCCCATATCAACAAACAGTAATGATCAATATATTTAGTCTATTCTCTTTTAGTAATGCTCATAAATATTCGTCATCGACTCTACACAACATCTTGTTACATTAGTAATTAATTTCTCAACGAACACTAAAACATTTAGCCACTGAGTAGAAGTCTATTAAGAAACATGCACTTCGTCAAGTTTGCGACATAGTATACAATTCTTGGTAGTTCTGTATGATGTACAGTAAAAAAGCAAGGAAATGTACTAGAAGTGTTCACTAACGTAGCTCATTAATATATATAGTAAACAAAATGGCATCGTAATTACTTTTCATAAATGCTACAAGAACTAAGGCTTCAATCGAATGACAATTTCCGTATATACAAGTATAAATACACATAAGTAGTTTGATTATATCCACTTATGACTGTTCAATGAGTTATTCATGAAAAACGGGTCGTAAGTACAATGTCCTGTGTTTAGTGGATTTATAATAATTATGCTACCAACTAGTAAATATTATGAATATAAAACTATGAATGCAATTTTTAAATAATTTAGTAAAAGATATCAACTAAGGCATTGAAACGATTGAATCTTTATTGTGATTTATTGTTATCTGTGCTGTTAAATAATTGTTTTCGTTCATTCGATTCAACAACGTCATTTCTCATCAGTCAATCAATAATAAGTACACCCATAAACAGAAACAACTGACTGTGAATTCAGTTGGAAATTGCAGTATGTTTGATATGAAGGATAATAGTAAATTTGAACTGTATGTTGATAAAAATTAACGAATATCAAGATACTCTGTTAGTTTAACAATATGACTTGTTTATGAAATAACTCTGCAACTTATATCAAACTCTAGGTGTTGTGTATTACTCTCATAATGAACTATAGACACTTAGTTGTTCTTAAACTAATTGTGACCGAAAGTACATAAAAATGCTCGGCTAAACTAGTAATTCGGAAGATTTTGGTATGAACATGACCCGAGTTTATATTCATATTGCCTTCAGTAGGTAAATACATGATCTGTTCCATAAAAAACTCTGAGAGGGTTGTATCCTTTCATGATGAAATCTAAAAAAATATTTCACAAAATCCAGAATATGGTAATAACTGTGTATAGAAATGAAATGTTCACGGAAATAGTAGTTTTCAAACTGATCAACTGATTTAGTGATGGCTATGAAGACTACAAAGATGATGTTAATACAGAACGAACATTGATGAAAACACTAAACTTGGTATGCTTTTCATACTTTCCGATTATCGATTAACTGCTCGAATAATTGTTGGTGAATTGAATTTAGGTCTGGCTGTGTAAATAGTAAGCAATAAAACACGAATTGATAGTATATTTTGAATAGCTTTGACTTATTAGGACTTCTAGAGACACTTTAAACAACAGAAACAGAAAAAAAAACAAGTATGTAGCCACAAATGAATGTTACATTAACTGGAATAAGAATAATGTACTCTATATGTTATAACAGAAATACCTAATGACCTGAGTTAACCTATTAATTAAAGAAATCTATTATGTAAAATAGCAAGCCAGTAACAATCCAATCTATTCTAAATCTGTCATCAAATTACCGATTGACACTGTTTAGTTTACCTGTTATTAATGATCAAATATTTCCTATTACAAGTTATATTTTGGGTCATGAAACTTGGCAATAATAATTCATAATTCAGTTTAATAAAATAACAAATACTAGGCAAATAAAATTATATGATAGTTTTTCGTACTAGACAATTGTTTTATAAATATTATCAATACTATTACAGTTTAGTTGTATGACAGAATAAAATTGTCCAGTCTAACCAATAAACTCGAACTACTGCCCTCAATTCATGTATTAATTGTTCTTAATTTATTTACATATGCTATTGGAACCACTAAATAAATAATTTCATTTTATAAAACCAATTAAATTACTTAAAATTGTTTATATTAATAATATATCAACATAATAGTACACATAATAATTTTTAATCATTGATATATATTAAATTCCAAGGTAAAACAATAATTTAATATTTAGATTTAACTTTACAACTAGTTAACATTAACTACATTTATCTAAGCAATTGTTCGAAGAAATTTCATTTAATATACATCATTCAATTCGTATGAAGATCATGATGTGGATGATAGTATTTATTACTTGGATTCTTGCTGTGTATGGTGAGTGAAACTTTAAGTATTATGGTGTAATGTGTTTCATGTTAATTTGAAAGTATCTTTTTTGAACGGTTCATAAATTGATGACCTGAAATGAACAACACGTAAACAATTGTTATTCAATATGATGTATTCTATGCAACAAGATTTGATTAAACACTGAACTCCTGAGGCGTTTTCTCATTTTCATTAAACTTTAGAGTTGTTAGGCAAAAGGTTTCGTTTGAGTAGATGGAATCAGTTTAAAATTAAATAATTGATGCTTTCTTTATTGTGGAGATAAAGTGTTATTCGTATATGAAATGGATTCTCTATTAAGATGTCGAAGGAAAATAACGTCTGTTTCAATCCGGATACAACCCCACAACTTTTAATATTTTCATTATTTATATTATACTTACTTACTTACGCCTGTTACTCCTCGTGAAGGAGCATAGGCCGCTCACCAGCATTCTCCATCCAACCTTGTCTTGGGCAATCCTTTCCAGCTCCGTCCAGTTGTAATTCATCGTTTTCATATCTGCTTCTATAATCCGACGCAATGTGTTCTTTGGCCTTCCTCTTTTTCGCTTCCCTTCAAGATTCCAAGTTAGGGCTTGCCTCGTGATGCAGTTTGACAATTTGCGTAATGTATGTCCTATCCATTCCCATCGTCTTTTCCTAATTTCCTCTTCAGCTGGAAGTTGGTTTGTTCTCTCCCACAGAAGGCTATTGCTGGTGGTATCCGGCCAATGGATGTTGAGTATCTTGCGTAGGCAGCTATTTATAAATACTTGTACGTTCTTGATTGTGGTTGTTGTAGTTCTCCAAGTTTCAGCTCCATACAGTAGAACTGCCTTGACGCTGGTATTGAAGATTCTCACTTTGATATTGGTTGAAAGTTGTTTTGAGTTCCATATGTTCTTCAATTGTAGGAATGCGACCCTTGCTTTGCCAATCCTCACCTTTACGTCTGCATCTGAACCTCCTTGTTCATCGATGATGCTTCCCAGGTATGTGAAGGACATCTTCCAGAGTTTCGCCATCAAGAGTGATTGGATTGCTGTTCTCCGTGTGGTATTTGAGGACCTTGGTTTTCCCCTTGTTTATGTTGAGGCCTACTGATGCAGAGACTGCTGCTACACTGGCTGTCTTCATCTGCATCTGTTCGTGTGTACGTGATAGGAGGGCTAGGTCATCTGCGAAGTCCAGATCGTTTAATTAGTTCTGAGCTATTCATTGTACGCCATGTTTTCCTTCAGATGTCGAGGTCCTCATAATTCAGTCGGCCACCAGAAGAAAGAGGAAGGGAGAGAGTAGACAGCCTTGTCTGACTCCGGTCCTTACTTGGAATGCATCTGTCAGCTGTCCTCCATGCACTACTTTGCACTGTCGTCCGTCGTATGAGTTCCGGATAATATTGACAATCTTCTCGGGAACTCTGTAGTGTCGAAGAAGTTTCCTTAACGTCCTCCTATCCACACTGTCAAACGCCTTTTCATAATCAATGAAGTTAATGTATAGTGATGAGTTCCACTCAACTGATTGTTCGACGATGATTTGTAGTGTTGCAATTTGGTCTGTGCACGACCGATCCTTACGGAATCCAGCTTGTTGATCTCGAAGTTGGGTGTCTACTGCATCTTTCATTCGGTTCAGCAACACTCTGTTGAAGACTTTCCCTGGTATTGACAGTAGTGTAATGCCTCTGTAGTTCTCACATTTGCTCAGATCTCCTTTCTTTGGAATCTTGATGAGGTGTCCTTCATTCTAGTCCATCGGCACTTGTTCCTCTTCCCAAATCGTTTTGAATAGAAGGTAAAGCATGATTGTGGTTGCTTGGATGTCTGATTTCAGTGCTTCAGCTGGTATGTTGTCGGGTCCTGCTGCTTTCCCGTTCTTGATTTGTCTGACGGCCATCTAATTTCTTCCTTCGTTGGTGGGTTGACATCTATAGGAAGATCTATGTGTGCTGCTTCGATGTCCGGTGGATTCCTTGGAGCCGGCCTATTCAGGAGTTCCTCGAAGTATTCTACCCATCTGTTATGTAGTACACTAATATATATCAAAATAAGCTTATAAAAGGTGGATGAAGATATCCAATTTATCAAACTCCTCATTAACAGTGACGTTAACGGTATATTTTAGTAATATACCTAGAGAAAATTGCATGTAACTTTCATATCACGAAAAATTGAAATGAAGGTAGCACATATTTACCACGAACAAAGTTATTTAAGATACTTGAAACAACTACGTCATATGTAGACAGAATTTTTGTACCAGCCTGGTTAGAAAGTAGGCTTTGTTTGTTGGAAATGATTATTCATCTGCATTTTTAAATAGTCGAGTGCTTTTGGTCAGCTATTTACATCAGCTGTACAACTAGACAAGTCCATTACTGAATTTTCGAACACTCTCCTCCAAAACTAAGGGCAGAAAAAATTAAGGATAGGTATGAACACCATATTTTTATACTTGACCGATACAGGATATCAAGAAGATTTGGATAAAGCTGTTAAAATGTCAGTAATTTTAGACAATAAACATACATTTGTCTTAAATAAGTAAATACGAATCATCTGTTTAATGTTTCAAAAGCATCGGAGTTTTAACACTTGTTACTTAAAAAAAGTCTCAAAGAATATATAAACATTCAAGATATTCACTTAATAGTCTTTAAAGTTATTTCTATATTTACATATATGAGATAACAACCAGTGTAGGGGGTATCGTTTAAAAGTCGCGTATTTTAATTTACCATCACTTTTGTTATAGCACATCAATAAAATTACTTTTCTTTCGTATTTTCAGCCCCGATTCAAATTCGTGGTGAAGTTGAAGACCCGACTGCTTTAGATGACCAAGTGGAAAATGGATTAAATGATCAAATTCTAACTGAGTATGAGGCTTTTTATATTTATGACCATATCGTAAGTGCGCCAGTGTTGACAGAGTTCTCTGGTTTTTATTTTCCTAATTGTGTTTGAAAAAAATCTAGTTCATTGTCGATGCAGAGAGACTTGTTATTCTTGGTGTCACCAATGTCATTACGATAATTTATGATCTGCTTATTAATAGGTCTTTCTTATTAACCGAGGATAAAGTTTTATCATAATGTAATCAATAGTGGAAATCAAATTCGAATTTTCGACGATTTCTTTCGCTAATAATGGTAGAAATAACAACTCATTATTATACAGACATCTCTCAAAGTTTTATTTGAACAAGTTGTTACTTGTAGTTGATTCATCCTATGAATTATTGTCAGTAGATGAAGGGGAAACTTTCTAAATACTTATAATAGGGGGTAGGGAATATCAACGGCTTTATACCTGCAATTTAATAACCTTACTAATATTTCTTATCTATTAGTGTGCAAAATTTTCTGATCTATCTTAATTCTTTTCTTAAATAAAATCATTTGGTTTAACTTACAATATGAAGCATATGTACACATAGTTCGTTGATATTGGTTTATTTTATAACCATATAAATGAACAGTATGTAAATTTTTTTATCAGTTGAATGTCACAAACCTCACTATAGATATTCCTCATCGGACTAGAGAAGTCATAGCGATTACTTGAAAAATAAATGGATACAATTCTGATTAGGCTTGTATGTGAACTTTTTAATCTTCCTCTGATTATTATGTTAATGCATACAGTTCACCGTATTTGTTACATCAAGTGTCTGTGTCATAAACAATCAGTTGGCACTTAGTTCCCTTAAATATTACCGAAATGTAACTAACTACTTAATAGATTATATTTTTCAATGATTCAGATACTAATCTTAAACATTGATTTGTTCTCAGAAAGAATTGAAATGTGATTAATTTAAGTATGGTAAATATTATTAGTTTTAAGATTAGATCTGAAGGTAATCTATGTAAAATATCGTTTTCAGTTAAAAATAACAATTATTCTGGTTCATTTATATTCTGCTTCTTTAAGATAGATATATCACTAAGGTATTTGTTGTATTCCAGTAAAAAACCTGATGAAGAGATTTAACAATAAAGTGAATAATTTCTCCCTGTCTACTTGATTTATGGGATAAAATATTATGCGTCTAAAACTATTTATCTAGTATTTTCGATGTACAGACAAAATTAGTAATATCAACCAAGTATCTATTAAATCCAAGATATGCTTAATTCTGTTTATTATCTTATCGTAATGCAAAAACTGAAGTTTAATGAAATAACCGAAAAGAAAGTGATATTAAAGAAAATTCAGTCACTCATTAATCGCTTCCACTAATATAAACATTCAACAGTAGATCAAATGAATTCAAGTATCTTTTATTCGTGCACAATTCAACATGAACACTGACGCTGATACTCCAGATGAGATATTGTACTAACCATGTAGCATATAGACTGTTTGACAGTTTGTCTTGTACAATGCACCAGGTATGTGCCATGATCTTCAGGAATTGATATTTTGTGGGACTCCAGTTGTAGATTACAAATGTCTTCTAGGATGTAGATTGCAAATAACAATTGAAAGCACTTACGTTATTAGCTGAAGTAGGATTGCTCTGAAAGGATGCTTGGAAGAACCACTTCATGCCAAAACATCTTTATTCAAATTACTAAACCACCTGTCTGAGTTGTATCGAAATGACTAAACCTTCATGACTGGGTCTTTATGTTCATAGGAATTAGTAGTTTGAGTCTTCTGGTAATTAACTTTTCCACAGTATTATGCTTCTATAACTTTAACACTTTTATAATACTTCACTTATTTTCACCTTCTCAGTCTCTCTAACCTTCTGGTTTACTTTATTACCATTCTGCTTGACAGAAAGTTGTACGTCTGATCCCCGGTGAGGTCGTGAATACTCACTTCTGAAAAGCCCCATATTAAGATGAAACAGTAATTCAGTGCTTCCAGGTTTTATTTCAAATATACGTTTCACGGTCTAATTATCTGAACACCTCTTATTACGTAATCTTATAATATTCATGAATGTCACTTCAGTGTCTATATTTCTCTAATCATTGACCTATTTCTCATTATGTAACATTGATTCAAGTCTTTATTATTCTCATCACAACTAGTACACCTGTCATCACGCTACCGATTTGTACTTCTCACTTATTTATCTAGTTTATTCCACTGTTATCATTGACTCATAAACTACCTTGATTGGTCTAATAATTTCATATATGTATATAAATATTACTGTATATTAGAATAAAGCCTGATGAAGATCTAATCGAAAACAATATTGTTCGCTTATATGTATTGTTCTAAATTGTATTCAACCAAACTTGTTTATTTTTGTATGAAGAATTTACGTTAACTGTATAAATTGAAATTTATATTCACATTCATAAAACGGTGTTCGGCTGATATATGAGGATTACTGTTTCCAAAAATGGGACTCCTCAGCAGTGCGCATCCACGATCCCGCACGTCGCGAGATTCGAACCTAGGACCTAGTGGTTTCGCGCACTAGCACTTAACCACCAGACCACTGAGCCGGCATCCAGCAGTGTTAATGTCTAACTTCAACCAATCCACAAAGTTGCGCCACCGTACACCATTGTCTTCAGTGAGTTCCTATCTCACAACAGACCTGCTTGAACTCCACTGGTAACGACTTCTCACCAGGACGAAACGCCCGTCCAGTGCTTCCAGGTTTTCCATGGTGGTCTAGCTTCAATTGACTCATGATTTCAACCAGTGACATTTCTAAAAATCTCCACAAAGCCCATTCTGATAATAATACATCTATATTATTTTTTACTGTTTACATATTAACCACGTGTGAATTCAACTCGAATTCCTATAATAAGATGAAAAGTAAATTCTTTTTTTTTTTGATTATCACTCATATTTAAGCATAATTATCAGAAATTTTTTGTCTTCAAATAATCAATATTTTGCATCATTCAGAATATAGTAGATCTGCATAAACAAATGTTAACACATCTATTCAAAGGTTTTTTTTGTGTGTTCTGTTTTTAATTTTAAAATTTAAAATTTAAATTTTAAGCGATATTATGCACTCGGACATGGAATATATTTTTTTTAAAATGATAAGTGGAGAAGGTGAGAAATAAAAATCTCTAGTCGTAATCGATAAGGGTGGCCTGCTTGAGCATCTGGGCTACCTGTTATCTATTTTTGTTTGTTTTAATATATCATTATGTTTATTAATCGCATAACCTATCCTAATGCATTTCTGAAAAGTGTACAACCTTTCGTTGTCAAAGTTACAAAAAACTCAATAATAGAAAATGTGGTTGCTGGCAATATACAACGAAAAGAATGCACATTATTCAGATGTTCATTTACTGAACTGCTAACATCTAACTGACGATCACTCAATATTTATCGCCAAGACCGATCAGAAGAAAGAAACGGAAACTTGTTGAAATACTTTGCGCTGAGAATTCTATATTGTACCAAAAATATAATATTGTATAAAGCTGATAATAGTAATAATAATAAAATAGTTTACTTGTAACTTATCATTGTAATATTATAAAATCAATGATTAGGCAATCCTCAGTAACTGTATTTACAGTGAATAGACAGAATTGAAAATGACTACAAAAAAAATTATTATTTAGAAAGACATGATCAATTTGCACAGAACATTATTGATCTAATACACCTTAAAACGGTAAATTGAATGAATAAAGACTGATTTAAAATTCTATTATTTGGGGAAAAATTGACAGCTGATAGATTCAGTTAGTTTACTCAAGAAATAACTTTATTTTTGAAAAGAGTGATAAAAAGTATACATGATGATCCATTGTTGATGTGTAATGGAGTAGTCCTCAAATGATTTATGACAATGGTCTTTAGGGTAATCTCATGTTTAATAGTCACATAATATACGACGTTTTCCCATTCATTTCTAATAGAATTCTAATTGTACGGAGCGTGACACAGAGAACTACTTAATAAGTGAGATTTTGAAGTTTCAGGATAATTTTTATTCGTAATTTGCCTAATCCTATACATAATGTCAGAAGAAAAGTTACTATTTCTACGACTTCGGGTGATTATTTTTTGAATAAATTACACGTGTAACAATGGCTGTATAGAAAGCAATCAAAACACACTAGTGAATGACTTACGATCAAGCAATAGAAAGTGATCCGAGGTAACTGGAGGAGAAGATACTATTTACTATTCAGTCTATAAGTAGTACGTGCACGTCATAAGCCGTTAGCCGATTTCATTCTATATTTTCATTAATACACTAGCTATATAATCAGCTTAAATGATAAACTGATTGGCGGTTCTCGATCGTTTAGCTACTACGATATTTTAAGCCAAATCGAGAAAATTAATTTACAGTAAGACAGGTTAGATCCAAATATGAAACCATAGATGGTGTATATACTCAACATTTAAACTCGGGTATAATGAACATCAAGCTCACTGGTTAGAAACCTTCGGAATAAGTAATATGCAATTCAAAATTGGGATACTTGAATTTATAAACACTAAACATTAAACATCACTCGGACCTCTGTGTAGAAAAATAGTTTGTGATCACTCTCTGTGTATGTGTTGACTGGTAAATTCACTTTGATATTATTTTAATTGCACTATTCTTTATTAACGATTGTTCACAGATTTTAACGCAGTAGTTAAATGTCGGTCAAAAGTGTTTCCATCTGTTATTTGTTACATAACCAACTAGTTAAAAATTATGATAAATTGGGTTGTCTTTACAACTCTTGTAGTTTACATATTATAACGTATACCTTAGCTTTACTTTTTAAAGTTTCCAATTACATCACTTGAATTGCTGTCGTTCACAATGATAATGTGTTCCTTATTTCGTTTAAATTATTCCAAATAATTATTTTGATTTCAATCTGTTCTTATTTATAGTTGATCGATCATAAAATAAAACGAACTTACAAGATTAGTTTCAGTAAATTCTGCTATCCTTACTTCGTTTGCTTTAATTATAAGGACTGATGACTGTATAATGATAGATAGACTGAGATTACTCAGTTAAGCACAAACAAACTCTAGAAACGGACACTTTTCGATGTATTGTACTGGTCCAGTCAGTCTAGTCAATCTATTCGCAATCTCATCTGAGTGATCTCAAGACTCTTATATCACATGCAACCAAGTAATGACTATTTTATGATTAAAATGTTAAGAATCCTGACCATAACTCCTACCTTGACATGGTGGTCGGGCTTGTATGTTGTATTGATCCGGTAGAGCTACATTGGTCGCAACATATAACTCATGCCAGGCAAGTTATTAGGACAGTGATAGAACTGAAAACAAAAAAAAATCATTCCACCGACTAAATAAAAGCCTGGTAGCAGTAAGTTAGTTATCTCAAACAGCCAGTGTCTGCGACCATTTTGTTCTACCACAAGACAAAGGGGCTCGGTTCAAAAACAAATCATCTCACCTTATCAGAAAGATTCTCGTCGCTAACTGTAAGGCCTCAAAAGTAATGAGTTAATTTGTCTAAAACTTATCACAAAAATATCTATCAGTCATTTTCTTCGTGTTAGCATAAAAATAGGGATCATAATTTACTTAGATTTTTAAGTATTTTATTTATTATGTGTTCTCTTAGCTAGATGATTTAATTGTAAAACTTTTATTATTGTTCAAGACAATATCACTAGCACTTACTGCTAACTGAAGCACTGAACTTAGCTATAAATAATCTTCACTACTTCTGTTTTATATATGTTTTATACAATTCGTGAGAAATTTTGAGAAAATAGAGGAAGTCATATTCTCTGGAAGTTTCTAGTTGTAAACAACCTAGTGAAATTATTCAGCGGAAACATGATGTATTAATCTAATTCTGTTCACACATCCCCATGCAATCATACATGAGGGATTTCTTCAACTTTGATATTCATTATTTAATTTCTAGATATAAACTTATGAAACGGCATTAATCTACTTTCCATCTTTTCACTACTATTGTAGGCATCTTATCTATCTAGACCAGAGGTTGGATTGTCAGGTTTCGCGAAATTTTTCCGTGAAAGTGCAAACGAAGAATTGGAGCATGCACGTAAATTCAGTGAATTTGTCAATAAACGAAACTCAAAGGTTGTCCTGAAAAATATTTTAGTGAGTTTGACAAAATGTTTTGACGGTATATGTATGATGTTGAAATAAAAAAGTACCGTTTCTTATCTAAACCAAAATAATGTCCACTTTATCATATTAAACCTAAACAAGGATAAAATGAACTTGTGTGATGCAGGTCATTATGATAGGGCTCGATATTTGTTCGGATCAATATATGTAATATTGGAAAAATCATTGTATTCGATAAATTTATGTTTGTAGGGAGTATCAATGTAGTTGTGAGAAAAGTTATAATGATGCACTAAAATTTAAATCTAAGAGAACAATTTCAGGTCGAAAATATAAAAAAATGGTGAATAGTAATCATATTAGGTAAACCGAATGACATTTGTCATCAATTTGAGGGGTGAGAGGATTCTAAATAAATGCACATTACTGTGATTGCAAAAGTATATCTGCCTCGAACCAGACTGAATAACACTCACGAAATTTAGTATCAGGTTATAGAAATGGTGATAACAAATTGCACACCAAACCATGAAAATAAACATTTGACCAAATGAACTTTAGTCATAACTGTAATATATAAAAGATCGTTAGTTGCCATGCAACATTTCGTTCCTCACATCTTGTACATTCATGATTTTTTCTTATTATTTGTGATTCACGTCTTGTAGAAAAAGTTTCTTACAACTTTTCACTGCTCGGATTAAATCAATTTAAGGAGAAAGGATTATAAATTAAAGGATGATGTTATATCCTACGTCGTTAAACACCGATAAATGTTGATAGTATTATTAATCTAGTTTGAAAATGATTACACCAACGCTTATAGATAATTTACTATCCGTTTTTTCACGTAATTCCTCAGATTTCTTTTAATGATCTAGGTTCTTCCTAGATAGATAGATGGAAAATAGAGAGTACATTTTATAAAACTATATCATTATATCTAACCATGATATTAATGTAGAACCTAACATGAAGTTACGTTGGTTCCAGTTACAATTTAAACTGTTGTTTGACTTCGATCATTATGACCCAGCATAAATGTCTAACCCTTCAAAGTGTTTCACCTTGGTTCACTACATCAAGAGGAAGTTAACAGAATCTTTGGATCAATATTTTTGAGATTTATTGGTTCCGGCTGAGTTAATTTTGAGAAAATCATTGTTTTCTATAAATATGGCGATGAGTGAGAGTAGTGATCTTATCAATCCATATTAATTGGGTATAAAACCTCGGTCTCGTCACAAAAATAATTCATTTTTTGTAGTGATCCTGAATTTACTGAGTGGTATGGTGTACAAATTGAAGATAATAATTTCAATCGTCAACTATTTGATAAACGTGCTTTACGAACCGTAAATTATAATGTGGTTAAATAATTGACTTCAAGAAATTCATAAAAACCAAATCAAATTAAAATAACATTTATATCACATAAATACGTGATGATTCTATTCAGTTAGAGATAGTTAGTTAGATTTATAAATGCATCAGATATCTTTGAGATGATTTTATTTAGTTATTTAAAACACTTCATATGACTTAGTACAGAATAGATGGAATTTAGCTTACAGTGGAGGCCAGGACACGTGTTTCACCCTACCTTTTTTGTCTAAACACATTGACAAAAAGGAGTCCTGTGAATAATTTGAAAGGAAATCTGAATATCATTAAAACGGGTTCCCCAATTAGAAAAGTATGTTGTTGCTAACTTATTATATGCTATCATAAGTACATAAAGTTTTAGCTGGATGTGAATATGTTCACCCAATTTTATTCTTTGTTATTTAAATAAATTTCAATATAAAAGCAAAAGAATCATGTTCTACATTCATGGAGTTAAATCATATATGGATAAGGCTTGATATTCAAAAGGTTGTACAGAAGCAAAGTACTAGACAAGAGTGCTTATAAATCTGCTGTATGATTAGGTATTACAGTTTTTGATAGTGAAACACGAAAACCAAATATATTTAGTCACTGGTCTCTCTTTCGAGTACTGTGGAATCTTGGGATTATAGTAATAACTTTGTATTTCGAGTGATAATAGATTTAATTGTCTACATATATAGAAAAATGTACAATGCTGCATTAACAACTGTCGACCTTAATTTTGTCTGCCAGTTAAAGTTAGAAGCATAGTAGAACTTAGAAATAGAACTGATTGATGAATTCAGTGATTATTATCGCAGTTTGTAGAGGAAATTGTTGACTTCTTGCTGGAGATTCAAATGTAAATTAATTAGTTACTCAAATAGTAAATTTTAGCTGAAAAAATCAGCTGACACCTCCAGAAATAGAAATTTCCGTGTGATTTTATACTTTACTAATATCATATCCTAACGAACTGAAATTTATAAACTCATAAATATTACTTGATCTGGCAAATAAGGCAGACAATTTACTATGTTTGACTGTTTGATTTAGCAGATTATAGAAATTATGTAACATAAAATTAAGTAGAACTGAATGCCTAGATGAATTAATTCCTCCATCTTATCCTAATTGATGGAAGTTTTAATTTATCATTACACTTAATCCCATCAAAAAATTATTTTTGGCTAGATCATTTTCCCATTTATGAACACTTGCATGACACTAATAAACGCTTTTCAACACAATACATATGATATCGAGTCTTTTAAACCAGTGATGACATAGCAACTTGTTTGGTTGAATTCGATCGGCAATTAAAGTAATAACCAAGCATAACAATAGTCATTACTCATTAATCAGTCAGTTGTAAACTTCTTAGTCCCGTAAGTTGTTCACAGACCCGAAAGCTCAAAGGCGAATTCATAGACTGCAAATTTGAGTAAATTAAATTTGAGTTTCACAGGAAGCATCAGTTCCCCAAAATTACAAATTCGTCTTTCCGAAGAGTACCAGACAGTATAAAACCTAGGTCCAGAGTTTCCTGTCGACTACTTCTAACTGCCTAACATTTCGTTCCCTTTATTTATTTCCCTTACTTACGTGTTGGTTCCACGGTATAATAAATGTGGGTAGTGACACATCACCTTGAAACAGCTATGAGATTACTTTCGATAAGTGATAAGTCATATAATTATATGTATCCTATTTGTATTAATCGGTATTATATCTAAAACGTGCTACGTAAATGAGTTGAAACTTCTAAACTAGTTTACGGTACGTTTAGTTACTACCATTTTATTTCGATTTCTCGATTTATGTTGATTTTTTTGTTATTAGGATTGACGTATTCCTTTACAGTGTCCCAAATATTTTGTGACCAGTTGATTAAAACTTCCGGAAACAATATATTCTCTGTCATAAAATTTTAAATGATTAGTTTAGGATGAAATATCTTCTTGGTTCTCGAAATAACAAGTTTACATAGATGCAAATATTATAACGAACATATTTAAACTACTAAAATTTTGTAAAAAGTGGGTTAATGTTATTTAAGCTCACTTGCTCATTACTAACCATATTTCTAATGTTTGCCTTTCTGTAATATTCGACACTATTATCTCTATTTCGCTTCTCATCTTGTTAATCTCTGTTGCATATGTTTCTTTAGAGTATAGAGAATCGAGCCGATAACTTGTAGTTTCCTGCTTCACACTTGATAGTGACTGACTATACAGTAGATAGAAAGGGCAAAACGAGTTTCATGAAAAACACATTAAGTTTGGTAGTGCTAAATCGGAAAAAACCTATTTGACTAGACAATCTTACATGCTATGAAATGAGGTATCACTGTAAATCTCTAAAGAACAATATAAAAATATCAATAGCTAGTTGTACAAGCTAAACATAATCTTCATTAGGGACGACTAGTGGTTGGAGAACCATCTAAAATAGTTAGCACTCAAAAGTTGAACTAACTACCCTGAGAATCCTTGAAAATGTACACTGACAAGTTCACACGAGATCTAACCCAAATTAATTGTGTATTATAGCGAGTACAACATCTGTGATTGACTTATACAGTTGTAACCAATAGTTTTATTACTGTAAATGCTAATAAATAGTTTTAGGCGATCATAAAAATATGCCAGCTTAATAAATTAGTCAGTAGATGGATTACGGTTTGTCTGATTGATAAATACACACTGAACATGCATAAATTACTTCTCTGAACAATTTGATGAATAACAGTGTTCATAAATATATAGTTTGTTCTCTTATAAACAATGTAAAGATACTGAATACATTTGATTCCGTTTTAGTGTATATATATATGTTTGAACACACTAAATTTAATCAATACTTACCTTCCCATGGAAGTCAATTGGACCTATATCGCACCACGTTTAAATATATATATATATATATATATATATATATATATATATATATATAATCTCAGTTTCCATTTCATTTAAAGATTTTTTAAACTTAAACTGTTTCTTAAATAAGAGATATTCCATTAATACAGTAATTCATCATATTATCTACTCAAATGAACTTTCTCGTTCTGGATCATAAATCCAATTTCTATTGAATGAAGTCTCTGTTCAATAATTACAAAAAAAGATTGATAGACATGTCAGTGATAAATATCAGAATACGCAAAGGAAAGATTTTATAAATCAACACCACAATATAGTGTCGTACTTAAAGTAATCATATTTCTCAACAAACAACCACAAGTTAGGGACATCAGTAAGTAGGTAGTAGGCCAAGTTCGGGAACCATGAAAATAAGTAGCTTTATATGAGAATCTGATACATCACTTCAAATGGATAAACTGCATGATAGTGTATTTCAATTGAATGTGTCACATACATTATATATGATTATTCCTTTGTTCAGTTTTCCTTCCCTCATTTAATTCGTCTCATGATTTGGTTTCAGATGTACAGTTTTAATCAATGACAAAAGTCCCATTGAGTTCAGTACATTAGGTTGTTAAGCTTTTGGTTATTATGTGAAGCTATTGTTCACAGACTAGAAAGTTTAATTATAACTTTATTTTCATGATTTCGTGTAGTAAAAACACGTCGTTATGAATAAGCTTTATTTCCCAACTGTTTAAGTCTTAAAACACTAACATAAACAGAATAGAATCTGACTTAAATCTGTCCAAATTCAGTTCAGGATGAATTATTTCATGCCAGAATGATGAGAGAAAATTAACAAGTGTAAAAGTAAGGGAGTGAAAATAACAAAATTAAAGTAGTAAAAAGAAAATATAATTTTAAACCTTTATGTAGTGAGATTATAGTTACGATTTAAAGTATGACAAAGAATGTGTACATCCACTTGAAAACTGTGATGGCTTAATTTAAATTCCGTAGTTATCCATTACGATTAATCATGGAGACCAACCAGAATCCATCCATTTACTCATAACGTTTAAATTAGTAATTAATAAACTAATGGAGTGTTTCTTGTCCAAAAACTCCATAGAGTCAAATCATTGAGAAACTAACGTTTAATTTACATATTCAGAATTTAATTCACATTTTAATCATTTATGATAGAGATGATTGACAAGTAATTAATAATCTTGAATGCAGTGTCCTTTAATATTTTTCTATAGCTGTTTAATTTTTATCATTTTTTGCTTTCAATGAGACCATATAGAATTTACAGATTTCGATCTCCCTTCGTTTTATTTACTAACTCAATTAACAACACCGAAATCGAATGATAATTTACGTTTCAAGTAGAGAAACCGACTGACATATTGAAATTACTGTGAGTAAACATCCTTCTGGACAGTAGAGTCAGTAATTCTTATTGAGATTGAATTTAGTTTGTGTTTCTAAATGTGGACAATGAGGAGACATATACATTAGTTTAAACCATTATTCTGATGCATTCTCCAGTGATCGACAAATTATTTAGTTAGTATGTTTCATTTAGAACTTCTGAACATCTGTTCATTTAGTATGCGACCACTGCATATGAGAGAGTAATTTTCATTGATTTCATTTCAATTCCTATCATAAATTATATTGAATTAGGATAAACATTATGCTTTTCATTCAGTATGTTGGGCTTATCAACAATGACGGACATAGAACACAGTTACAGACAACTCTGGGCTTTTGAAAGCCCTAGTGATAATTATTCTTCGGTATGCAGCATTCGCCCTCAAGATATAATTATCCGATACAGCATACTTAATGGACATTAAAATGTTATCAATAACCAATCGATCGTGGATGCGCACTGCTGAGGAGTCCCACACTAGGACGAAAGGGCCGTCCAGTGCTTCCAGGTTTTCCATGGTGGTCTAGCTTCAATTGACTCATGATTTCAACCAGTGAAATTTCTAAAAATCTCCACAAAATCCATTCTAAAATACATGAATAGTTTAATTCAAGTTGCATTAAAAATAATAAAAGTAGTTAAATTTTTATTTATTGAGTATAAAAGGTTTACTAAATATGTACTCTTAACAATTTTAAAAGTTCTGTCATGTTTAGATGCCTACTAAAGAATTAAACACGTAACACATTGTCACACAGAATAAAATATACATTTTTGGCGTGTGCACTGTTCATTTGATACCTTCACTGAAATTAAGTAAAATATGAAATATTATATAAGTTGATTATTTTCACTAAAGGTTGTCTACTCACTTATAGAACTATTTACAATAATTATCCTTTCTGTCCTCTCCTCCTCTCTATACTAATGAATATTTCGCTCCTCATTACATAAATGGATTTCAATACTTTCTAGAAAAACCATCGTGTCAATGAAGTAAGTACATTTCATAAGTAAATTGAATATCTTAATTTATACATATATTCTAGCAAGCCAAAAACATGAGATTTCAAGTTTAGAAAAAATGATAATTTTTGGTATGAATAATGTTAAAATATGTACACTTCATAGCTAAATTTAATAGAGCAGTTATAATAATCCACTGTAGGTGAACCTGAATGACAGTTTAAAATCACTGACAGACAGACAAATGTATTCATTCTTTACATTTATTTACATTATTAGGTTTATTATTAGTTCATACTTTTTATTCCTCGACATCATTTGCTCTTCTTGAGCTTTATTATTTATTTTTGATTTTTTCAACTACTATTATTATTTACTTCAATTCATGTTCTATCTAATTTACCAATTACCGCTCACATTGAAGTGAGTGAAATCTTTAGCTGATGGCTAGTTGTGCTAGAGCTTACTTCGTTTATGGCCGTCTGATCGATTTAGATTTTCAACGATCCCGAAATTTTGCTGTAAAGCAGAAGTAAAATGCGAAGAAACGTCACTAAGGTGATTATATTAAAAACCTGATACATAAAAAACTGCCAAGTGTTTAACTCGATTCTGTTTTGTTAAATATAAAATATTCTTGTTAAACAAATAAATCATACTTCTTAAACTTGATTTAACTAAAGTAAATACGAACACTTTTTTTCGTTCTGTTTAAATTAAACACTCTATTACGTTGTCATTATTCGGTTTACTGTTCTATCCTATATTCCCTTATAAGTGTTTTATAATTTTAATTATTAAGAACTAAAACTCGGATGATAAAAATATGAGATTAATAATTATCAGTCTTTTTTATGGGGAATCTTTATATCATATTCCCTACTTTACCAACTGACTACTCCACTAACAAGTGTTTGCAATTAAGTATTAATCATTAGTACCATGATGAACCAAAAAGGAAAGTGAGAACACTCAGTCATCAAGATCATTGCAAATTTATTTGTATGGAACTATCATGAGAAAAATAAAAACCACAATTTTTACTTTAACGATAAATGTTAGTTTATTATATTACATACCACATAAATAGTCAGTATCTTAGTACAAAAACTTGCTGAACAAATTTTCTTTAAAGGTAGTGACGAAACCAATTACAACTGACTACTTTTTTTAGTTACTAATTTTGGTTAAAAATTATTTCTGTATTGACTTATCATCGAATATGAGGTAACATCACGCTTGTTTGCTAACTAGTGCTGATCGAATCCTAGCAGTCAAGTTGCAGTTTAGCCACTGAATGACTGAATATAGTGTTACACAACTTTTGATGTATTTTTGTGGTTTGAGACAAAACGTGAGAAGTTCTCCTTGGACTAGCTTTGTTCTGGTTGGTATTTATTATTGAGGTCCATTGAAAAAGCCGGTATGCCTTATGAGATTGGGACCCGGTTAATTCGGTATTCCAGTCAAATGTCACCACCAAGCTGTCCAGTCAGTGACTAGTCTGTTGTAGAACTGAAATCAACTTAGAAATCTAATAACTTTGCCTGTCACTATCTTTATTTGTTCAATGGTAACAGTTCTGTTGAGGTTTGTTCCCTTTTACTATTATTAATGTTACCATGACCTTAACTTCCTAACTGTTTATCTTCCCTAATTCGATCTTATTGTGTTGATAAGATATCGCGACTTGTTCCACTTCTATGCATTTCTGCCCTGTGATATGTTAATGATGACTAGCTCAACTTAATTAGTCGGTATTTATTTAAAATTTTGTTGACAGTACTATTACGTCATTCATTTTTTCAACTCGAAGCATTTACAAATAGTGAAAAAATCTGCTTAACATCAGTCTAGAATACATCCTTTCGCAACAAATATTTTACAAATACCAACTAAATTCATTAAATTAAAAAAAGTTTCTTACTGTAAAACATAGAAATTGTGATAAAGCAATTGATCAACAGAATATTATATCCTGATTGAATCATAGGGATGTGTCGGTAGTAACTATTCACATGACTAACATTTAGATTCAAATAATTTTTAACCCTGTTACGTAAGAATGGTTTATGACAGTAATAGTATTTTTTTCCGAAATTCAATTCGTTTATTTATTTTTGAATACATAATTTAGTTAGTCAAAGGTTAAAAAATACCTATTTAATTTATATAATCTTGAATTCGTTGAAATTTACTCATGTTAGCTATAAGTCACTACTTTGATTTAACTTCATGCATAAATATCACAATAACTATTTACGTAATTGAAAATTTTTAGGAGAACTGATCGGTAAATACATTTCGATTGTTTTCAATAAATTAGCTAAAGTGTCATATTATTTCTTGCTTTCAACGTATTCTATGACATAATAGACTTCATTATATGAATCCTGGTAATACATATACCAAAACCTATATAATTTACAAATTTACCAAGAACTCTACATGCCACTATTTTGTTTGATTTTACTCCATTCATAATTTAGCTGCATCTTCAGGCGTACCAATGGATTTTAAAAATATTCATGAAGTAATTGATACAGCAATTAGAAAAGAACTTCAAGTCACTGCACACATCAATGAACTGCATAAATTAGCATCGCAAATGAATGATGCAATTGTGAGTTTTGATTATTTCAGATGATTTTATTAATTTTCATAACATTTTATATTGATTATGCTTCTTTCACTTAAAATTTTCCAATCTAATAGATTCTCAATAAATATTCTATTCATTCTACATCGAATGATCAACTGTTTATTTAAAAGTTGATAACTCTGTTTTGAAATACAAATATATATCAATCATTGGAATTCAACTAAAAGGTTTAAAATGGCATCTTTTCTATCAGACTTAAAGTTAACAGTTTTGATGTTGAAAGATAACTTAAAGTACAAGTTATTAGTTCTTCTTTTTGATATCAATAATAACTGACATAGGGTTTCAATTCGATAAATAAAAGTTATCTTTAACTATTTACATTCGTAATGTTATTTATATTAGATTAAAAAAAGGTAAGACTGATTTGTCTCAATTTTTTTTACCTAGATGAGTTAGGAAGTCAAAAAAACCTTGAAATTCTACTGATAATCCTGATAATATTCTAAGAATGAGTAAAAGGCTATTGAAAATTAGTTTAGTAGTCGGTAGTAGAAAAAAAATGAATCCGGACCGTGTATCCAGTTTCATTCGAGTTTTACGGATATCCAGGTGAATGATGAAATTCTCACTGATATTCAAACCAGAACCGATCGATTTATATATTGAAGTACTATCTTTTCAAACCAATGAGTTATCAGTATAGTGGTTGTGGAGATTGTTGAGTTTTTTATTGAGATCATGAACCGATTGATGAGTTAGGTTAGCTATTCCTTTATCTAATGATATTGTATTTATTTGGATTTTTTCTTATTTTTTTCTAACGTAATCTGTTTGCATAATCTGACTGACCAATTCCCTTTCCATCCGTCTTTTTAATTACTCATCGTCGCTATTACAAATAACACCAAACATTTTCATTCAGCTAGTTAATTCACAACTTAATCAATTCCTGCTTTTGATCTTACGCAACTACTTCCTAGAATTAACCGATTATGTAATGTCATCTTAAATTCGCACCAGCTAAGTTACTAACTGCTTTATGTCTTTAGGGAAAATATTGAGATATATTGATTGATCAAACGCCATTTATTAAGTGACCTAATACTTAGTTGTGAAACCTATTTATTACTGAAGAGCTATACCAAGAAACTAGTATTTCTCCGCTTAACTCATATTTTCAATGTTACATTGGGAATATTAAAAACACTAAGGTCATCTATAATTGAATAACTAACTATTAATCAACTCACTAAGAAGAATTCGCCTTGAAAAGTTACCAAATATCTACAATTCATTAGTGTCTATTTACATTCGAATATCGTATAATAATAAATCTTCCCAATCAGTCAATCATAAACAACTTATAATCTGATATAAATACACACTAGAGCACGCTGCTGAATAAATTTAACATGAACTTTTCACCTGTTAAGTTTAATAAACTAAATAAACAAATATATAAGATATTGAAAATACATTTCATTTATTGATTTTTAAACCATTAGACCCTAGTTGAACTTTAATATCTATTAAAACAGAAAGAAATCATTTGTGTTGTCGTTGACATTTTATGGATCATTTTAATGATTTATATTTGGATTTGTTGAAATTCCTATTGAAAATGAGAGTGATTTTAACCATCCTATGATAAGATGTATGTAGTTTGATTTCTTCTCACCAATGTATAAGGTATTGTATCTTTTCTCTATTCAACAAAAGTTCATCATCATGACAAAATAATTTTTTTAAACATTATTGTAAACAATTTTCTCAAAGTATACATTTCTAAACTACATTGTATATATATGGAACTCGAATGTGATGAGTCAGAATACACTAGAAGTACTCAAAATTATTCTACTCATTCGCCTAAGATAAATACAAGGGTGTTTTTTCTTAATAACATTGAGATGAGCCTTATGATCAATTGAAAAATGGAGAGTAATAGAGGAAACTGCCACCTATTTATAAACACAAAATTTGTGGTCTATTTTGATAGTTAATTCATATACCAGTTCAAGAATTGGTAGAAATAAGGAATACCGACAAGATTTTTCATCATAAAGTTAAGGAGATTTCAGTAATATTTATGCACTCAATTGCAAAACATAGTAAGTCTAAAAATATTCATCCCTACTTAGTTTTAATCATATTGTCCTTGGAGTGATTAAGTCAAAGAATTTCTGTCTAATATTACCAAAATCTAAGTAGTCAGTGGTATAATAACGTTGCTTGTGTTAACTTATCTTTACTGTTAAGAATGACTGATCGCATAATGTCAATAAACCAGCTCAGTTAAATTAATTCACTAAAGCTTAGAATGATTTATTTCCTGTGTACAAGTTGTTAAGTAAATAATTAAATATTACTACAAATATTTTGTATATTTACATAGACACAAGATTTTTTGGACGATTTTCTACAAGAACAGGTGAATTCTGTTAGTAAACTAAGAGAAATGCGTGCTCGACTACATTTGGATAATAGTGCTGTTTACCTGATGGATAAAGAATTTCGTTGAACTGGTAATCTGTTTGCAGCAATAAGAATTTCTTTCTTTTATTCTTCTTCAAAATCTATTATTTAAAAATGATAATTATTTCCTGCAGCTATATGCAAATTGTAGACGAGCATCACCCTTTTTTGTATTAAAAAAGGTTACAGTGATTTTACATGTGCTTGATCTGTCTTTTTATTTGGATGTGTTGATAAGATATTATCTCAAGTGATTTGTTAATCTGATTTCCCTCCTAATCTTAAATATTTAAATTCAAATAGTAATGATAAAAAGTTTATATTTATTTGACTAGTTTTAAAAAGATGATGAATACGGTATAATATTTGATGTATTCCTAACGGTAAGGTAGAAATCTGTAAGTAATTGATCTTAAGTATTTGTCAGTGAGATGATATTATGATCATTAAAGAAGATCGGTGAAGATAATATGATTTTAATTGTTAGGAGTTAATTGGAATAAAACTATAGAGCTCTATACTAGGAAAACACAATTGTTTGGTGGATCCTGGTTTTAAATAGCAGTTTAGCTACAGCTATTTAACAACTGAAATTGCAAACACTGTAAATTTAGGGTAGTTTTTTTTCCAGTAGTATGTACATGGAGAAAACTACAAACAATAAGACATTGCAAATAACTCTTAGACAGATTAACTGAATTCTAAAACTACTCGTAATGTTGAAAATTGCCACCTTCAGTTTGTAAACTTGAAAAGTAGATATAGAAATTTGACATTCACTTCTGACATGAGCCGTATTTTAGCACCCCAAGGAAACAGTGAATACGTTTATCACCCGTTTATCCATGGAGACGATGGATTCGGAGTCTTGTCTCACTAGTTGCTTCACTAATGCATTGGATCTTAGTGAATAGTTGTACTCATGCTGTTAATCTAAAAGTCTGATATGTTTACTAAATAGATTTTCGTTTGACTCAAAAAGTAGATAATTTTTTAGTGGTATTTGCTCAACGTGCTTGAATAATTACTTGGGGTGTCAATGTACTACTTAATACTTACCCAAGTAGCTTAAATAGACTTCTTATTGTTACGGTAGATTTCATCACATACTAATGTTCGAAGATAGAAATATTTGACAGTATTTCATTTCAGTCAGTCCGTACTTAACTATAAACGCCCATACAGAATATTTACTATCTCCGCTTTTGTTCGATTTCATCATGGACCTATTAAATTTTCTGGAATCCACCGCCTTCCAGGCGGTCCACTTATTGACTTAGAATGCACACATGAAATGCAGTCTTTTGGTAGCACTGAACAGCAATGCCAGGATGTTTGAGATGCGTTTCTCCCCCTTCTAGATGTAAACAGTCGCTTCAGAATTGGTCTGCGTCAACGCCTGAAATAAGGATAGGAAGTGAAGTAGTAGAACGCGTCAACAATTTCACTTGGAAGTCTGATCAGTCCTAATGGGTTGGTGTCTGATGAAATCTCTGCACACATTCAAAAAGCTCATTTGGCTTTTGAAAAGCTGCGTCACCTACAGTGAAGGTGAGATATCCGTCTATCAATTAAAAGGCAGCAATCCTTTCTGTTTTACTTTACAACTGCGAAACGTGGTCATTAGGAGTAGAGGATACTAGTATTTGATCACAAATGTCTTAGAAATATTGCTCGCACCTGTTGGGATCACCGGGTACGTAATATTGAAGTTAGACGCAGGGTGTTAGGGAATGACGGTAAATCAGTTAATGAGGTTGTGAATCTTCACTGACTGAGATGGTTGGGCCACGTGTTACATATGCTTAAACACCGATTACCACGACGCGAAATGCTGACTAGTGTTGGAGATGGCTGGAAATTAGGGGAGGCCAAACCAAAACGTGGCATCAGTCCTTGAAGTCATTAACTTCTGGTCTGAGCCATGTTGGTAGATGCAACCTATTGGTTGGAGTCTGTGTGACTATTGCAACCAATGGTTGGAGACTCTGGGTGATATGGCTCAGAATCAATCACAATGGCGTATGCGTATACACTCTTTGTCTTCCCTTAAACCGTGAGATTAGAATTACTTTATATTTTTATTTGTACGAACTAATTTTTTCTCCCTGTATCACATCTCTATATGAAATGTTTTTTAACTACCACTGGAGTAACTAATTCTATGAATTTGGCGTTCATCTTGTTGTGCTAATGAGGTATGGCAACTTGGATCGATGCACATATGTGCCTGGTCTTACGTTGTAAAATGTGATCGATAGACGAACTCACCAATAATAAAGGGAAACGCCCACCACCACATTAACTACCTTTGACCTTGTACTACTGTATCTCTTTATTAACCAATCACAGTTTGATGTTCATTGTAAAACATTATTTGCTTGTTGGCTCATTTTTCCTATTCTCTGGCTACTGTTCGAAACAAATAAAGTTTATCTAGCCAAATAGCTTGCAATTTCTGACTTTGGCCAAACCAAGACTGTATTCGACGGTCTAGAGAATAGCTCAGAATTAAACCTGTAGGAAATTGTTCCCTATATTGTAGATGGCATGACTGACTGTATATCCCTAGCTCTCTTCCAACCAGCAAAAATATTCAAAGCAAAAATGACAACGCCCTGTCGTATTTTTTATGTTTCTAAGATCAATATAAACCGAAAAAAATACAATCCGAAGCCTAGTGAAATAAAAAAGCATACTTAATACCAGAAAATAACAAATTACAATAAACGCATATATAGAACAAGAAAGAAACATATTAAAAATACAATTAGATGATTTGCAAAAGTAACAAGAAGCATGTCAAATAGATACACATGATGAAGAAAGTTCCATGATTTATTAATGACATATTCAATTTACACTACACAAGCGAAAAGGCATAAAGTGTTTGCATGTAAACAGATTGACAGAGTGGAAAGATGAAAAATTAACAAGTCAGTGTTGGAAAAAATATAATTTAGATATTACTCATGATACTAACTAATGATTATGATATGAATTTTTAGTCAAATGCAAAGATTTTTTTCTCACTATAAATAAAAAGGATTCCCAAGGCAAAAAATCACTCTTTTTACAGGAATAATTCTAAAACATAATTGTAATTGTCACATTATTCGTCTTCCCATAGAGATTTCTGTGCCTGACGAATAGCTTCCGCACGAGCTGAAATATAAGAAGAAAAAAGTTAGTAGTTATCAAATAAAATACACCTTAGAAAACATCATTACATATGATAAGAATATACGTATATCTGCACGAACACTAGAATTAGTTAAACTGGTGTAATGATCAACTCTTGAAGAAATGAAACTATTGATTCATTTGACAAACAACTGAAAATAAAATCAATAAATAATAACAGCAAATCACGTGCAAGAAATAACGCTAATTATTTGTTAGATTATTGAACTTTAAAAGTTTCATTCACTACTTAATAAAAACTACATGGAGAGTATTTTACATACTTATCTAACAAGTGAACGATTGAGATTTATTAACCAAATGCTGTCTTTCTTCACATGACTTCTAACTGGGATTTCCAAGTGGGATTAGATCAGAATGACTAACCAGCGACAAAATGTTGATAACTAACATTCTCTATTTCGTAATATACACGAAATAGCTAGTAATACAAAAACAAATGTTATATTCAACTTCCCAAATCGAACAACTAATGTATGGGATTATACCAAAGATATATATATGGATATTGATTTTATAATCTTCTGTTATTCGGTGTTAAATAATTATTAGCTTCTAACAAAAAATAAAACCCTTGAACCTAGATTTTACCAATTACTGGACTGATTATCAAGGGTAATCTAGAAACCGTGAAGAAATTGACTAGTTTTAAGTAACATTTTGCAATGTTCCTGTTGAAGATATCATAGCCTTCCATATGTAATAAAACTATTAAACCATCATAAAACTCAATTTAAACACATGAATACACCATTAAGTATACACTGATGGAAAATAAAAAGTAGATTTTCGAAATCCTATTTCCAAACCAACCGAAATGAAAATAAACAGTGACTAAAAAGACCGACTCACTTTTTAATGTATATCATAAACCAATCACTAACACAGGTTTATAACTACATGTATTTAAAAGTGCTCAACTAAAGCTAATTATATCCTACTGAAAGTATACATGTACATAATAATAAAAAAGGACGACGGAAAATGGGGATTCGATATCTTCCTTAAATACCAAAACTTAAAAATTAAAGGCAAATAAGAATAATTTAAAAATCTAAAAAATCATTCCATACAGTTTTAATTGGAAGCATAGAATTTAGGCATTACATTTTCCCTTGCGGCTTATTATTAATAAGGGGTAATTGATGTGGGCAAGTTGGTTCCTTCTATGTTAACATAATTGATTTCGACATAAAAACTTTAGTACATTTACTTGAATAATTAACAAATCTTAATCGAGTTCTAAACGGAAACAAAAATAAGCATTCCAATCCATAATTGACTAAGACCGTTTAACACAGAAATATAAGATTACTTGTAAAGTGTAACACCAAATTTAAAACATCATTGGATAATGTTCTGAAAACTAGTGGTGTCATGAAAAGTAAACAAAAGAAACAATATGGAAAACACTTATATAATTTACCACGTGCTTCTCGTAAAAGAGCTTTATCTTGTTCCTCTTTCATAGTTTCCTCAGGAGATTTGATTTTAGTAGGAACAATACCCAAATGATTGGAAATTAATCTTCGAGCTGTTGAGCTAGTCGTAACTGGTCGTTTTTTATAGGGCATAGTCCAGTCACCAGGTGAACGAGCAATCTTCAACTTGCTAGCCAAAGAAGCGTCATTAATTTTACGAGCCTAAAGATGAAATTAATTTGTTAAAATATTTGTAAAATTCATATTACTTGATATTTTGAATTAAGATTGAGTTCCATATTTCGAAATTATGAACAACCGAGAGTCTTCTAATAGGAACCGGGATCTATACCGGACGGATAATACACAACACATTAACGATTACCCTCAGAGAGACTGCAATGGATAAACGAAATCTTGTACAAAAGTTTTTCTTGGTAGATACTAGAGAATAATTTACGTTCCAGTTTACGTAAATTTCACATCAAATATTTAACTATTATTAATTACAAGATTTATCAGATTGAGCGATCGCTGAATACAATAATGTACACTGAAAATTCAGTAATACCTAAAAGCCCCCTACACTAAAAATGAAGATGTGTTAAAAATCCCAAAATATGATTCTGTTATCGGTTAGCAAAATATGTGCAGTCTAACTAACAGAAAACTTATTTTCAAGATTTCTTTGTAGCCTTTATTATAATACCTAAACCACATTTTTTTACTTTCGCCTGTTACTCCTAATGGAGCATAGGCCGTAGACCAGCATTCTCCAACCCACTCTGTCATGGGCCTTCTTTTCTAGTTCCATCCAATTCTTGTTCATTTCTCTCATGTCTATTTCCATTTCCCGGCGTAGTGTGTTCTTTGGTCTTCCTCTTTTCCTTTGGCCTTGAGGATTCCATGTGAGGGCTTGTCTTGTGACGCAGTTGGGTGCTTTCCTCAATGTATGTCCTATCCACTTCCAGTGCTTCTTCCTGATTTCTTCCTCCGCTGGGATCTGGTTTGTTCTCTCCCACAGTAGGTTGTTGCTAATAGTGTCCGGCCAACGGATCCGAAGTATTTTGCGTAGACAACTGTTAATAAACACCTGTATCTTCTGGATGATGGCTTTCGTAGTTCTCCAGGTTTCCGCCCCATACAGTAGAACTGTCTTGACATTTGTATTGAAAATCCCGACCTTGGTGTTGGTTGACAGTCGCTTTGAGTCCCAGATGTTTCTAAGTTGTAAATATGCTTGCTTTGCCGATCCGCGCCTTCACATCTTCATCAGATCCACCGTGTTCATCGATGATGCTGCCCAAATATGTAAAGGTTTTTACATCTTCCAAATCTTCTCCGTCAAGTGTGACTCGGTTGTTGCATGTCGTGTTGTATCGAAAAATTTTGCTTTTCCCTTTGTGTATGTTGAGACCTACTGCTGCTGAGGCTGCTTAAACCACATTACGAAGAGATAAACTCAAACAAACGTTCATCAAGAAACACCTAAAAAATCAGTAGCTTTAAATACAAAAAAGGTAGTTAGTAAAGAAGGGTATACCTTCATGAAAAGTCCTGATATTTGAGCCAATGCACGATTCGCTTCATCATTTGAAGAGAATACAGCTAAACAATGAGTATCATCGACCCATTTAAGGTAAAATCCACTATCTTCAAATCCTGTGAGTTCCGCTTCCAAGTGAAAATTTTGAAAGTCTTTTGAAAAGTTATATAACTCTAAAATATGTTGGAAATCTTTCAACCTTATGACTGGTTCACTGTTGCTATCATTATGTGACAGCTTTTGATTAAAAAGTTTTTTTTTGAGTACACATTCGTCATCATCAATACAGTTGTCAGAAAGTGTAAGTGATTTTAATTGTTGTTCTACATCAGTTTGTTCATTCACAGAAGCATATGATATTGGAGATTCTAAAAAGGACAACTCTTTTTTGACTTCGCTCGCATTTTGTTTGCTCTTAAAGCTGGTGGAACGTACAATGCTTTGGGTGGTTTCTTTGATGACATATGTAACTAACCAAATAATGAGATCTGTGAAGAGAATACACATAAAAAATAAACGCAAAACTGTTAAATTTAGCTAGCATAATTTAGATTTGGATACAATATAAATGATTACCAATCAAATGTACTTAAAGCTTTTGGAAACTGTTTGCAACTAAGAATGGCGTTTTAAAAGAACGATATACGGAGGGTAACAAAATAAATACTTAACAAATTGTATTTAACTTATACTTGATTTGAATAAGTAACTTATAACAAACAATCAATTTGAAGGGACAATTATCGATTAAACTAGGTAGTGATCCAGTCATATTGTAAACTGAACGAGTTTCAAAGTGTGAACCACCAAACTTCAACTCAGTACGCTAAAAGTATTGCCTTTTCCACAAAACCTGAAGGTTTTAAGCTGGATCCCATATGCGATCACAAGTGAGTACTGATGATAAGTTATAAACCTGAAATAAAATTCCTGGATTTGGCAAAGTAGACTAGTACATATTTGAAGCGGACCATACGACCTCTATAACTGACTACTGTTTTGTGGTTTTCAGCTCAAAACGAAAAACATCTTTAACTTGGACGAATATTCACAAAGCATTTAGATAAATGTAAATCAGTGATGTAGAAATAAATGTGTGAAATAACATATCGCAAATAGAACGGAATATTCACCCGACCGTAGCTGCTACCTTGACGCGGTGGTCGGGCTTGCCTACCGTGATGACCCAAGCGAGCTATACTGGCTGGAACATATGTTCCTGTAGGTTCTACCATGCCAGGCAGGTCAATTGAAGAACGGTAAGACTAAAAACAGAAACTCAAGGTCTGACGGCGAAGTCGTATTGCTGACTGTAAGGGAGTGATAGCAGTAAGTCGTTTCCCTCGGACAACCAGCATCTGCAGATGAAGAAAGGGGTTAGAAAAGACTGACCTTAAAAATGTCACACCACCTTACCTCACGGATTTCCGTCTCCGGTGGTAAGGCCCTTTGAAGAACGGAGCTAACATGTTAAAAACTTCCCACAAAATGGCCGGCAACAAGCAGTTATCCCTTGGGCTCTGCGGTCGCGCTACACGTCGTCAAGACCAACACTAATCCAATTTCTTTTTCAGGTTCCTCAAGAAATACCCTTCTACGGTGTGGGCAGCCGGGAAGTGATGTCGGCCCACATACCTGTAACAGCACACGAGACCAAGATGGTCACATTCAGAACTAGCTCTCTTAGACTGGATCCCAGTAGACAGTCGTTTGTGCGCTGTCCGACTAAACGGAACAATAAGGACTCGGAAAGATAGGGACACTCGTCGTTGCCTCTTCGTCGTCTCTGCCTATTCTCCCACTGACTGCAGCTCAGATGATGTAACAGATGAGATTTGCAAAAAGTTTTCCGACCTTCTCAGAAAATCTAGGCGTTCTGATGTAGTAATAGTGGCTGGTAACTTTAATGCTAAGGGAAAGACACCTGGGTGGATCTTATAGTGTCGTGGCTCAAAGAACAGATAATGGCGACCGTCTGTTGCAGCTATGCTCAGATAACCGCCTCTTTCTTGCAAATACTAACTTTGAGCATAAGCAAAAACATCTTTTGACATGGCGACCCCCTAATTCATCCCAACGTCGGACCCAAATAGATCACATCGCTATCAGCCACCGATGGAGGGGCTCGATAGAAGACTGTCGCTCATTCTGGAGCACATGCGTAGATTCACATCATGCTCTGGTACGAGCGTGTATTTGCCTGCGTCTTACTGGACGTAGGAAAGACGCTGCAAGGAAACCTCTTAGGGCCTATTTAATGATAGTCAAGCTAAGAGTATATTTCAGGAACAACTAGAAAAACAGTTAGGCAGCCATGTATGTGATGCCCACCCCGAGGCAGCATGGAATGATATCCGAAAAGCTGTGGAAACAGCAGTGATATCTGCTAGTAAGGTAAACCACAAGGTTAGGGAGAAACACTGGATCTCAGCAGCATCTATCGCACTGATAGATGCTCGGAAACTCATTCCACCTGGCTCTGAACATAATGAAGAGCGGAGTCTGCTTAAGCGCAAGCTGACAAGAAGTCTACGCAATGATCGTGAACAGTGGTGGGTAGCGAAAGCAAGAGAGATGGAAAAGGCAGCGGCAATAGGTAATAGCAGACAATTGTTCAGACTTGTTAAGGAAACCGGTATTAGGAAACCGACTGTTAGCGAAACACTCTCAGAGAAAGATGGACATATTATACATTCTCAATCCAGGAGATTGGATCGATGGGCAGAACACTTTAGGGATCAGTTCAACTGGCCTTCAGCCACACTTCGGTTTCCCACGATCTCCAGTCAACCTGAATGGCAAGTTAATGTAGGTCCTCCGTCTCTTTACGAAGTTGAAAATCTGAAGCGAGGGAGAGCAGCAGGCCCTGACAGGTTTACTCCTGAGATTTTTAAGGATGATGGTTCAGTACTAGCAGTGAGATTAACTGAAGTCTTAGGTAGAATCTGGGAACTGGACGTAATCCCATCTGACTGGTCTCAATCACTGATTGTGCCAGTCTATAAGAAAGAACAAAAGTCCTTTCGTGACAAGCACAGAGGAATCAATTTGACTAACATAGTGTCTAGAATATTAGTTTCAATAATACTTCGACGCCTAATCAAAGCTCATGAAGAGCAGACTAGAGAAAACCAGGCTGGTTTTCGACCTGGACGTGGTTGTATAGATCAGATATTCACACTACGTCAGGTTCTAGAACACAGACACACATTCAGACGCCCCACAATGGTAGTATTTCTCGACCTTAAGACAGCATTCGACTCTGTTGATCGTAAGGTTCTATGGCAGTGTTTGTCACTGAAAGGAGTACCAAAGAAGTACATTAACCTTATAAAGGCTCTCTACTCGAACACAACTGGTAGAGTGAGAGCTTATGGCGAACTGTCATCAGAATTGATTACCTCAAGTGGTGTTCGTCAGGGCTTTCCACTCTCTCCATTCTTGTTTAACTTTGTCGTTGACGTACTTTTAGAGATAACACTTTCCTCATCTAAATTTACAGGGGTTGAACTTCTACCGGAAGATTCACTTGTTGACTTAGAATATGCCGATGACATAGTTTTATTTGGTGAAGACGCTGACAAAATGCAGGGTCTTCTGACCACTCTAAGCAACAATGCAAGCATGTTCGGGATGCGATTCTCCCCACCGAAATGCAAAATGTTGCTTCAGGATTGGGTTACATCGACACCCGAACTAATGATAGGGAGTGAAGTAGTTGAGCGTGTCGACCGCTTCACTTATCTTGGAAGTCTCATCAGCCCTTGTGGTTTAGTGTGTGACGAAATCTCAGCACGGATACAGAAGGCTCGACTAGCTTTTGCCAACTTGCGTCATTTATGGCGTAGGCGAGATATCCGTCTATCAACCAAAGGACGTGTTTACTGCGCAGCAGTTCGTTCCGTCCTACTTTATGGCAGTGAAACATGGCCGGTAAGAGTAGAGGATATTCGTAGGTTACTAGTATTTGATCATAGGTGTCTTCGAAACATTGCTCGTATATCGTGGGACCATCGAGTAAGTAACGCAGTTGTTAGGAAACGGGTACTAGGTAAGGATGGCAAATCAATTGATGAAGTAGTGAAACTTCATCAGTTGAGATGGCTGGGACACGTGTTACGTATGCCCAACGACCGACTGCCTCGACGTGCTATGTTCAGTGGTATAGGAGTAGGTTGGAAGAAAGCTAGGGGCGGCCAAACCAAAACATGGCACAAGTCCATGAAGTCACTGACAAGTAGACTGAGCCATGTTGGTAGGTGTAGACTACCTGGTTGGGGACCGCGAGATGATAGCAACTGATGGTTAGAGACCCTGAATGACATGGCTCAAAATCGTTTGCAATGGCCCAGGTGTACCCACTCTTTTTGTTCTCCCAAATTCTAATCTTCTGAATTTATCATGTCCCTTCCTTCTTCTTTCCAAATTTATTTCACTATTATACTCCTTGAATAACATCTTCAAATCCTAATCTTTCCGATTACTGCTTATACTCTTACCACCTCTACCACTACGGGATTTGGATCGACAACTGCATCTCTGTACCAATATGGTGTGGCAACTCGAAGTAATGTACGTACGTACGAAGTTCTACGTTGTTACTGACTGACTGATATGTTGACAACGCCATTATCTGAAACATTAAAGTTTTACTACTCAACATTAAAATATCCCAAGGAAAGTAGGAGAAGAGTCATGACTAGGTGCAAGAATATTCAGAAGATAAAAATGCATACTATTTCACAGTGAAAGACGTAATACCGGTTGAATTAAACAAAACAAAATTAATCAAAACCATGAACTGATTCAAAATGCTAATGTAGAGTGGTGGTTTAATGGTTAAAGTACTTTACTTAGAACTGATGAGCTCCAGGTTTGAACACCACTTCAACTACCACATTTTGGGTAACCCAGGTAGTACAATAAACGTACAGTCTCTGAGAATTAAGTACCCAAACCTGTACTTCATAAACAATGACATAAATATAATAAGTTGCTACATTTCAAAATGGTGCAATCAAAAGAAATCAAGAGTAATCACAAAAGAAACCAGAAAGTGCGGTAACTTGGACATCTACCCATCCCTCCTACGTTCTAAGTTATTGTTACTCTTTTACTGGGGTTTCTTTATTTTACTCCTACCTGAAAATTCCATAAAATCAGATAGTAAATCGTTTCATATTTGTCCGTAATCGAACCCAACATTACATACTTTAAGTAACAGTAGGGAAAGATACGCCTTACGTTTTCGTCCAAAAGAATGTCAATAAAAGATACGTTTTCGTTTTTAATTTTTCTATAATTACAAGAAGAGAAAGAAAGTAACAAAACCATTACTATTACATTTTCCCGACTTTCAACTTGTTAATTTCTTTATACAATTCTTCGCATTGGTAAATGTGAACCAAGCAAGAACAACAAGAGTAGCAAAGGTGCGTTCATTTACTTCGTGGGTTCTCGTCAGCAGCTTGCAACCTACGGAGGACAGTAAAAATTATTAGTAACTAACGTACATTATTCTGTATTAGTGAAGGCTAGTACAATAACGACAACAAGCATGGAGATATTATAAAGTGGTAAAAAGTTAATTGTTATTAAGTAACTTTGACAACGATATTAATTCTCTAACATGCCTCTGCGTTTTAAAATCTTTCTTTTAGGATTCTTACATCTAATGACACGCAAACATTCATCCACTTTACCATATTAAAATACTTCCATGCTTGTCGTTATTACCAGCCTAATGGTAGAACAAACGTAAATACCAAAACACACGTCCGATTAGCACATATTTAATTGAATGACGGTAGGTACGGCAAGATGGCAAATATCCATTACGGTATTCATATTATTGTTGGCATTTCATCGACCACAGTTTTAGTCCTTAGTTTACATTAAATGGGTGAATTCAAATTAGTTCTGCACCTTTAATTCAGAACATAGTAGCTGCAAAAAATACTTGGCAAGATTATAATTCATGGACGAACCAATAAGATTTAAGATAACAGGTATTGGATTTCGGAGTGAAATTTACTCACCCATTTGACCAAATAGCGTCTGGGAATTTTAGCTGATGTCAACTCGTGATGAAAAACCGTAAGTCTAATCCCTAACCCTAAACATCAACTGTGAATCATAATTCTTATTCTTTAAGCTGCTTTACAACCCTCACTTAGCCTTCGTAAGTAGGTAGATACTCTCAAAGTCACTTTGGCGTCGCTCAAAGTGCGTTCATAAATTATGATTTCATCAAATGCTCTTTATGAGTACACAGTCAGTAACCACTAAAAACCATCCCTCGCCTTTCTAAGCAATCAAAGATATTAATAGTGGAAAAACCTACAAGAACTCAAAGAATTCTAATGAAAACACAGAGAAATAACGTTTTTTTCCAGGACAGTGTAGATTGTGAAGGCCTCACAAGATCGTAAAGTTTGCAGCTAGCTTGTGAAATGAAACTACTTAGGATTACAATTGATATGATCTAGACCACATGATTGCTGGATAAATATAATACCAATTTTAGGACTTATTATAGCATTTATAATGAGGTCGGCAATGACGAGTACATGAACCAACATCGGTAAATGGTAAGAAGACGCTTAACATTTGGATTTACATCCAAAATACCAGAAAATCACGGATTCTACAACTTACGCTTAAATATACGATGGAAGCTTCCATCGTAAGTTGTTACTAGTAACAGAGGATGTAAACGCGAATTCACAAGCAATGAAAATGTATGCGCAAAAACTCTGGGAAATAGTGATAGCCTGACTTCTGCTTATATATATATATATATATATATATATATATATATATATATATATATATATATATATATAGGTCTATGAGATATTACCGTAGCAATAGACTAGTCAGCGAAATGGCCTTCCTAACAAATGTGAACGACATTTACGAAAAGCGTCTGGCTCGCAACATTTTCTGCAAATATGAAGTTATCGGTAAGAGAGTATTACCATTTTTTCAACTTTTGGGAACATTTTACCCGTTTTGGGGGAATTCCCCAATATTTCCTCAGAATCCCCAAGCAACCAATATAGGGGAAATAAAGGTGAAATGAAGCGGACGAAAGCGTAAATAAAGGGGAAATGTCGCTTTTTCGCCTTTACGTCGGTTATTTTGGGGAAGTTTTGATTTTTCCCGCTCACATCGTGTATTTGGGGGATATTCGTCAACAACCATACGTTACGTACCATGTTTGAATATGCCGCATCCCGTACTGATGTTTTCATAAACGTCGATACAATAAGGCACTGCTTAATAAAAAAACTATTGTCATAAACACTAGTAACAAAATGCGGACACAGGAGTTTGGCTGAGACACACATACACTGACTTCGTCTTTTGTTAAGCTAAATTTTTCTGTTATACTTAGTAGGCATCACAAATAGCTAACGTGATGCATGTGAGTGGGGTGCTCTCCGTTTTTAATGTTCGTTATAACTTATTATCCTGTTCATTTGAAGTCACAGAGAGCTCGTAGACGTAGGGCCACTATTAACTTGTCAAGCGTCCTTGGCTGTCATAGATCGACTTATAATAGACGGTGGGATAAATTACGTATAGCACTCATGAAAAAACATAACTTGCTTTCGTTTAGTCAGTTTGATAATGAAAGCACAATCAAAGGTAACTGACTTTAACAGTGGTTTATGTTAAGTTGATAGCAGTCGAGAGAGAAACTAACTGTAATGAGAGTCCTTCAACTGTCACGCCATCCAGTAGCTACAGCAATCAAAGGCTTCTAGATAATAATGGTATGTTGATGAAATGAATACGCTAATATGTTTCTTATAGGATGTAATGGCGTTAATTTGTGCTCTCGGAATTTAGTAAATCGTAAGGAGCATATCAACGATCTACTGATGAATTTACTTACAACAACCTCTCTGAGCGTCAGAGATGCTGATCGAATTCTGAATGGTTTCCGAGTTCTTGTACCGGACTTACCGAGGAGCATCAGAAGTGTCCTGAGGACACAATTAGAAACATCACCTTCAACATTAGAATCTAAGCATGTAGGCTGTGCGTCAGCGGCCCAGTAAGTCTCCTGTACGATCAAGTGAAGTTTTTCAGATTTGATAGGTTGTATACAATGATGCAGAACATGTTTTCAGCTATTACTGACTTGAGTACAAATGTAGAGCTGCTACTAGCGAAGTTCAGTAAACGCGAACATCCGCATCAATTCGATTGCGGACTATCAAGTCAGCAGTTCCCTTTGTCATCTGAAGTGGAACTGCAGACGCTGGACACTGGTTTGCAGCAGAAAGAAACCAGGGATAGATTTGTAAGTCAACAACATTAACTTTTATAGATTATTCGTATTACGGATGGCCACTGTAACGAGGTTAATAGATAATGATCCGAAAACCTCGATGCGATATGTTTTGTCGTACCTCATGACACCTGAGGTTGCCAGTAATTTCACGTCACTTGGCACTTCTTCAAAACGAGCAATTCAGAAATGCCGGTTTTATGGCTGCATACGAAGTAACGTATATCTATTATTTAAACTTCAGGTGCCTTAACAAATCGCTTCCTGTCATCCTCTGTAAACGAAAAAGACCTTGCTAAGCTGTACGATATAGCGACACAAGGTTTTTTTCACAAATTTAACCCAATTTCTGTTTTTAACATTATTTTTTTTACCTAATCGTAAAAGAAGACCTGATTATCCGTAAACTAAGTTGGGTATATAAATCGTTTATTTTTTATTATCTTACGTTATTCGTGTTATAGTAACCATTTTTCGTGCTAATTTTATTGCTATATTCGTCACATACCTCATGTCAGACTCAATAGAAACCCATAATCTGGAGGATTTGTCACCAGTGGAGATAGACACTGTTATGACTACGAAATCCCGACTTCCAGAATTTGATCGTAGTGATCCTGAGTTGTGGTTTGCTCAACTAGAGCATTATTTCACGAGACACAATATCAAATCTGAAGGGATTCGCTATAGAGACTTGTGTTCTATCCTTCCTCCTTCAGTCGCCAAAGAAGTCCGTGACTTGATTTTAAGTCCACCATCACCACAACCATACACCATCTTAAGACGAGAGATAATGAACCGTTTATCATTATCAGATAGTCAAAGAATCCAAAGACTTTTTCAAGGTGAAACACTAGGTGATCGGTCGCCGTCACAGTTTTTACGTCACCTCCAAGTCTTAGTGGGTGATAACACAGTGGGTGAAGCAGTCCTAAAACAAGGATGGATACAAGCTCTCCCATGCTACGTCCAACACTGTTTGGATGCACAAGATCCTGAAACCTCATTATCTCATTTAGCGCGTATAGCCGACAGAATAATGGAAAGAGGTCCTCCAACTGGATCAGGCACAATAAATCACACACAAAAAGTAGAATCAGCAAAAGACCCCGTAATAGAAGGACTCATTGCGAGTGTTAAGAGTCTCACTGAGGCTGTCACCAGAATGCAAATGGGTCATAGAAACAGGAGCAGGTCACCACAACGACCACGATCCAAGTCACAAAACAGGTCACAAATGTCTAGACAATCTGGGCAGTTTTGTTGGTACCACTGGAAGTTTGGTGTCAACTCAACCAAGTGCATGCAACCATGCGCCTGGCCTAAGCATAATTCTAAGACAGCGGGAAACGAGTAACCCCTCCCCAGGTCGCGACGACTGAGGAGGGGCGCCTAAACAGTCGCTTGTTTTATGTTAGAGACAGAAACTCTGGCTTGAATTTCTTGGTGGATACTGGCGCTGCTCTTAGCATCATCCCTCAAAATAAAACTGAGATTAGTCGAGAAACATCATCAATTACACTTCAAGCTGCAAATAAAACTAAAATCGCGACATTTGGGCAGAAAACTTTAACCCTAGATTTGGGGTTCAGGAGGCAATTCCCTTGGGTTTTCACGGTAGCCGACTTAGATCTGGCAATACTGGGGATGGACTTTCTAGAGAGATACGAATTTCTAGTTGACACCAAGAAACGGCGATTAACACTAAAAGAAACTTCGTATTACACAAAAGGCAAAGAAAGTCACTTGATTCAAACTCCTCCAGTAACAACAGCGAAATTCCAAGATATACTCGCGGAATTTCCAAACTTAACTAAACCAAACCCACAGCCTTCTAAAGACAAACTAAAAGTAAGTCACACTATCAAAACCGAAGGTGCACCGGTGTTTGCAAAACCCAGGAGACTAGCACCAGATAAGCTCAAAATCGCTAGGGCCGAGTTTGATTATATGCTACAATTGGGTATTATCCGTCCCTCTGATAGTCAATGGGCATCCCCTTTGCATATGGTCCCAAAGAAGAATGAAGGTGACTGGCGACCGTGCGGGGATTACAGAGCCCTAAACCGTCAAACCGTACCAGATAGGTACCCAATACCTCATATCCAAGATTTCACAAACGGTTTACAGGGTATGAACATATTCACTAAAATTGACTTAGTCAGGGCATATCACAATATCCCGGTGGCTGATGAAGATATTCCCAAGACAGCTATTACTACACCCTTTGGCTTATTCGAGTTTGTACGCATGCCATTCGGCCTGAGAAATGCGGCACAGACATTTCAAAGATTCATAGATAACCTACTTCGAGATATGCCATTTGCGCAGGGGTATATAGACGACTTGTTAATTGCCAGCCCCGATTTGCAATCACACGAACAGCATGTACAAGCAGTGTTGAAAAGACTGGATGAACATGGAATAAACATACATCAAAGTAAGTGTGTTTTCGGTGTTCAAACTTTAGAATTTCTCGGTCACACAATAAGCCCAGAAGGGATTAAACCTATCAAAAAAGAAGTGGATACCATCAAACAATACCCCGTACCTAGTTCTCTAACACAACTGAGAAGTTTTCTAGGCCTAATTAACTTTTATCGCAGATTCATACCAGGTTGTGCACAATTAATGCAACCTTTGACAGATTCACTTAAAGGAAAACCAAAAGAATTCAAACTGTCTTCTGACGCCATCGAAGCTATTAAACAGCTTAAAGATAAACTGGCTCAAGCAACTACGTTGATATATCCGAATTCTCTTTCCCCACTTGCTTTGATGGTGGATGCTTCAGATAAAGCAGTAGGCGGTACCCTTAACCAACTGGTTAAAAACGCCTGGAAACCAATTGCTTTCTTCTCGAAAAGACTCGCTCCAGCCGAAACAAGGTATTCTACCTTCGGGCGAGAACTTCTTGCAATCTACCTGACCATTAAACACTTCCGACACATGTTAGAAGGTAGGGAATTTATAGTCTTTACGGATCACAAACCACTGACGAATGCATTAAAAGCGAGAGCCGATAAATACTCACCTCGAGAAGTCCGACACCTTGACTATATATCACAGTTCACAAGCGATATCCGACATGTCAAAGGTCAGGACAATCAGGCGGCAGATGCTTTATCCAGACTAGAAATGAACGTGCTACAGCAGTCTACAGTAAACTTCGAGACGTTGAGACACGAACAAGAGCAGGACCTAGAATTACAAAACCTACTTAAAACAAACAATTCAAGTCTTAATTTAAAACAATTCCCATCACCTATCGATGGTATTCTAATTTATTGTGACACGACCAAGGCAATGCCGCGACCTTTCGTTCCCAAAAATATGCGAAAGTTGATATATAATAACTTTCATTCTTTGTCTCATCCTGGCGCGAAAGCTTCAACAAAACTAATCAATGCCAGATATATATGGCCGAATTTACAGAAGGATGTACACAAATGGGTTAGAGAGTGTTCAGCATGTCAACAATCAAAGATTAATCGTCACACAAATTCACCCATAGGTGTTTTCTCGCAACCAGATGCACGTTTTGCCCATGTGCATATCGACTTGGTAGGTCCTTTACCACGTTCAAACGGTTTTAATTATCTTTTTACATGCATAGATCGATTTACCAGATTCCCTATAGCCATCCCGATAGCGGACATCACAGCGGAAACAGTAGCCAAAGTTTTCATGCAGAACTGGGTAACCATTTTTGGTACACCCATAACAATAACGACGGATAGAGGAGCGCAATTCGAATCCGAACTATTTAATAACTTGGCTAAACTTCTAGGCTCCAATAGGATACGCTGCACTGCATATCATCCTCAGGCTAATGGGATGGTAGAACGTTTTCACCGTCAGCTAAAAACCGCCCTTATATCTCACTCAAACCCCAATCAGTGGACAGAATTCCTACCGTTAGTTATGTTGGGAATACGAACATCTGTCAAAACTGACGCACAGTGTTCAGCTGCGGAACTGGTTTTCGGAACAACTCTGAGACTACCAGGTGAATTTATTAACCCTAATACTAACAGTCAAAAACTTAATTTAGAAAATTATGTAGATCAACTACGGGACCACATGTCCAAACTTAAGCCGATTAATACTCGTGAACAATCGCGCGCCATATATGTACCTAAAGACCTAAGCAATTGCACGCACGTCTGGATAAGATGTGACAAAATAAAAGCACCACTCAGTCCTCCATTTGAAGGTCCTTTCAAAGTCGTCTCAAGAAAATCTAAATATTTCGTGATAGAAAAACATGGAAACATCGACACAGTAAGTATTGATAGGCTAAAGCCGGCTTATCTAGATCATGAACCACCATACGTGTTGTTAGATCGTTTAACTGACAAATCCATTACGGAATCGAAATGTAAAGATGATAAATCTTTACAAATGACTAAAACGGTTCGCTGGGCACATCCAATTAGTCAGTCAAGGATGTTGACAGTTTCGGCTGCAGGATAAAATCTAACCACGTAGCTAATCAGACCCTGCATTTACTTAAAAAAATTTTCCTCATTCCGCCTCACCTACAACTCCCCAGACCTTTTACTTTTGATATATAAGTGTTTTGTTAAATATTTTTTTAAATACTGGACACATAAGCTAGATATTCCGTAACGATGGCTGAGGATTTTAATCAAACTCATACAGCTAACACTGGCGGATACAACGAATTCAAAAAGCAACCCAGAATACCAATCCGTTCTGGAGGCCAAGCACTTACGTGGAATCGAACAATTATCAACTATATTTATGTATTTCCATTTTGTATCTTATTATTTCATGCAGGCAGTAGAGCATTTCTTCAGGTTTGATTGGTTTTCACCATTACCTTTGAAGTAGATTCTTCTTTACTTTTTACTTGAGGGCGACTCAAGAGGCAGGTGAGTAAACACTTGGTAACCGGTCTAAGCATGGAAAAATCGTACCTCACCAACATGGTGTTGGGTAGCCCGCTCACGGAACTCCCTCAGATATTCTTGTTCCATATTCTCACACTCTTTCTCTTGAGAGCACGTAGCAAACCGTCAGCGATAGTTGTAGAAGAAATCACATGCTACAAAATAGAATGACAAGCTAGCAAATGAAGGGACATCTATGGGCTATCGCTGATTGCTGACGAAATTAGTCGTCATTGATCGGAAGTCAAAGAGTGAGCGAGTTTATATTTTCCCTTGAGCCGAGAAAACAAAACTAAGGTGTTTTTGATAGCTAGGTTAATCAAACCGACGTTCCTACGGAAGTCGATTCTAGGGGGAAGCTAATGTAACAGCATAGATCGGTTGGTTGAGATTTGACCTCAAACAACCAAGCATATGCCGAAACAGTAAAGTTCAAGTATTCACTCACTTCCTTATTTTGCATAGGCGTTATATTTCCTACTATCTTATATTGAATGTTGAGAGGCTATGTTTGTCTGAACAAATAATCCCACGCTCCACTGTGACTACGCGAAGATCGAAATAAAGACCTATTCACTACTTGTCTGGTTTCTTCTATCAATAGCACGAGGGTTACCTTAAGGCACGAGAGATCCACGATATATTGAAAGCCTATCAAAAATATCTTCGGACCACCTGGTTTCTGACTGTAGAGTTCATTAGGTGGGCATGATTCATAGTAGGTGTTACTGTTTAATGCGTTGTCAAACTCCCAACACCTGTGACACCTTCATTGGTGGGGACGACGTGATCTGATACACCAACTTGCAAACTGTGAGTCTGTTCCTTTTTGTAATTTCACAAATTTCTGCTTTATTTTAATTCTTAAATATTGTGATTTTTTTCGAATTTTTGGATATTTTTCCACGTTCATTCTTGTTTTTTATACTTGACATGACGGAACAGATACCTAAGTTACTTAACTCAAAGACCATGTCTCTATCTTCATTTCAACTAATGCCCTTTTAGCCAGACAACATCAAAGTCTGGTTTCGCTACGCGGAGGCGTGAATGACACACGTGCACAATTCCTCTCAGTAGTAAAGACACTACCGCGCGACTTTAAGTGGTACGTCACACCTAGTGTGTTTACTAGTGGTGTTTCGGAACCTTGAAAAACTCCGAAACGATCTGTTCTCAGAACGTGGAGACTTGACTGATAGATAAAGTTTAGATCAACTCCTTAATAATATAGATCTGCAACACGGTTCAGTGACAGACATAGTACTAAAAATGAGAGACGCGACTGGCCAAAAACCTTTCGATGATGGCTTGTTTGGGCAACGTTTTTTATTTGATCTTCCCCAACAGGTACAAGCTGTGCTTGTCCCATTTCAAAACAGCGTCGTAGACGAGCTAGCTGAATCTGCTGACAGCATTTTAGAGGCCACCAAGTCTCCAACGTTGAGTTTTTTCAGTCAAAGAAAAGTCTCAAGCGACACAGAATAACATTACGAAACTATTCCATACCCTGACACGTTACTTTTGCAATCGCAATGACCCTAAACGGTCTCAGACCCAGCGAACAAGTACTTCATGTAAGCGACCTGCCTTTAGACCACGAGAGAAAGATAAACTCGACTGGTGCTGGTATCGTAACAAGTACGGAAATTCTTCTAGAAATGGCAGAAACCCCTGCAGTTTTCCGAACTCAAAACCGACCTACACGAAATACAACCCAATAAACTTACCAGCCGGCATGCGTTAACGGCGACCGTAGCCGGCGAACACAGCTGTTTGTTATACGTCGCAGATGGGATAACGGACGTTTGCTACCTCGTCAATACTGGCATTGAAGCAAGCGTTCTTCCAGCACATTCTGACGACCGGCTTCACGAATCTGTTTTAAACTTGCAGGCGGCAAACGGAAAGCCTATCGCCACATATGGTAGCCGAATTGCATTAAGCATGGTTATTGTGAGTTCAGATATGTAAAGTAGTTCAGAGGAGACTTTTGCAGGAGAACGCTAAATTTCATCAAGATTATTAGAAACATATATTATACAGCGCTGGTACAACAATCATTATGACGAACAAAATTAACGTAACGGACCACCAAATAATTGTGATGGAGGGAATATATCAATTTCAAAGTAATGGTAAAGTTTTTACGAAAAATGGTTCGCCTGGTAATATATCGAAATATAAATTATATACAAAGATACTGGACGTTAATTAAATTGTCTGAAGGAAGCTTGTTAGAGTTAATTTTTTGGTCCCGTAATCCACAGTCATAAATTGTCATTGATTCAAAATATGATTGGTATGGTCCAAGATGTGAATCAAGTGTAATCACGTAATGAGAATATCAGTGCGACTGGCAAACAGCAGATATATTAGAGTTCTTTTATCGTGACATCTGGTAAATGAGAAAGAGAAGTATATGTGTTCAGCAGCGTATTTATGGGCGATAATCGATGTCACGCCATGAGAATTCAAAAGAGGAATAGAAGACCAAGGTCAAATTTTTAAACGATTTTACAGTCAATGGTGATAAGTGTACAAATTAAGCGAACTTAAGAAAAAACATGTTAACAACAACAAAAAGTATTCACAAAATAAGTTTATGTTAACTGTTTTCAAGGCACGGTACCAGAAATTTGGGAGCTGGCTCACATCATCGCAGTTTTCAAAGGGGATCGACTTAGAGAACCTTCAAGCTGCCGACTGGCAGTACTTCTTCCAGTGCCCTAGGAAATTGTGTAGTCCTTGTATACGACAGTCTACGTGACTACTTCTCATCCATAAACTTATTTTCATTGCGACAGCACGATTTCGGAAGGGGTTGTTCCTTAATAACCGACCTGCTGACCGCGGTAGAGGAATGGGCAACTGTCCTTGATCTCAGGGGGAGGGTTCGTGTCACACACCTTGACTTCTCAGAAGCCTTTGAGAGTGTCAGTCATTTGTGTATTGTTGATAAGGTCAACCGATTGGGTATCAAGACACCGTTAATCGATTAGCCTACTTCATATCTAAATAACTGACTTCTTACGGTCGGCATAGACTGTAATTTTTCTCGGGCTATAGAATTTCTTAGTGGGGTCCCTCAAGATTCCTCATCAGGGCCTGTTTTTCCCAGTTTATGAAAACGGCTTTCGTCAGCAGGTATTGTTTAATTGATTGTTTTTCACTGATAATGTGGAACTCTAGAGAGAAGTTCGGCACCAGGATGATAAGCTGGCACTTCAGGATGATCGAACTTGACTTCAAAGTCGGGCGAACAACAACACTCCAAAGTGTAAACTAGTTCATCCGAGACATGTTGCAGACTACGAATACAACTTAGGCATCTCCCCTCTAGAGGTACCCAGTTTGAAAATGATCTACGAGTTCCGGTATCCCATGATCTGAAGTCGCACGCTAACTGCGACAAAGGAAGGCCTCCGAGTAAATCCTGCACTGGTATCTTTGAGGAACAGAAATTTCCGCCTAATCTTCAACAGTTTCATTCGTCCCCATTTAGAGTATGGAAACACAGATTTTTCTTCTCACTCCAAAAAGATAAGGATACATTGGAACATATCCAATGATGAGCTACGAAAACAAGCAGGGGACCCAAATTCAAGCCTTTTGAAGAGCACCTCAAATCACTGAGCCTTTACCTGTTAGAGGTGACCTTCTGACGACTTATAACACCCTAAACATTCCTGGGCACTTTCGAATACCTACTAATGCACAGTCCCAACACAAACCTCAGGGGTAACACCCATAAACGAGGAATAACATAGCATAAAGGACTGTACACACACACCTAATCCTTAAGAGCGGTAAAATTCTAGAATCATCTACCGACTGAACCAGTCCAAGAAACTTCGCAGGAATCCTTTAAGAGCAAACTTGACATATTCTTAAGGACTAATGATAGTATCTCGCTATAATTTTTTTTACTTTATTGTTAAATATATCTAGGTTCCTGCCTAGCAGAATCGGTGGTCCACTACTACTAGATATGGAGGCCTATTAAGTGAAAGCTTCTTCTATTCCGTACAGAACTATTTGAAACCTTCAATACACACTTAAACGTACCTCAATCAACCAATCACGAGTTGGGACGGATATTTCTCCTTGATTTCAGGGAGGGCAATTTGGAACAACAGGTTGTGTTTCTTGAAGCCGACAGATCTGTTCGCGTCTACACAGGTGATAGACTGATGGAAGAATTTCAGGGTGCATTAAACAGCTTCCAAAAGGACTGGTTACAGTTGCAAGTATATTTGCAACTGCGTTATAAACCACATTCTGGTAATTTTTTTAGGAAAAGCACTCATCACTGGTTATGTCACTGTACAAACTCAAGGAGGAAGAGACAAGTTGCGTCCGTAGTGTTAAGCATTGTCGAAACTATATGAAACTTTTGAAGCATGAAATTGCAAGGTAATCTGTCTTTATCTAAAATTGGCAGTCTTCAAAAGAATGCTACGGGTGATGAGATTACCATACTTGAAAAAGCCAAAATCGATATTCTTAAGAAAGAGTATGTTTTACGGGATATTGAAGATGTTTTACCTCGCACACCAGGGTATGTAGACTCTGTGCAGATTTATTTAGATAGTTTGTATCTGCGTATCGTACTTGGAGCTCTTAATATATCGTTTGCTAACAAGGAGGACAAGTAATAACTAGGTTTTAGTAATGTGCTCAGATTCAGATACAAGAATGATTACGAACGGTTTAAAATCATTATTTCGGGAATATGTGCATTTTTGGCGTTTCTGCTATACTTTTACGTTCAGAATAGGTGAGTTCGTCGTTATGTTATTAAAGATAGTATATGTATTTCACTGTTGTCAAATAATCATGACTTTTTCGCATCAAGTGTTTGGAAAAAGGTAATTCTGGCTGTACGCTGTTGCAAGTCTTAAACTTTGATAATAATACTGTGTGACCACTTTGCGGCCTGAAGAAGTGTTAAGCACATCGTCACTCTCACGCCCTAGTATGTAATTTAATTGCGAAAGCCTCCAGTTGATGTTCAAAAGGCGTGGTTTGAAGTACTTTTGTTAAAATAATCTCTCAGTTATTCATAGGAAAATATCACCCCGTTAATTCTTCAGCGGACATTTTCAGATGCTTATATGGTGTATCAAGATCCTCTTTCGTTAGGCATCAATTATTATGATGACAGCGTCTATGGGATTCTTATGTAAAATCACTGACTGAATAGACTAGGTCACATTAGGATGCATCAATGATAAATACCCAACCTTAAGAATTAACTTCATAACATCACCTTAAATATCTCCGCTACAAGGAATTTATAATTGAGGAAGCGTGGTTCGTTACGGTCCTTCTGATAAAATCAAATTTAATCTCCTTTGTAATGTTTAGTTCTGTCACTGAGTGGATGACGATATCTTGTTAACTCCAAAGTTATGATCGGATTACAAGCAATAGTTGTTCAAGTAATGGCAAAAAATCACCGGACATAGTTATTGTCTCAACACTTTACCGAACATTTCCAAGGTCAGAAGCGTTTATGTACAAGCTGTTCAATAGGTTCAACTCTTAAAACTTTTCTGCATAAATCTCTACAACATTGAGTGCCGAAATCTGACTACCTATCACGAAGGTTGCTAGTTAAAGTCTTTGTTCGTCCCGTTGCCTAGATCCTGGTTCAGCAAATACTTCCGAGACTTATTAGCTTATAAGGACCTGTCGAATTTTAAGAAAAAGGGTTTCAACAAGTTCTGATGGCAGTAAGTGCTAATCTTCTTAGTTAGAACTCACAAGTACTACTTGGTTGTATACTCCGCTATGACCTTAATTTGTCATTAAACTCTGCTGATACAAAGATTTTGGAGCCACTGATATAAGTAGGATTTAAGGATAACTATGTAGTAAAATATTTTTGAACTTACGTCGTCGTAACTGGATCATGGCGAGTCATTTAAGCTGATGACAACCAGTAGTTTTGGACAATGATGTCGACCTTCACTTTTTAATTTTACTTCTCATAAAACCTAGCAACATTCTGATAAATGCTGTACAGCATTCTCTACCGTGTTATTATGCAGGTATGTGACCTGGGTGTCGTAAGTAGATGATTTTAGAAGACTGGAAACTTTCTGCTGTCTTGGAGACCGAGTTCGCTTTTCACCTGTCTAAGTATTGATGTTCAGGTAGCCTTAAAACCAACTACAGTGTATCCACTAATGCGCCTGACTTCCAACCACACTGCATGAGGACTATAAACAATATGAGGCTTCAAAACACAATAAGGTAGAATGGATATTAAATCTAAATTGAATCTAAATTTAAATCTTCATTGATAGGGGAATCTGCTTAAAATGTTGAACGTCAAAAAGAAAGAGAAGCTAACTTTTTAGCGTAACTTATGTATCCCTAATCACTTGAGGTATGAGTTTTCCTAGTATGTTGTGGAAAGCATTTAAAGTTATCCATAATTCCTATATCATAATACGGTTTTCTGTATAGTTTGGTATTTTTCACTTCTTTTCATCTGTTAAATTTGACATACTGCAATATCTCTCTACTGTACAAGGGTTTATGTTTCTGAATAATGTATGATCCTATACTCAGTTCAGTTGAAAGTAATGACTTCGTTGACAATTATTCATAGCCAATGTTAAAACTTGGTGTACATGTGTACCAGAGTATTTGGTAAATGAGTCAATCATATGTGCAATTAATTATCTTGCTGTCAATTTGTCATTTCTTTTTAGAATTGTGGATACCATTTTTCATTTTCTATTGGTATGGTACTATTGCACACTAACTATTCGCGAACGCATTCTTATTGCCAATGGGTCACGCATTAAAGGGTGGTGGAATATATCTCATTTTATGTCAACAGCCTATTCTGGTATTATGCTTATATGGTGAGTGGTATTCGAGTTAGTTGTAAACTATCGATTGATCGCTTAATAAAAATATTTCTCTCCTATCTACTTTGAAAGGCTATGTTTTGTATGCATTCAAGCTCTATGTCATCGTAGTTTGGTGTAATTATATGGATTATTCTGTTTATTTGATCATGTCTGATGTTAATAGATAAGAGTGATTAACTTAGTAGCTAGACGTTGAATACTTACGTATTAGAAGTCGATTAATAAACTGTTGGACTAAATTTTATTCAAGGTAGAAAATATAATATTGGTTAATTAAAAGATATATATTTTAGTTAACGCTGATAATTGTATTATATTCCAAGCAAATATCTAATCCTTAATCCAGGAGGGGATAGATACCTTACATTTAGATCATTTGGTTATTTATCAGATTCACTAGTTGTTAATGTGTGGCTAATTGCAATCTATAATTAAGTTATATCCTCGTATCTTCATATCCTTTTAATTACATTCTAGGCCTAGATCTCGTTCGTATGATGAATTTCGTGATCAGTTCATGCTTTTTTGCTTATACCTAAGTAAGTAATGATTTCAATAATTTGAGATTTAATCTGATGATATTCATCTGGATATAATTCTTTGTTCGCTTGTCTTTCTAGGCTGTTTTCAGACGGATCCAGAATACTCAGAGAATATAGTCCTGTTAAGTGAAATGGTTGGAAAGTACGGTTTTGTGAACAAGTAACAGTATATAAGTGTTTAGGGTGTATTTTTCACTCAACAAATACGGTGTTGTTTCAAGACTAACCTGTGTCAGTTTTATTTGTGTTGGTCAGTTGGTCGCAATGTAGAATCTGGTGCGTATGTACGTCAGTCCAAGTTTCCACACTACATTAGCAGAGCAAGGTGTTGTTAGACCAAATCCCAGAATAGTAAAGGTACTAACAATATGAATAGTGATTAAAAAGATTGGGCATCGAAAATACTATTAGAGAATAAATATAAATTAGTGCAACAAAAAGATTACGAGGAATTGAAAAGCTTAGGATATGAGGGAAGACAAAAAATAGATATGCCTGTGCCACTGCAAACAGTTTTGAGCCATTTCATTCAAAGTCTCTAACCACTGGTTAAGATAATCACTCGGATCCCATAAGAGTAGTCTAAACCCATTAACACGAGTCAGTCTAGTTGTTAATGACTATGAACTGATGCCACGTTTCTGTTTGACCACCCCTAGCTTTCTTCCAGCTTGCTCGTACACCAGACAAAATCATTCGTCGAGATAGTTGGCGGTTGGGCACACGTAACATCTGTCCTAACCACCTCAGTTGATAAATATTTATAACCTCAATTGACTCCCCATCTTTACCTAGTATCCTATTCCTGACCCAAACGTTGGTTACTCGGTGGTCCAAAAGTACATGGACAACGCTTTGAGGACACCTATGGTTGAGTACTAGTAATCTACGAATGTTATCTATTCGTGATATTTCGCACTCACAAAGTAGAACAGAGTAAACTGTTGTACAGTGAATTCGTCCTTTAGTTGGGAGATGGATATTTCGCCTACGCCACAGGTGATGCAATTGGAAAGAGCCAATCGTGCTTTTTGTATCTGTACCGAGATTTTGTCAGACACCAGGCCATAAGTACTGATGAGACTCAAGATCAGTGAGGCGGTCCATACGCTCGACTACTTTGCCTCCTGTTATTAATTCAGGCGCTGACGCAAGCCAGTCCCGGAGCAAAATTTCGCTTTTGGGGTGCGAAAATCATATCTTAATGTGGTCATGGGACTGCATTTCGTTAGTGTTTTAACCAAACAAAACTATATTATTTGTGTACTCTAAGTCTACAAGTGAGTTTACTAGCATAAGATCAACCTCAGGAAAATCGGATGATGAAAATGTTGTCTATGACAGAGTTAAATAAAAATGGGTAAAGCGGAAACCTTGACGTATACCATTTAAAGTAACCGATTCCGATGACCGTTCATCATAATAAGCTTTGACTCAACTAGTAGTGTTCCAGTAGATAGTCTACACAAGGTTAATGTACTTCTCTGGTATGCCTTTTAATGAGACACTGCCACAGAACCTCACGATCAACAGAGTGTAACGCTGCCTCAAGGCCAAAGAATATAATTATGGTCTGACGTCGAAAAGTATGTCTATGTTCCAGAATCTGCCGAAGGTCGAATATTTGGTGTTGGCGAGATATTCATCTGGTAGCCAATAGGCGTGTATAATGTTCAGCAGTCCGGACTATATCATGTTATTGCCTCCGTCATGGTCTCTAAGAGTAGAAGATATATTTTCTGAAGCAGGTTTTTGACTATAGGTGTCTCCGAAACATTGCTAGCGTCTTGTGGAACGACTGAGTGAGGAATGCTGAGGTGTTAGGTGTAGGGCACTTGACAAAAGTGGGAAATCAATTTATGAGGTTGTAAACCTTCAGCTACTGTGGTGGTCAGAATATATGTTACGTGTGCCTAACCGCTGCCTACATCGACTATAGATGGTTGTTAGTTTAGGAGTAAGAGTAAGTTGGACGAAAGCTAGTGGCAGTCAAACCAAAAAGTGTCGTCAGTCCGTGAAGTCATTGACCGTTGGTCTAAGCCGTGTCAGTTGGTGCAGACTACTTGATCGGCGCCTGCAAGACATTCACAATCAGTAATTGGTGACTGTAAGTCACACGGCTCAGAATCATTTACATTCGCGCGGACTGATCCACTCCTTATCTTCCTCTAGATCTTATATTCAATTATTCCTTCATATATGCTTTCCTATTTCGTCTTTTTGAACCCTATTCTCAATCTCTTGTCTTTCTCATTGCCATTGACACCACATTCCTCAAATCTCTTGCGAGTCATCTTGTTAGTTTCATCTTGTCGTGCTAATTCAGCATGGGAACTTGACCAAACGCACATCTGTGTTAGACTCTATGTTGATAATGACTGACTGTTGAGTGAGTGTTTCTGTTTTTGTCATTATCGTCGTTCTTCAGCAAGAAGTCTTTGTAAATAACGCCTTTATTGAAATTTTCTTGACCATATGACCAACTAAGCATAGGAAGGACTATTACATTTTTAGGCCATTCACTCGTGATATCATACATCATGTGGATAGTTTAAATGGTTGACGTGTGTGTTTTCTATATATAGCGATCATATCCACGTTAGTATCTGATTCGCTAAAGTATTTTTAAAGTTGTGATCCTATTTTGATGTACTACATTGCGTTAGTATTAGTGAATAAAATCTTTATCATTTTACATATATTTTCATCTTACTGATCCGATTGAAATGAAATCAGACATGTCCTAACCTCATAGAAAAGGTATACTCAAGTTACAATTGTATTTTTGATGTATTTATTTTCCCGACTGCCGTTCAGACTACAATCTAACAACTTTAATTAAAACAGTTTGCTGTTCTTTATTGCTGTCCGGTCAGTGTACCTTATAGATTGAGATACTGACTTAGATCGTTAATCAGTAAGTTGTACCGAAGGAGATAATGGTGTTCACACAGCTTCGTTGTCATTAAGTGCGTGGTGTTCTTATTCGCACTTCTGTTTTGAAAATTAGTTAATCATTGGTAATTCTTAAAAATTTATATTTTGTAGTCAGCGGAAAGACAAAACAGAATTGTTTTTACTCATGTGTTTCGTTATTTAATGCTAATAACTTTATCAGAGTACTATTCATTATACTAATTAGCAAAACGTTGTTAAGAACACAATTTTGCTTTGTTTTTTCATCAATTGGATAATACAAATTTCTAGTGATAATACCACGCTCCCAATGCCCAAATTTTTTTAAACCATTAAATCATCGATAATAATACTGAAAGTTCCTATTTTCAGATGAACAAAAAAAACAATTAGGTTCACTTTAAATGATATTTTCTTGTTTGTATTGGGTCAGTCATGTATAAAGCGGGTATGGATTTGATAGTTATTAGAAATAAATAGGAAATTGTTAATATTCTAAGAAGCGATTTTATTTTATTATGTATATTTTCAGAATTAGAAACCATCGTCGTAAGAGATGTTGTTTGTATAGTGATCACAATTTTTCGGTCATAAGTCCGTGTTTAGTTAAGATATCTGTACATTAATCATCTGTAATATAACCAAAACAAATTGTACCATATATCGTGGATGTAATTAACATTCTTTTGAATAATATGGACCTTGCACTATTTGTTTATGTTTGATATAATGGGCAAGAATTGGGCTTAATTGACAAGTCCTAGTTCATTGGAGAGTGAGTAACCTGCAAAACTGATTTCCTCTAATCGTTTAGGACATTTAACTATATTTATTTTTCGGCTAATAATCTATAATGAACCATATTATTTTGTTAAAAAATTCCTATTCTTCTGACTAGTCTTGTTTGTAATCTCAATCGTTCGAGGCCTTACGTTAATAATTCGGTCTCATGAACAACTATCACTTGGCCATATTGTGTCATTCATTGGATATTATGCATTAGTCGGCGTTTTTTTTATTTTAACAATCGAAAATTGGTTCGTGGAATCACACTGCATATTACTGTTTAATTTTTCTTTTTCAATTTCGAACAGTTCCTTGGCACGTATTCGTTTATTTGTCCCTTTTCTTCCCTGTTGCTTTTTAATATCTTTCTTCTGCTTACTTCTCTAACAGTCTATGTTCTATTGAGAAACGTTGAGCAACTGGGAAGAACTGTACATTTTTTGTGGTGATTGTCTCCCAGATTCCTGTATCTCCTGCAATAATTTTTGCTGATAATGTTTTTTTTTCTTTTACAGATCTTGTTCATTTTATACAATTTCAATATCAAATAAGTTGCCTGTATAAACTTCGTACTTTGGGTTGTCGACATCCAATGGATATAACTGTTGGTAAATTAATGGACTTTATTATTTATTTTAAAGTATTTTATTGACTTCTGTGAAAGTATTTATATTATATTCTCATATATATAGGTGTACAGTAGGACGTGGTTGTATATTGAGATTATCTATTTGACTGAGTTTGTGGTCTGTGTTCAATGTTGATTGTGTGAACTATGTTCTATGATACATTCTTATACTTAAATCAGTCATGTAATACAAAGCGTCTAGTTATTTAGTGTGATTGTAAGTTTTGTTCCTTATGGATTAAATCAGTGAATTGATAAGATTTAAGATGTGCTTTCATCGGGTTAAATCGGTTGAGATTTGTTAACATAAAGTTTCCCATCTCGATCTTTCGATACTGGCTTACTCAACTGAGGAGAAATTTTCTGAGACGGCACTGTTCAATATCGGTAATCAAAGTTTTGTAATTTTTACTTAATGATAGTACGTTTTGACGTAGAATCAATTCTATCAGGTAATTTTACTTTGAACCACTGTCAGATGGTGTTATAACTTGTGACAGCAGATTAGAGCGCAGCGAATTATCGATCGGACCAAAGACGCTTAAACACATGAGAACAACCTAGAGTCCTGATTGGTTCTGCTTTCCTGTCTAGCCCAGCCAGTTGAGTCCAGAACGCAAGTCTCAGCCTCGGAGATATGAATCATTATATTTTAAGCATACTGAGTTTATATTTGAAGCAAGTAAAGTAGTTTCCAGATGCCCAGATGACTTGCCTCCGGCTCTTTTTAAAGATGGTGGTGACTTTTTGACTAAGGAATTGACGACGTTGTTTACAAAGGTTTGGGAACTAGAGAGTGTACCAACGTCATGGAATGAGTCGATAGTTGTCCCTATCTTTAAAAAGGGTTCACGTCGTTCCTGTAACAACTATCGGGGGATAAGTTTACTTCCGATTGCGTCCAAGCTATTGGCTTCCGTCATACTTCGTAGGTTGTTCAAAACCCGAGAAAGATTGACTCGCGAGGAGCAGGCTGGGTTTCGTTCTGGTCGAGGATGTATTGATCATATCTTCACCCTCCGCCAAATGTTAGAACACCGCCATACTTATCAAAGGCCAACAATCGTAGTGTTTCTCGGCATCAGGGCTGTTCTCTGGGATTGTCTATTGAAGAAGGGTGTGCCTGAGAAGTTTATTAACATCCTAAAAGCCCTATATAAAAACACCTCAGGCAGAGTGAGGGCATACAACCACCTCTCTCCATTGTTCCATTCGAGTAGTGGGGTTAGGCAGGGTTGCCCAATCTCACCATTCCTCTTCAACTTTGCCATCGATGACATTCTGGAAACAGCTCTGATGAATGTAAGTAATGGTGGTGTGGATCTGTTGCCTGGAGAAAGACTTCTCGACCTTGAGTATGCGGACGATATTGTCTTACTGTGCGATAATGCCCAAGGCATGCAATCCGCACTTAATCAGTTGGCAATCAGTGTCCGTAGGTATGGTATGTGCTTTGCACCTTCGAAGTGCAAAGTACTTCTACAAGACTGGCAGGATTCCAATCCTGTACTCACCCTGGATGGTGAGCAGATAGACGTAGTCGAGAAGTTCGTGTATCTGGGTAGCTGCATAAGTGCTGGTGGGGGTGTGAGTGATGAGATCAATGCACGTATAGTGAAAGCCAGAGCGGCTTATGCCAATCTGGGCCATCTTTGGCGCCTTCGTGATGTTAGTCTGGCTGTAAAAGGTCGGATCTACAACGCGTCGGTGAGAGCAGTTTTGCTCTATGCTTGTGAAACCTGGCCTCTCCGAGTTGAGGACGTTAGACGACTCTCTGTGTTCGATCATCGCTGTCTCCGAAGGATTGCTGACATTCAGTGGCAACACCATGTCAGTAATGCAGAGGTTCGGCATCGTGTGTTCGGGCACAGAGATGATAATTCAATTGGTGTCACCATCTTGAAACACCGACTTCGGTGGCTTGGACATGTTCTCCGAATGTCGTCCCAGAGAATTCCACGTCGTGCATTATTTGCCGACTCTGGGACTGGTTGGAAGAAGCGGAGAGGTGGTCAGTGCATGACATGGTGTCGTGGCATGAAAGAAAGCTGCAAAGGACTGGCTTGTGTTGGTCCTTCACGACTCCCTGGTTGGGGTCTGAGAGATGGTGCTACACAGTGGCTAGAGACGTTATCAGATATGGCTCAGAATAGAAGCCAGTGGCGATCCTGCTGTAACCTTCTTTTACTTTCTTCATAAAAAGTGGTTGTGTCTCCCTTACCTGAAAGATTTCTTCCGATTGTACCTTTGCGTTCCCTGATTACTAACACATTACCTTACACCAATCTCTTCGTTATTGTTCTCTCTTTTTTTTGTTGCGCTCCTTAGTTTTTTTTTCTTTCTTTGTATTCCTCTCGAATTTTCATTGTTTTGTGTGGCGCATATATATTGGCGCTCTCTTGTACCAATATTTATGTGTTCAAATGAATAAATAAATAAATACTGAGTTTATATACCAAACACCGACCACAACGTACCAATAAAATATGAACAACATTTTACAGGAATTAGCCAGATGTGGCTGTGAATGACGGAGGTAGCGATTAATAGACAGGGAATAGTTCATGAATGGTAAATCGTATAATAATAGTTCACAGGTCAAAATAAAGCTCATAATAAGAGGGGTATGAATATGAACAGTTTAGTTACATAACAATTATACGATAAAAACATACTCGTAATATTAGTCCATAAATGGATCCCAAAAATTACTATTCATTATTCCTATCGGGATACAACAGATGGTGTTGAAAGACATCAATGAGGTTTTATGCCATTTATTAATATACTGAGGCTCAAGACATTGATATGATTTTGAGTCTTCATTAGTAAACTGTTCATTGTTAACGTTATTTTCTGTCCCTTTTTTATATGTTGTCTTTCCCTGTTTTTGATTTTTGTATTCTAAGGTATTTCAGAGTGGGGTAACCGAAATCAATTGTAGTTAAAATTATTAAGTCATGTGTGATTTACTTCTTAAGTAATATGCTAATTCATTCCACTGGATAATTTCTTTTCGCAGATGGTTTCATGTCATGGATGTTTCGTCGAATTACGTTCGTCCTACCTTTCCTATTTGTAGTATACGGTTTTGAACTATATATGGCTTATAATCTTTACGTCATATCCCAACAGAGCTATTGTCACGAATGGCAGGTCAGATATTATTTAAATGTTTGCAAAATTACTTAATATAAAACTGATGTCTTATAAATACATACAGGCCAAGTGGCAAATGAGATTACATTTTATCAGCATTTAGTGACCGAATCCACTTTATTGGGGGTTAAAAGGAACGAAATAAAACTAAGTAACACTAAGTTAATATTAATATTTGTTAAAGTTCCATGCTTGTTATTAATTAAACGTATTTATGCTTCTTAAGATGCACGGATAACAGAAAGCAGCTTCAATCAATCACAGATTGTGGTTTAACTAGATTCGCACTATACATTCAATTGTAGGTGTTCTGTTTGTTTCACAACATTCCTTTTCAAAACAATGTTTTATTCAAATAATTGACAAAACCTGTGTGGTCTTTATTGTCTTTTGTTGAATTTTTCTGTCTTTATCCATCAGCGTCAGATTTTCATGTAGGAAGTGGCATAGTAAGCTTTTTTCACCAAACATCTTTACCTTCGTAACTGTCCAACGTTTCAGCAAGTAGACTTCTGAAAAATACTATAATGCTTAGCGACCTACCAGGTTTTCCGAAAGCTTCAGTAATACGATTAGAATGTTGGATAAACTTTAGTACGATAGAAATAGTTTGTACCAGCCTACTGTTAGCGGATATATATGGAGATTTGCTTGGTCTCTCTAATAGTTTGTAATCCGATTTTTCACTTGGTGGACAATGTCAACATCAGTGGTTCGAACAGCCATCTACTTCATGGATCATCTCAGTCTATTTAGCTGGCCGCTTAAAGCTCTTTCTCTACAGTTAATTTTGAAAACCAAAGTAAAATAGTCAACTTCTTATTAGAAATGATTGACATTCTAAGCACTTCAGCCGGTTGATATTCACATCAGCAACCCACTCTCTTCATTCACTTAAGACTCTACACCTAAATTCGATATTTTTTACTTACTAGTCATAAAACATTCCAGCAATGCTTAAGTAGATTTGTTTGACTCACTAATCTATTCTCCAACTTTTATTTACTTGTGCATACCAAATAACTAGAGGATCATTTTAGTACCTAACGACAAACAATGTCTTTAGTGGTGAGTTTTGTTGTGAATCGTATTTTACCTACATTACTGTCAGTTATCAAAAAATTCAATCTCTAACCTAAAAGAGTACAAATGAACCGACTCAACTCATTTCGCAAATTGAGCACAGTTATTTTGTTTTTTAAAATACCTTTTTCATCTTAAGTGATTTTTTACAGTTGTCTTTTATTATGTTATGCTAATTAATCTTGTATTTAAATAGTGACGTTTATAGATTTCACCTCAGCCACTTAGTTTCACAACATCTTCGATTTACACCCAGATGGTTTTTTCGGATGAATCACTGGTTCATTTTAGAACGGATCATAAGGATTTAACATATATCGTCTGATGTTTTTTTCCGTACGATGTCGATCTTGGGACTTAATAATAATAACAATAATTCTAGCGGTATAGCATGAATCCATTTTATTTTGTTGATTTTCGTCAGCCGCTTACAGCCTCTAATATTTAAAAATCATAATTACAACATGGGTTTAAATTAATTACATGAGATAGTTTAGTCGGAAGTTATGTTGAAAACATATTAGCATAGCAAGGGTGTAAATAAATTTAATAGACTGAGTATTGTAAATATATACCTCATGTAATAGAAAATTCCACAACATTGATTGTGACAACAGTTCAAATGGCCAGAAACAAGTGATTACGTAATGAGTAAACGCCGATAGGAATAAAATGAGTAAAGCTCAGTTAGTAAAATAAGATCACTGATCTGGAAGATAGTTGAAATAAAAACTCAATGATGTAATAAATGCAAGAAATTTAGAAAAGTTTAAGATGTAACAAAGGTATATTTGTCGCCAATCCAAGGAAAGAATAATAACCATCTCATTTTGAACACGTAAATCAGGTTTTTGACGCCTGACAGCAACAGCTTCAGCAAACTTCAGAGTTGAGTTTGGCTGCTTATTAATAACCTTGACAAATTGAAAGGTATCGACCTGATGTCCTGTATCTAAGATATGTTTGGTAATTGCACTGTTTAGAGTCGTTTTTTCTCTTGTTGCAAGGCTTTTTGGAACATGCTCAAAAAACTAAAATATACCCTTCTTTCTGTTCGCCAATGTAGCTGCTTTGGTAGGTACACGTAAATTTATAAGTACAGTTGGCATTAACGTGAAAGGGGTGCTTGTCAACCTTTGATTAGGTTATTGAACATGTTGTTTTATACAGAATTAATGGTTTGGTTGCCGGCTAAGTTCTGGCCAGTGCAGTGTTAAACCTCCTGTTGATTGTGCTTGTGACGTCATCACCTTTGAAGTTGAGATTTATGGATATTGGTTTTTTATTGACTGTAATCACTTCCGTCTTGTTTTCTATAGGTTATAAATATATATTTGATAACAATATTTCATGTTTTATTACTATTCACATTTATCATACTGACTAATAATCTCCCTTTGATGTAAGTTTCATTTCAACAGTATTATTTCATTAAAATCATAAGCCGATTTATGTTAAATCATCATTAAAAATCTAAGCGGCCGTTTTGTCCTAACATGGAGCTCCTCAGCAGTGTGCATTAACGACTCCACACGCACGAATTGAACTCATAATCTACGGTCTCGTACGTGAACGCTTAATCTCTAGACCACTTAGTTGGGATCAACAACCCTATACTAAAAATAAATTTTATTATTTTTTGTTTAGCTGTAAATATAATTAGTGAATTACATACACATTTTCTTTTCGACCAACGATGATCATTCTGATAACTTACTGTATAATGATTATAATGTATTTTCTATTAAAGGTACCTGCTGTATCAGTCATTTATTTCATACTAGCAATGGGAAGTATTGTGACAGTTTTACAAGTGATACGTCAAAAGATTTGTGCACCACCGCCTATTGTACTTCATGATCATTTAACGAAAAAGTATAGTTTTGCTGTACCAATGAAAATTTAAGGCTTATGACGAATTCGGTGATAATGATGATACAACAACAGAAAAGGTCATCACATAATTATCGTGTATACATACTTGCTGAATTGAATTTCTGTGTATCATTTATTATGAAAATGTTTCCCTTCTGTTTTGTAAAGAAAATAAAATAGAATCATTTATAGCTTATCTCTTTTCCAATAAAAAAGGTGTCTGTGTTGATTCCTATAATTCCTGTATGTGTTTTTAATATATACTATTGAAAATATATTATTTACACATTCTGTCAACTCAATTTCTTCTGTTTGCATACTTTTCTTAACTCTGCAACATTCTCTCCGACGTTAAAAAGCGAATTAAAGTTACATTTTTACTATACCTTTGAAGTTTCGTCTTTTACAGTTGACGTATACAGATATTTTTCTATTATGTATGTAGTGCTGTGTATATGACGATCATCCTTTCTTTTGCTTCGCAAGCTAATTTTATAGTTGGCTATCATCATTGAAGAACAAATTTCCTTATCTTTACTCACTAACCATTTTTATATTTGATCCAGATAAACAAGACATTGGACATTTTATTACCTTCACTACTTGTTTGTTCAGGTAAATTATAATATTTTATTCTCAAAGATTTCATACTTCTATGAATTTGGTGATCATCTTGTTGTGCTAATGGGGTGAGGCAACTTGGACCGATGCATATATGTGCCTGGTCCTACTTTGTAGCTGACTGACTCATACTTAATGTATTATTTATATTACATAAGCTTGGATACTATGTATTCTCCTCGTTCTCCTAATTTATTGTATAAATTATTATTGTACATGTTGTTTAGCTTGTATATTTCCAATTAGTGTTTTTTTAATTCACATATTTTGATAGTATGGAAAGCGTAGTTTCAAAATTTTAAATATCAAAGTATATTCATTTCATTAGTTTAATGTTGTCTTGATGAAAAAAGAATATATTCTATGACGTAAATAAGGTTTTCTCTTGTAGAAGTAAACATTCAATATTTAAGTCATTGCTCCACACTAGTATTTTATAACACTGTTCATATCCACCTGTGTGAAAAAGTTCTTGTTATATCCGCGCCGCTTATTATTTATACTTGAAAAATACAAGGAATCAGGACGCGAAGTAAGAACATGAAGACTAGTACAAGTGAAGATTTATCAATCCCAAAACAAGACCACCTTAATTGTAAATACACTCAATATATATTGATTAGACACTCATTTTGATTATAAATTAAAATCACAGAAATAGAAAAATACCCAGAGTAATAGCAAAATCACATGTCTATCAGGCTCAGCATAGTTCATGTTGATTTAATACAAGAATATCGTATCTTAAAGTGACATCATTCTCAATTAAATTAATATTATAACCAATAACATATCACAATGGAAAATAAAAACAAATATTACACCACATTGAATTAAATATACGGAAGTAATTTTGAATAGAAGTAACAATGAGTAAAAGGCATTAATCTTGTCTTTTTCATCCCGTCATATCAGTTTTAAAGGATAAAATAAAACTACGTTTGTAAGTAGGGAATTTCTTAAAATTACGATCTAACTTACAGACCATTTTCTTTGCTCAATGAAAATGTAACCAGATTCTTAACTATGCTTTCCTTGAGATTCAGGTTAGCTTTAAACTTTAGTCGTTAGTTGTAATAATATTCACACAGGTATAAGTTTCTTGACTTACAAATAATTAGATAATATTTAAATGCTTTACAGAGCCGAAAAGGGCTGGGAGTCTTGTATGTATGAACACCGTTGATATTTGCTTCAATATGATCTATTCATAATCTGGATTTGAAAAGATGAAAAACACTGTATAGCGTTTCAATAATAACTTTGTTGAGAGTTAGAAATGCAATAATAGCTTGTACGATTGAAAAGACCCTGTTGGTTACCTGGATGTCTGTCCTTTGTTTTTAGACTACCCGCCAAATATTGGATTTTGTTGCTTGGACCAAAATTTATTTGATACATGACTGCTAGATGTATATTGGTTGTTGTTAAAACCCGTTGATTGAACCCTGTTTCGAACTGTTGGAGTGTATGCAGAGTCAAAGAAGATGCATTAGTAGCTTTCAAATTTTGAATTTAATGAGACCTAGTCTGACTGCACATTAACAACGACCAAATCGACAGGTATCATTCCGGACCAAGGGTTTGATGGAACAGTAGTAAGTTTATATTCAAATTACATTTGGTCATTCTATGGATGCACTTGAAAAGCTACAAATCCATAGTTGGAGAATATATTCATAGCAGTTTACTGAAATCCGGGATATGAATCTTTGGGATACGGTATAGATCGATGATAAGAATTTTTACTTCAGTATAGCACACAGTTTTATAATAGTGGCATCATGTCAGATTAAATGACAATGACTGTTTTTCCACTTAAAGTGATTTAAAGAAATCAGAATTTTCACTAAGGACGAGATGATTAATAAGAATCAATATAAAGTAAATACAAATCATGTAACGGTAAAAGGATGTTCTACTGATTTTAAAAAAATATCGACCTGGTAAAATGGTGTACTCAAATATATACAGTCATATTCAAATGTTATTGTTACTAGTGAATCAAATTGTCATTAGGAGAATCTGGTGCGAAAAGAACAAAAAGCAGCAAAACAGTTACAGGATCGTGAATAGTCGATAAGATTTTCAGTGTTCACCTTTATTGTACCCTTTGCAAATTAAGGTATTGGATACACAAATCAGGGTTGAAAATGTGAATTACTATGAACTTCACAGTTTAAAGCCGTTTTACGCCCACACTTTATAGATGCTGGTCGCTTCGTGTAACAATGCCAAAAGTACACAATGAATCTGTGAAACCAAGAAACGATTATGATCCGTGTCCGCGGCACATGGTGTTTTTCCTCTGCACAACCATATCAGTATATGTTCGGCTCTTCATTCGGGAAATACTGAGTCCAGTGAATTAATCTTGCTCAAAAGCATCAGATAGACTCGGAGATACGTATGGAGGCTGTCAGACTTTGTATTTCATCCTCTTTTATATTTGAAGCAATGGCTATGTGAAGAGAATTAATTGGAATTTAACCGAATAAGCTGTCTTTATCAGAGGTCGAAATGTTCGACTTTCCATTAGCCATGACACAAAGTCTCTATTGAACCACAGATCCATGGGAAATGTTTTCTTAAGTACCTGTAGTGAAAAAGTTTTAATGGATGTAAATCTCATGGAAAAATTTCTTTTTTTACTTAGTAGGAATTTTTAAGTTGATTACCAAATGCTGGTTGTCCAATTTAACAATGTTTTCTCTGAAGCAGTAATCAATTAAAAGCTCAAAAGATGTGACATCAGACCTAAGGATTATATAATCACTTAGTTATAAATTTGTTACATAAGAATAAGAATTTAGTTTGAAGTGAAACAGCTCGACAAGCGTTTAGTGTCATTTCAATATCTATTGAGAACTTAACGTGATCTATCTGTTTTAATACCTAATTTTCTTTGTACCTATTTTATTAATTAAACTAAACATTTATGTCCAAATGTTTCACTTCAAACTTACTGAATTCTTATTTAACAAATTTATAACTAACCGATTATATAATATTAGGTCTGATTTCACATCTAGTGAACTTTTAATTAATTACTGTCTTAGAGAAAACATTGTTAAATTGACCAACCACCATTCATTTTGTGACTGAATTGACTCTTAACCGCAATATATATATTACTAATGTGATAGCTTCTTTTGTCGATTAATTTCATACAAAACTGTACTTCACAAACTGTATACAATATTTGTTTTATTATTAGATAACTGGGCATATTTTTTCTAAATAGTGTTATGGAAGATAATATCCATAATCATACTTTAAAATGACAGATATTAATCTTGAACATTGAATAAACACAGACAGATGCAACTTAATATTTCATCCAATTTCAATAAAATTATTTAAAATGTATTGAGATAATAATAATTTAGTTACCAATGGTCATGAGTTAACTAGTCGTAGTCTGAGTAGGATCTGATGTGAATGTGTATCTGTCTAAGTTATTACAACGAGAAAATGATATGTGAAGAGCACAAGAGAAAATATAATTTAGTTCGACGAAAAGATAAATGTACGGATATATGTAGGTGGATTATGTCGCAAACTGACATCAATCGGGGTACCGTCGGAAAGTGTAGAGCTCTTCATAGTTGTTTTGTTTTAGTACGAGGTTCCTTAATAGCACGTATTCCCGACCCCATAACAAATTGGACTTGAGAACTTCAATTCTCTCTATGGCGCCAAAACCAATGGACTACATGGTTGGCATTCAAATGTACATTTTCCCAACTTTGATTGACTCGAACTATGGCTCATTCATTCTCTGTTCTTGATGATAACTTTCACCACTGAAGTGTCTGAATTCCACCAGTTATGACTTCCCATTAGAGTCTAAAAAAAGTATTTTGAAGTAAGCTACAACAGAGATCTAAACCTTCGTAATAATCAAATCAACGGTCAGTGTTATATAGAGGGATGAGATCTAAATAAAGCCCTGTTTGGCTTAGCTTCTTTGTTCATTGGTACTCATCAATAAAGTACGTATGTATTCTTGATACCACTGACATTCTCTGTGTTATTTAAACTCATGTTATTAAGTTCCATGATCAAATATGTCACCATTGAATTGTATGGTCTGTGTCTAACTTCCAGTTGGGACTGAGATATTTACGTTGACTGATTATTAAATACTAATCAGTCTCATGTTTTCCAGTTCTTATTTTGGCGCCCTATAGTTTTAATCCCATCATATTCCTAACTACAAGCCGATTATAAATGGAAGAAAGAACTCTACAATTAATTAACTTTTCAGATTTGTTTATGTGAATGATTTCGGTTTATCGATAGCAGCATACTGGAAGCAGAAATCCTTTACTTATGATTATCAACTAGCATACGACTTAGCTTAAGGTTTCCAACCACCTGAAATCCAAACTGTGCACGCACTAGGAAATTATTTAGACATCAGGCCAAATTGAAACTTGATCGGCAGGATCAGTTCCTAACTCAGGATTAGATAAACACGACGATCGGTGTGAACAAATAGTAATTGACTTTATAGTATAAAAGATTCACATATCCTGATTATTCTGTAATGCCTCTTTATTTTGTTGATATACTGTTTAATCAATTCTGGGTTAAACTGTAGATATCTAATAAATACACAATCAATGTTTCTTTCTGTTTAAAGATCAAAACTGAATTCAATTTCTTCACAATTTATTTCTTTTTAAAAGTAATAATTAAACAGTATACTTACCATTTATTACTAAACAGAATAATTATATTTGAACTATGAAATTAATTGAATTTAGTTAATATTATAATGTGCTCAATAAACTATGAAATAGTTAAAAATTGACTCATTCTTTTTAGATTATTAAACACTTATTATATTAAATACTTATAACTTTTATTATGAATTAAAGTTATTTTAATAGTTGAATTCATGAGTTGATCTAAGCTAGACAACCATTGAAGACCTGAAAACATGGGACAGCTGTTTCTTTCTAGTATGGGACTTTTCAGCAGTGCGCATCCATGATCTCGCACCAAAGGGACTCGAACACAGGACCTCTGGTCTGGTGCTTGAACACTTAATCTCTAGACCACTGAGCCGGTATTCAACAGTGTTATTGTCTGACTTTAATCGATCAATGAATTCAACTTTTAAAATTACTACATTCTCCACAAACTCCCATTCTGATAATAACCATTATGTGCTCATGAGTGACTGGCTTTAAGTTGAATTTCCTGGAGTTCTGTTGAGAAGCAGTGACCAGTGTGGTCCAGTCTCTGTCGGTTAGAGATAGGTATCTACCTCACACAGTGGATGAATGGTTGCGCAAGATCATGAATCTATTGAAGTCAGACAATAACACTGTTGAATACCGGCTCAGTGGTCTAGAGATTAAG